CGCGTATAAGGGGGTCGTACATGGGGAGAAGGTACGTGACACTGCTCTTCATTATCTTCCGTTTCCTGATGTGTTCCATGCGTGGCTTGTGCTCTTCTAGGTCAATAATGGTTTGGCAATCGATCCGTGGTCATTACAGACACCAGAGTCAGCGTATCCGCAATAGAGCACTCGCAGTAAATACGATCAGATGCAGCAATGGGACGATAGGAACAATATGCTGGCCTATAGAATGGGGCTGAGAAGCGCCAGCCATCGGTCACATTCCGTGCTCGCTGCATGGATTGTAATCCTTGTATTTGACGTCGTGGCGACAAGATGCATTCTCTCGTGGCTGCCCAAAATGGTTGCGCTGATGTATTGTCCGTGTGACGCCATCTATCCTTCGAGTTCGTCGTGGAATTTCGGGCCTGCAGCTCTGACGTGGTCCCTTGATGGCGATTTGAAGGACAGCGTTTGTAGCAAAGGTATGACAGCCGCTTGATGGACTTTTTCGTCATTCTGAGATTCTTTGTCAGGCGCGTTGCTCGAATCGACGATAATACAAGGACTCACTCTACATACGAGGACACAAACACCGATTGGGATGCAGTTCGGATAACCCGATATTGGATCTAAGTTTCGACCCGTTCACGTTCTGTGTGCAATTTTCCGTTCGGTACACAGAAAACTGGAAGGAAGAAAACTGATATCGATTATAGATCATTTTGATGTCATTCCCAGCCCCACAGCCATGACACCATGAAACAAGATCCCGGCGGAGAGCACCTGGACGCTGATGGTGAACATCGTGGCACACTGATCGCGCAGAGGCCTCTGAAAATGATCCCTTCCCTTGGAATCTGAATCGGGACAATTTGCAATAAACACTATTTGGTCACGAGATAGAGATCGGCCCACAGCAGCATGAACTTTATCCTGCTCGTCGACGATGTGCTGATTTGCACCATCGCGTTTCTCTCTGTTCCAGATATTCTGCGACTTCATTAGGTAAGGCTTTCTTTGGCCTTAATTCCTGGATGCTGAATTTTCAGAAGTGTAAACGGTTCGACGCACTGACAAGGCTACTAATCATATGGACCAACGCCCACAAGCTCGACATTCTGTCCAATGACTATCCTTTCCCCCTCGATGTTATCGATCTTGAACAGCGCACGCGACACGCGTACCGACTCGCGTCATGATGGCTCCTTGACTGTTCTCTGTCACCCACAAGCAAGGTGATGTTGGTGGACTCACCTGTATCAGAGATCAAATTCATCTCAGGGCGGCAGCACAAATGGCTGCTGACCGCATCCAAGGGGACACGGTCAGTCCTGATGATCTGGGACATCGTGGAGGCGTACAAGTGCTCGAAATGATCCCCACACCGGAACGACGTTGGATTCAGGGATGTGACAGTTAACGATAACCCAGATTCTGAAGCCAGTGTCATGGTGTCATTGTGAGCACCTGTTAATATGCTAAACGACCACTAATTTCTATAGATCGCAGATAATTGTGCTCCTGCACTTGGACGATGATGGAACATTTCATGAAATCTACTTCATCAACATCAACCTCCGCCTTGTCACCCTCACTGGTGACATCTTAGCGCTAACTGATCCCAGCTCCACTACGCTCATCTACAACTGGAAGACCGGCGAGCGCACACACCTCGACACGCCGCGCACCCGTTGCCTCCAAATCATTTAACCCCGCCCACGGACCTCGTCCTGCATGCCCAGTCCATCGCTCTCTACGTCCTTCCATCACCCACGCTTGTCTCCAAATATTCCTTTGGCTGGGTCGACGGTGCCAGTGCAACCCCCACCTCCATCCCTATCCGCAATAACATAACCCTCTGGGATAACAGCATGAATCCTTCCAGCACTACTCCCTATCATCCTTCCCGCCAATGCTCACCAGTAAAACATCCTCCTTCCATCGATCTACTCGATGTTCGGACATCATCCTCGGCAAGCGGGCCACTCCCATCACCGCAATCGGGAGGAGCAGAACAGTTACGAGACCCTCGTGGCTGCTGTCTTCCCCAGTCCGCTTAACCACACCGAGAATGCCCGTGTTCGCACGATCTGCTAGAATAATTTTGATAATTGGATGGCGTTGGATTATGACGAGGACCTTGGAAGGATCGCGCTTGTAACGTGGTCTGGGAAGATTACCATTGTTGACATGTAGCCGAAATATATCTCCATGAGTACTATCATGTCTGCTACACGATTGTCTTTTTCTACTGTGCATCCCTTGTCAGTCTTTATTCAGAGTACTCTATATGTTGATTCTATTCGCTCTATGACAGCCCATTGTACAATGGCTAGATCGTATTCCTCTACATCTGGATTTAGAAGAACTGATGAGGCACTTGCGGATTAGCTTCGGAACCTATGTTTCTTCGTCATTCATCTTGTAAGGCAGGTATCGGTCAGTTCCTGTTTGCAAAGGTATTATTTTGGGATGGTAACTGTTGGAAATCCTCGGTGTTGCGCAGGGTAGACTCCAGGCTGGTAAGGCCAGAAGGTATGAATTTGTTATTCTACAGCTCCTACAGAGCTTGTATTTGTACTCTCCAGGCTTGTATCTAGAATTTACTACAACTTTCTCTTTCTCTCGAGCTTACTCATCAGCTCTCGGCATGATGCCGGATTGCCCTTTCTAGAACTTTCCAGCAAAATCCAACAGTAACTATATGAGGAGCGTTATGATTTGGGTATGAATATGGAAATCGGAGATGTACACATTCACCGGGACCGATTCAGCGAACCATGATTAAGATTCAGTGTGAGCCAAGTCGATCCCAGTCGATTGTTCATCGTTGAGAGTGGAGGCCGCGAGCAAGCACAGTGCAAAAGAATAAACCAAGAAATAGTCTGGGAAGGAATGCGACCGCATCGTCGAATTCATTTTTCAGGGCCTTTAATTTCAGTGGTTTGCCTTGCGCGACATAGAATATGCAACAATGGACTGTTTTATTCTCGCTATAAGAATACAACTAACCTCTTTCTTTTTGTGGTAGGACTTTGTTGGCATGTCTTAACATTCATCCATACCCTCAGCATCGTCGCTCAGACCGGCCTTAGATGCTGGCACTTCTCAAATGGTACAAATTTATTACCTTTAATCTCATGATTTCGTCCGGCGGATAATCACTCATCCATTGAATCTGGGCGGGTTTTGCCCTGGTTTCCCTACTGTCCTTCTTGTTAGGCTTTCGCTGATGTGTTTCCCAAGACTTGGGGTCAGAGCACTTTATTTCTTTTAATAAAAAAAAAGGTATGATCCCAAGCATCTTCTCCGACGTTGTTCCTCAACGCCAGCTGCCAAAGCAATGGTTTACATACCCATACTATATCGACTTACAGGCCCATGCCTTTTCTACATATAGGACTTCTTTTACCAAAGTCTTCAATCAATCCATCAGACACTAGTAATTCATTTCAGTGCGACGGAAGGCAGGTCTTTCTATCGACGAAGGAAATTTACCGGTCGCGTGACAAAAACATCATCAGGGACTGGAGAACCCCCCGGTGGTGTTGTAACCTTCTGTTGTGTCACCAATGTTCGTGAACGAGATCGGTTTGTACACAACGGCGGTACCTTCGAATCAATCAGGTAACAGGATACAATTTAGAGGTGAAATATCGACGTGCTTACCCTTTCCGTCGACAATCTCAGGACTACCACGCTTACATCCCCTGCTCATACAACTACAGCAACGTGGCTGCTCTCACTACAATTCAGTCCTTCGCTCAAGACACGCACACACCAAATATAGCCCGAGATATTGCAACCCGCTTTAATTATGACCAAAGAACACAGGTTTTGGATCGCCATGCGAAACCAAACCAACTCATCATTGACAGATGCATCTATAGGAAATTGAACCCTCAAACTGGCGTGGCCCCGACAGCCACTAGACGTCATCCGATTATGGTTAGAGCTCCACCCAGCTATTCCTTCACATGGTAATTTTTTGCCTGACATAAATGGATCTCTTAATATTTGAAGGATTTTTTACAAGATGGACCCAATTACAATCACATATAGGTATCGTGCGGGAGCAGGAAGATTGACTATAAAACATTTCATTTTTGGCCTATAAAACGATGTCTCCTGTAGGAAAGACCTCTCCCTCCTGATTTTTTTTTCCTTCTAGAGTGAATGAGGGATTCAAAGACCAAAACTCTCCTGAAATTCTTGTGTTTCTTCCTTGCTGACTTTTGGATCATTATCTTCAGCGGAAAGCGGACCGAATTCCTTTGCTGGGAAGTATTGTTACCGAATGAGTATCACACCTTATTATTTAACGCATGGATCTCCTACCTTTCCACTTCCGTAACGAAAATGACAGGTATATCACAGATCTACAATGAATTTCTGTGGGGAATCGAACCGCCGACCGGACCACCTCGACCATTCGGACGTTATCCTTCCACGTTTCAACCTTCTTTCACATGAAACATCTAGTTCATCTGAATGACGACGTTTCCTAGGAGCAGAAGCCTCTCCCCTGCCCTACGTTGCGTCTTGGAATTTCAGACCATCGAAAACCTTATTTTCGACATCTGCCCCAAAATGGAAACATCGTTTCCCCAGTCAGCCTCACAATACATTCCACCACACATACAGCCGCACTGACCCGTCCGGCTTCCAGCAGCACCTCTTCGTCGCCGAACTGTCCCACCGTTCACCACTCTCCCGAAAAGTCCACTATAACCATCGATGCTGAAAAACAAGTCAACCCATGGGATAGCTACGAAGAGGATGAAATGCCCGAAGAGACTCAGCCGCACCTCGTACGCAACCTACGGTTACAGGCCTTCTCTATTTACCGCCGCCTATTCTCAGTCGCGTTCTTAACGGACATGGGTATCTTCATTTCGTACGCAATCCGCAGCTATCAGACTGCACTGGTCGCGGTGGCGAATATCTTTTTCGCTATTCTCATGAGGCATGAACGCGTTATAAACTCAATTGCATGCTCTGTTCCTCAGTCGTGAGTTCTCTTTGCCTGGTGATCTTTGTAGTTCACTGATGCGTTTTCTTACCGAGGTGGCCGTTCTTCATTCGTCCGACTGCTGCGAGAGTGTGTCATAATGGAGGCAACCATTCGGGAGCTGCTGCTGTTTGAGGGACATTTTTGCTGATATTTTTGGCCACCCAAGCGACTAGGGAACTTGTTCACAGCAAGCGGGTACATTTCCCCTCAAAGTGTATGTCTGCGTGATTCTAAACCATCGATACACTTCCAGACTTCAGTGGCTTGTCAACTTTTTGACTCCGGGAAAGGCCTGTGGAGAACAATGTCCAACATTGTCTTCTTCTCCAGATGCTCCTGTGTGAGCACTGTGCTATATGTATACATGATATCCAACTCGGTTATTTGTTCCGGTAACTGCAGCCACGCGAGTTCAGCGTCGTTTTACCACCAGTTGTTGTTCACCGATGTCTGCGAGACGTTGGGGAATAAATTTTGAAGTACTGGCATAAGATCGTGGATATCTGACCATGCTGGGTGCGCTTTGGGATGGAGGTGGATATCGACTTCGAGGACGAAGGAGATGGACCGGCAGAACTTCGACGGCGAAAATGAAGCGTCGACGGACCGGAAGGCTATGGTGTCTCGTTGTAGGGTACGGCCGATGATGTGGTTAAGGTGGAAATGAGTGAAGATGTGTATGTCAGTGCAGTACACATGAGTAAATTCCCAAGCAAACGATTTGCTGACGAGAAGGGATGATGTTGCCATCCGGAGACGTTCGACGGGTGTAAGAGGAAAGGCCCATGCTTCCTCGATCGTCTGGGCAGGTATTTTTGCAGGCAGTACATTTGCCACTGTTCAACAGCAGTTGTAGAGATGATTTATGTGATTACAGGCATCGTTGTCCCTGCATTTTATATCTGATGATGCTCCACATTTTCATGATCCACCCTGGCCTTGGTGGTGAGAGTTCTGTCTCATCGATCATCCTGGGTAGAGTGTCCCCACTGGATGAAATTCTGCAAGCTTAGAATATCACACATCTTCTGTGACATCCTTAGAAATGGTTAGTTCAATAACAGTAGGATATATATTAATCTCCTTTTCACCAAGAAGTCACAGCTCCAAAATTTGCTGACTGACTGGAAATGCACTGTATGAAACTTGATGTCTAGGAAAATGGTTTCAGATGGCTCCCGGAACATTAGAAAGGGGGATGGAGGTAAAGGCCGAAGTTAGACTGTAATTGGTGGCTGTGTCTTACGAGGGATTTCATTGAATCTGCCTTCATTTAGTGTCTTTACACCCATTTAAATTATTTATGAGCTCTCAGCTTCCTTGGTGTCACCAAATGATTCACTAGGACTAATTTCCCTTTGCAGAGCATCCATTTAATTATAAGTGGCTAGGTCAAAATAGAATTTATTTATCTGCAAATTATCACTCTATGTACTTAAAATAAATAATATTTTGGAGGAAACGGCGGAAGATTCGGGGATCGCGAGATGGTTTCCATTTTGAGGAGTTTACACCACACAGTTTTAGCTTACATCATCATCACGGAGGGCGAATTTGAGACAAGTCTCAGACGGCAATGGATATATAATGGAGCTCTTTGGCCTCTCTTCAGTCCCTCACTGAACATCTCTCTACACTACACAGTGAAGTCACTCAGCTCATTTTTGATCTTTTGAATCATTTATCAGTCTGTCCCTTAGTTTCTTTATGATTGTCTCATACTAACCATCTTATTTTCCCTCTCTTCATTCAATGCTTTCTGCTGAAGTTGTTGAGGATTACATTCACTTTGCTAGGAGCTACATGGAGGAGGCTCAGAGCTCTGTTGACCAGGACCCTACTATCTCCCCAACCACTGCTACATCAACCTTCTCCTCTCTGGACCTTGGCAGTGATACCATGTGCAGCACTACTTCCTACACTTCTGATGTGCATGCTGTCTCCAAGGAAGAGGCTGAATTCTACTATGCAGGCCTTCATTCTGGGCCCACATTGCTTTACCGCACAGGCAAAAAGTGGTTCCCACCCAGAGGACCTGAAGCCTATCACTGTTTGAAAGAGCTGCGCCCAGTCTACAACCATCTGATTATAACAGTCTGGAACAATGACTTGGGCTGGAAGGTTGTTAAAGTTTTAGATGCTCATACAGTCAGTTAATAGATATTTATCATATTATAGAATTTGCTAATTAGGATTTTTAGATCCACTTTACAACAATAGATGTTGTTCGTTTCAAGATGGCCCAGTTCAATGAACTATCTGAGGATGAAAAAGATGCTGATGAAGAAACAGTACAGGCTAAGAAACCAGTTATTGGTCCTGTCACTATTTGGATTGGTGTCATCTCTGAGTCTACCTCTGCCACAGCTGCCCATGATGCAGCTCAGGACATTCTAGCCCTTCTCAAGGACTATCAGATCACTGATGTTGATGTTGACTTCTGTGAGTCCTTCTATACATGTGAGGCTAGTCCTCAGCTTCTTGAACCTGTCAGTGATCTGGACTCACTTGTCAATGGATGTTACAATTTTTTCAATTTATTTTATCTTTTATCTTATCTTATCAGAGCATCTATCTAATCACAGGCACTTACAGATAGGCATGGGATGATTATACAATCACAATAAGCCACACTATTATTCTGTAAACAGTGATAGTGTCTCAATGGTAGACAATACCTCATTGTTCCACCCCCAACAACCAGAGGTGACAAGGACTATAGCACAGAGATGCACAATTAATAGGACTATATTTATCAAAAGGCAAAATGTATATAAGTAGCTTAGCTCTTGCTGTAGATACCCAGCTTCAAGCTAAAGTTTATTCTATATCATCTTCTCTTGACCCTAACTTGTCTAAATGTCTTGGAATACATTGGCTATATAACACATATAGTGAACTGATGTGACTGTATGAAGACAATACAGCATCAGTTTATCACATGTTTAAGTCATGTGCACTTTGGGTCTAACAATGTCATTAGTCCTCTCACTTCCACTCTTGGCCTGTTAGACCTGCTCAACACATGACTAGAACACATGATAAACTAATGCTGCATTGAGTTTGTATAGTCACATTAGAGTCCACTATTATGTGTTCAACTTGGTGCAAACCAGGCATTCACAGAACAAGCTTGAGAGAGATAAGTGGTATGAATAAACTTTAGCTTGAAGCTGGAGTATTACAGCAAGAGCTATCATACTTATATACTTGTCTGTAATAATAAATACAGTTCCTGTACTATTATGGCTCTCTGCATTGTGACACTATGGTGTCTGATTGTCAGATATGAAACAAATGGATGTTGTCTGTTGTTAAGGCATCTTTGATATTATTGTCATGGTTTACCTATTGTGTCCATCTCCATCATATGGCAATTATCCCACAATCCTAAGTGCTTAATGATAAGCTAGGTGCCAGATAAGATAAATAAACATAAAAAATCATAACAATTGTCTAAGCATCTTGATATCAATAATGACATCAAAGACCATTTTTTTCTGTGACTTCTTTTCTTTCTTCTATGCTCCTTTATCTATTGCTTGTTTGTTAGTGCAGATGAATGCTTTGACTGCTGGTGGATTGCTGTTTAGGTTTATCTTTATTTTTCATCTTGTCTTTTCATACTTGATGTCTAAGGCTTGGACTAGTGGACTTGTCATTTCAGTTTGTCTCATTTCTTTACTCTCTCTCCTCATGCAATTGATGGCCTTCATGTTCAGATTCCATATGACTTGACATAGTTTACTGGACTATCAGACATGCTTGCCAATTTTGAGTGGTATTTAGTAGGCATTGACACATCTTTACTGTAGCTTCTTATTCTTCAGACCCTTACAACTTCACCACATACTATTTATTCTCCTCTCCACTCATCTATACCCATTGTTCATCTATCCTTCTCTGTCTATCCCCAGTTGTGTTGTGTACCCCCCCCCCCTATATACCCCATTCCCACTCATCTTATATCTCCTCTTACATGTTGAATGAACATTGTTGACTTTGTTGTTTAAATCACACATGATAAAACAAAGTTCAATATGTGGGTAAGGTTGACTTAGGCACTTATTAGTGCTCTAGTGCTGAGTGGGGCTTAGCTTTATTCTTGTTGATGACTTTGCCATTGTGACTTGCTTATTTTCTTTTTTATATACTAGATGAATTTTCCATTTTACATTTTCATGCATGCATTTGCTTGTGTTGATTTGTGTTTTATTGATGATCATTTGTGTTCTTACCAATGCATTCATGACATCAAAAGTACATGTTAGTATATATGATTGCAGAGGAAATATTCACATCAGAAAGTTTTCAATCTCTAAAAACTCTTACAACTGTTATGAACAGACTAAAGTGCTGATTTAACTGTTTGAGACCTAATAATGATAAATTTCCTGCCCAACAGGTCTCCCTAGCCACTCCAATAGCATAGTTCCACAATAATTGTGTTAGAATATTAATGGAACCCCCAATGCAAGGCCAGAAATGTGAATGCATGTTAATGATGCTAAAGTCTTTGCTGAAGTTGACTGAAAAGGTACCATCTATTCTGACAGACCCAGGCTAGAAACAGCTGGTGAGCTTGTTGGATATGTGAAGACAGTTGTCCTCCTCTGGTATAACATGTGCTTTCACAATTGCCTGTTCAGTAGCAGGCAAATAAGAATTGCCATCAGATGGAAAAGTCAGTATGCAAAAAAGCCTTTGCATGTCTCTTAGGAGTATGTGGTTCATATTTCCCATTTCTTTTGAATTTCACACGTTTCAGGCCCCTTGACGGCCATGTGAAGGATCGGATGCATAGCAAAGGTATGACAGCCTCTCGATGCTCTCATTCTGAGATTCTTTGTCAGGCGCGTTGCTCGAATCGACGATAATACAGGGACTCACTCTGCTTACGAGCACACAGAAACACCGATTGGATTGCAATTCGGATATTCCGACATTGGATCCAAGTTTCGGCCCTCTTGCAACGGGTTCACGCTGTGTGTTCGATATTCCGTTCACTTATAATGCTTGACTTCTAACGCGTATAATTCTGTGTAGTTATGTCTACAGGGTCTCTGTGTAACGAATGTCTCTTCTTTTATCTCCCTGAAGCCAACGCGTATGATCATGTTGATGCGACTCGGATTACCGAAGCGATCATGCGGCAACGGGGCCATCAACACATGCTCACCCTGCGTAAGCGCCAGGCAGTCTTCTCTTCTTCCTTCACTGCGTCCACGATGGTTTCTCAAGACTTCGCAGCCAGATGTCATCCGACCTTCAATACTCCAGGCGCCGACGCCGTTCTATCTTCGCTAGACGATACTTTATACCGACTGCCATCATTCGTCTTGCGAAGGTCGACCGCGTTCTTCGCTTCGAGCTCCTTCACTTTCGGACGAGACAGCGAGCCGATCCCCATCCATGAACACGATGTTGTCTTGGAGCGACTGCTACGTATTATCAGCGGGCTCGAGATCCCGCCTTGGCGCAAATTTGATGACCTCGAGGGTGTGCTCAGCCTAGCTGATGCCTGGGGAGCCAGAAGTGCGGTGGACATTATACGCGCATCTATCACTGCCCCCGTGTTCCTGAGAGAACCACTCCGGGTGTATGCGATAGCAACTAGATTTGGGTGGGAGGAGGAAGCGGAGCTCGCGTCGAAACATACTCTATCCTTGTCTCTCCACGAGGAGCAGTACCAGGAGGCGCTGCAGCGGATCCCGACGCGGTCGTTGGTCAAGTTGTTCAAGCTGCACCGGAAGCGGAGGGATGAGTTTCAGATGGGTATGGCATGGGACGCGAGTTGTAAGGGGTGTGGTGAGTCTGTCGACGGGTCGGCGTGGACGGCGCTTGTGTGGAAGATGTTCTGGGAAATGGATGCGAAGTCGTCGGGGGATAGGCTTTGTTCGTTGGAGGTTGAGGAGTGGCCGGAAATGCTGGCATGTTCGGAGGTGAAATGTGCTGGATGTGGAATGGCGGTATATGATAGATTGGAGGTGATGGAGAGAGTGAGGAAGTGTTTGGCTGATTTGCCGGATACGATATAAAGACGAGTTCGGTTAGAGAGATTCGTTAATCGTTTTGATTTTCCCTGAGGTATTCTTCCATAGCATACTTGCAACACGGTAACGAAGAAGCTCCCAATGTTACCATGGATGTACCAGATGCTCATTCTTTTTCCTTGGCGTCGCCAATGCTAATAAAAGCACAAAGTCCATTCTTCGGCATGTAATGGTATACATGTACCAAAGGTAGCGGGCATCGTTGCAACATGATCCTCTATACAAACTACCGATGGGCTTCGTCCAGTAGTTTTTATTACATACTGAACCTCAAATCCTACATTGTTTCCGTTCAGTATTCTACATTGCACATAATTCCGGGCTTGTCGCTAGAGTATCAGCAACATATCTGATTTGTAACTTCACAATTTTCAGGACATGCTAAGGGAACCGCAGGATCGCGCATGGGAACATGTCCAGGATCATGGTCCTAAAAGATCCATGATACATGCCATTTGGCTGGGCGGTATGCTTGACAGCTGAGCTTGCCGTTCCTGTCCCCGTACTTTCAAAGTGACAGCTTATTTTTTCTTATTCTTTCTTTCCCTTTCGAGTAACCATACCACAGGTGCTTTATATATTCATGCTTTTCCCAGAACATCGAGTCTTCATGTCCAAGCTTCTCCCTAGTTGGCTCGATATTGGGGAGTTGCTATGTTGTCCTTGGAAGCCAAATCGTCATGTTAAAAATCTTTCGAATTTCTCTGTCGGATATTCCGCTTCTGTGACATTTAAACAGGGCCTCCTCGCGTTCACTTGGGCTCTGTCCGGCATTTGAACAGCGATTTCGACCACTATTGGTCTCGGTAGACGCTTTGGAAAATGAGGTTTGTTCTGCGAAATGCGATCAGCGTTAGCTTGCGCTACTTGAATTTGCCATAGGAACCGGCATGGAGCTATTCACTAGTCCAAAGCGACAGATAGTGCATGCCAGGGGAGCACGAATCCCTGCGATAAGTGTGTTTCCCGTTTCTTGGACAGGACAGTTAAGGTCGGGCAATCTCTGGGTGTTGAGAATACCTTTCATAGTTTTATGCACGTTATGACTGCTTCAAATCTTGTCCGTGTGTCGTCCTCTTTCTGTTACCCTGACATTCTCAGTTTCACACTTTCCAATGTTAGCTATGAAAGGCTCTAAGAAGTCCTCATTAGAAGCTTTCCGACATCATCTGCGCGCATCAGTGGTATGATGGTTAACATGTGGTTTTCCCATGTACGAAAAATATGGTACTGTGGCCGCATTCGGGGTTCAATTCTCCGTTGATGCATTCTGTGATTAAACACCAGGCTTTTTCTCATGAATCTTTCTTGTTTCTTGTTAACTGATTACCTATTCTTATTCTTTATTAATAGCTAAAGAAACATGCGAGCCTTTTGCTCTAACCCTCTTGTGATTTCTAACAAAGACTGCAAGAAGGTAATTGTTAAAAGCCTCCCAAGATGGAACTCTGTGCATCAGTGATGTAATGGTTAACATGTGAAGATACATATGGCATTATCTTGTCATGTTTGGGGTTTGATTCCCTGCTAATGCACTTGATTGCTAATGGATCACTTTTGCTTCTGCTAGTTGCTCATGAATCTTATTGATAGCTAAGTGCTAAAATTCCATGTGAACCCTTCACTGTTCAGTTATGAAATATCTAACAGGCATGACATTCAATAACAGTGTGACACTACATGACTTCAGAGTGTGTCTCCAGGATTTTGCAGCAATTTATAATAGAAGTTTAATTCAATACATTGGTTGTCTTGATTTCTCTAGTATACTTGGACTTGGAAGTTTCAGAGTTCAATCAAATTTGATGAGTTATGATGATGATAACTGCATCTCATCAATCTATGTGTACCAAGTGAGAGATTTGAAAAAGAAACAGAATAGGTATGGAATGGTGCAGATTTTATACAGTATACTGATACTGCTGTTTGGAAGTAACCATACTAATCATGATAACATCATATCAAGGGAATCCAAGATAGCAACTAAAAGTTGGGATACATCAAAATTCATATTATTTGACTTCTTTTCTACCACCATTATCCTATTAGATTTGAAGATTCAGCTTGTACTTGGCCAACTGCTCCTCAGCCTCATTGAAGCATTGACATTCCAGTTGGGTTTAGAGTAGGCATAGATTATATTGAATCTATGCATCATATCAAGAGCATGTCAATGGGGTAAGAGCAAACAGCAAACCTTGTGTGCTCCTTTGCACAGAGACTAGAAATCCTTTTATAGTCCTTCTTACTGAGTTTCACCTGCTTGAAGTCAGAGACCAACCACTCCAGTGGACTTTGGATGTTGGGAGTGTGATTATTGCTTTCCAAGTTTCAATGATTGTTCTTTCCAGATCAAGCTCCATGAAGTTTGTGTTTTCTGGACTGGGAGGTTCCAATCTCCTAATCTTATCCCATGGTGCAAAAGTGATAGGCCAATGGCCCTCTGCATGACCATCAATTCCTGGTCTGAGATTGGGTGATCATAAGTTAGACATGATACAAATCCAAGTAATCCAGTCCTTGCTTCTTTCATAGTGATATACAGTTCCTTCTCCACCAATTCAGGCTTTGAGTGGTGTTCTATAGCTTTGCAGTGATGAAGAGATCCTCTTGCTTAACAACACTGGGAATCACTTTCTTCAGTGCAAGGAGACATAACTTCTTCTCACTTGAAACAGCTCATAAGGGCAGAAGAGTTGGTGGAATGACAGTAATCCTTATTGTTACACCCAGAGGCAGAGAGTGTCTGCACCACTGAGGTCCATGATGAGTCTTGGACTCACTGGTGACCAAGGTACCATCCCAGTACTGGCAACAGTGATAATGTATTTAGAAAGATGCCACAAGGAAAACTGGTATCATGAGAGCACCAGCTTGTGCTCTAAAATGAGGATCAAGAAACAGAGCGAATGAAGGCAGCATGAAATGCACTTCAGCAACTCCACCTTCATCAGCTCTTTCCTTTCATCATTTTGACTGGGAACACTGTGGTATATTGAGGTCAACATTGGCAAGACAACCTTCAGCTAAAGAACATACCAAAGTACTTGGCAAAGCCTAATATAGAAGCATGATCTTTAAAGGCAATGCCTCTTTCAATGGGGGTTATAGTTTCTGCTTATCCTTGAAATGTCAAGGATCAATTTCCATGAGATGATGGTGGCCTTTGTCTTGGGGTCAGGAGTAAGAGAGCCTCAATATCAGTCCAGTCTATGCATTGTCAGGATATGCAAGAAAATGCTGGACAGTTACATATTAGGTCTAGTTCAATGCATATACCAACCATAAATCTGAACAACAGAATGTTCTGCACCCTCCCATAAAAGACAGAATGGTCTAGTACATGTATGGATAGGGAAACAGTCCCAAAAGATGAAAAGTGCACATACCTAGACAAAGGTCATGACCACAATCTGAATATACCCAATGCAAGAGGTTGATAATATGATTGAGACTAGCTGGAGGTAGCTCAAAATGGTGAAGAAAACATAAGGAAAATGTGCATACCAACCAGTGCATAGGAAATCCATGGCAATAAGCATCAGGCTGAATGAATGTTCAATAGTCCAAGAACCGCCGCAGAAAAGCACAAAATACATTGCCATATATCCAGGAGGGAATTGTCTTTATCATCGTCAGTGGTGGTGATAGGGAGTGATGGCACATAACACATGAAATGAGATGGCCACTGTGTATCATGCTGATCCTAGAAATATCCAAGAAGGGAGTTTTTATCCATCATTAATGGTGGTGATGGTGGTGGTTCATCATCAAGAGGCACAAAACGTTCCCAGAATTAGATTATAGGGCCATGTTTACCATAAAGTGCAGAGTTTCGAGCACTCATTGAAACTTGAAGAAAATGGGTCCAGATGGGAGTTACTTCTATCTTTTATTCTGGAACTAATACAGTGATCTTAGTGACTTGCTTCCCAAAAAGTTGTGACCACAAACAAGGAAAAGACAGAAGACATTAGTAACTATCATCTTCAGGCACAAGGGAAAAAAAGTCCACTCTCTATGTGTATTTTGTACAGGAGCTCATGAATTTGCATTCACAGACTATGGAACCATATAGAATGTGAAGCAATGTCTTCTGCCTGGTTGCACATATAGCGCCAGGCTCGGCGAAACTGTTACACGACTGCATATGCAAGAACAGCCGTCGTATGATTGTATCTTTTTTCTAAGGCTACCGTGACGATTTGCCTGCTCCCTTCACAGCACAAAGATTCGTTATGATTTGGGTTGGCCCTGTCAGTGGACTGCTGTACATTGCTTGTGTCCTGAATTAATGCTCTTGCATCGGTGGTTTCCTTCGTGCAGTTGTCAACCACCTGGAAACCAAGGAAGACCCCTCTGATGTCGTCAGTTCGACCTAGACCTACAGACCTAGAGTCAGAATCCAACCCGAACTTAGGGTTAAGCGGTCACTAAGTCCACGTGGACAATTCCCGTCTTTCATGATTTCTCTTGTCAACATTCGGGGAGTATTACTTGTCCATCCAACAGTAATTTATTACATCCATCGCTTAATGTCACTGATAGCACAGCTATCCTAGTCTGCCAGTGTTTTGGATACAATTTCTATGACACAGCCCGGGATCCATCTTAATCTTCGAGGGACAAGGACAATATCCGCAGCATGATGGAAACAAGTAGGAAGTCCTATGGCGTGTAACTCGGCCTGATTTTCCCAGCCTCTGAAACGGCCGTTAGATCTGCGCTGCGAGCAGTGTGGAACAGACGGGCTCTCCCCTCATACAGCAAACACGGGCACAGGACGGAGCATACAACGGCGGTGAAAATGGACAGTGGTGGTCGGCTGTACGCAGGAATATAGCAGCCCCCAGCACGATGTCGTGCCTTCCCCTAAGCAATCTCAAAGACAGACAACGTAGTGAATATAATATTTCTTTTTTTACCGTGCATTCTAATTTACCCCTGATCAGATTGGCAGTGTTAGGCTGTCCGTTCCGGAGATATCATTTGCCCTGTTCATTGAGTCCGAGAATCCGTCCTGACCTACATCGATTCTTCCGCAGTGTCTCGCGTACATGGCGTGGAGAAGTCTGCATCCCAGAAGACATCTGAAAAAAAAAACACCAAAACTTGCCACAACAACGTGCCCCTTCGCTTAAGCCTAGTTTTAGGCCTCTCGATTGAAGATCGGATCCACACGTAAACAAGTATTCGGGCCGGACTTCCCAGCCGCACCGCGCCTTTGAGGCTGTGGCAGTGATCGTTGGAAATGCTTTAAGCTGCTATCACGGTACATTTATTCAAAATATGGCACCCATTCGTCCCCACAATAAGACAAGAAGCGGCTGCAAGACGTGCAAGGATCGAAAGGTCAAGGTAGGTACTTTGCCTGCCTCGTTCCGACGACGGTGATGTTGAAATATGGCCAGTGTGACGAAAATCATCCAACATGCGAGAACTGCACGAGGCGAGGGATAGCGTGTGTATGGAGCAATACTGTCCCCAAACGCGAATCACCAGTGCCGGCGGGGGGACGGTCTGCATTGCTAGTCGGACAGTCAAGCTCAAGTTCAAACGAACTCTCCCTGTCGACATGGACCGGCGCAAGTTCATCCGACTCGTTAATCCTTGAATTGATGCACCACTACTCTATATCCGCTTCCTACTCACTCTCCTCAGATCCCGACGCGTCTCGAGTGTGGAGCATCGTCGTTCCCAAAATGGCCTTTGATCCCTCGAACCAGTGTCTCCTTCACGCCATTCTCGCCATTTCCGCTCTTCACATTCACCACACGGATCCGACGGCCCCTCCCCGGTACGCTGCAGCCGCCCGCACATTTTATCACCAGGCGAAAATCGACTTGGACGATGATTCCGCAGACATCAACGCCGCCCTCGTTGCCCTGTCTCTCGTTGGACGCTATGAATTCGCCTCATCCGCCAAATTGTGCCCGCTGTCCTCCGGCGACTCGGATTGGTACATCACCACTTGCGCCGTGCGCCGTAACATCGCAAAGCGCCGGACCGAGCTCCAAGACACTGTCTTTCAGTCGCTCTTGGGCGCCATGGCGCCGGATAATCTACCCACGTCCTTGGAGGAACCGTTCCCGTCGTCGTTGTCGACGATCCTGAGCACAGCTCCGGATGTGGAGGAGCTGCGCGACGCGTCGGTGCACGTCGCCTATGTCGATTCGATACACGTCCTGGAGATCGCATGGCGGGCTTCGCTCAATCGATGCATGGGCACGTGGTGGTATTGGATGTCCCATACGTTCTTTCGTTTATTGGAAGAGGAGAGACCCCGTGCGCTTGTCATATTAGCGCACTACTGTGTTATGATGAAGCATGTCACTCGGGATGGCCCGTGGTGGATGAAGAAGCAGTGGGACAGAGAGGCTGCGCGGATCGTCACCATGCTTGATGAGCGGTGGGCTCCGTGGTTAGGATGGCTCGAGAGTCAGTTGGATGAAAAGCGAGATGGTCACGTTTTCGATTTTACAGGTGTGGATATTCTGACTTGGCTCAGCGCAGGGGACGGTGATCATGTCTAGTTTGCACCATGATAACGAAAGATAGAATATATATCGTAACTATATACCATTTAGAAGATGAAAAGGTCTTGTATCAAAGCATGTGTGGTAAATAAGATAGGGACATTAGTGTCTCTTGAAGAAATGACCATAACAACCCGATTCCTTGAAAACTGCCCGTAGCTACAGGTGGGAAATTTGGAGACTACAGCTGAAGCGAATGGTTACCTGTTAGGGATTAAGCCAGATTCCGGCATTCTATAGTCTTCAGTTCCCTTCTTTAATTGCTACTTACTCAGGGCCTCACGCGCACGGAGAAACTGTAATCAAAGAATTAAGTAGCGACATCCCCACCAAACATACGGGAGTTTACTTGGGTATCTGGTGGTAAAAGTCGACCCGCCTGAGAGTTAGTAGTTGATTAGGACTTTGAGAATCTGTGCGGACCATGGGAAATGACACAGGCAAGCGTGATTTTATGAATGCAAGGCAGAAAACATTGGTGACTGACTTTGTCAGTTGAAGAATAATCAGAAAAGTCCGGTGTTGCGTAGAACATGAGGAATTGAATGTACAAGTCTCATAAAGACCAATGGATGCACATCTTTCTCACCTACAAAGAGTTGAACGTTATCAACATAGATCTCCTTCCGGAGCCGTTCCACCAAAACAGGGATAACTGTGTTCCATGTTACGTGTCGCCACCTACAAAGCTGACGATATAAATATGCATTACTATCATTTACACTAAGGTTACTCACAAAGAACGCGTGCTCTCGAGCACAGACAGATGCCAATACCTCATGCTACCGACGAGAGATCGAAGTCAACGAAACAAAGACATACATGTGACAGTTCGCCAGATCCGCATCAAGTCCGACAGCGTCTCGCCCCTGATGCATATGGATGGATTAGCAACATGTGCTTGGACTGAGTCCACACGTCAGTCCACGAGAAGAGCTAATGATAAAAGATTAACCGTAAGCCACAGGCCAAGACATTCTTTCACCCCTCTCACAGATTAACTCACCGGCATCGGGTTAACAACAAATTTTGTCTCAACTGCTGGTACGATAGGCTCAATGTCATGGGGACCTCCACTTTCTGCGTAAGCTTACATTTAAGCCATGAAATTTGGGGTTCAACATAAGGAGATAAGCAATATCTCAGATACAATCGTCGTCCAGGTGGTCTCCATACAGAGCGAACGGCAGCCAATGTCGGCAGAGACTGAACTTGTCTCTTTCCAACTCAATTGCTGCTGTATCTGTTACATGAGACTTGGGTGTCAGACCATCAAATGAAAAGGATATACACCCCCTGGAAGGTAGAGATTGATCATTGATCATTAATACCTTCTGCCAAACAGCTGATACTGGCTTTTTCCTCAGCAATGTCCTAAATTATGGTACCAGCATAAACACTTGAAGAGCACTGTTTGATGATGACATTGGTGGGGTAGACAGTGAGTAATACAGGGTGTGAGGCAGCATAGATGAAGTGGTAAGGATACCAGAGGTTAAGGCAATGTGATTCAGATTTACAAAGGGGGTGAGCTGTATAAGAAATGAGAGGAAGCCAAACAAGCAGAATAGTCTCTTAGTCCAAGCTTAATTGTTGTACATATTGATGAAAAGTTCCACATCTGTCGATCTCAATGATATCATGAATACTTGTGCAACAGTGCTAAGTCTGCATCATAGACCATTCCCATTCTGAGAACTGGAAAGTTTCAGAATGAGGTATTCAGCACATGGTATGTCTTAAGAGTGAAATCTAGATGAAACAATCAACTCACCACTGCTGATCAAGTGGAACAGCCATTTGCCCACCTATATAAATTCAGGATGTTACAGTAAATGACACATATTGACTGTCCTGCTCATTGGAGCTGCTCCTATCGAATCTCAACATTCCAGACACATTATCATTCACATATTATCGATGCCACCATATCCCAGGATGATCTCTTCACTATTCCTGTGCTATGGCTGCAAAAACACGTTCCTTTCCTGTGAAGCCGTCACTGTATGTGAGTGTGGTGCATTCTGGTACACCCACATGCACCGCCATTACAGAAACCATACCAATACCTCGTCCTTGCGCCCGTCCTCCCCCTACCCATCGCGTCTCTTCCACAAAGTCTAGATACACAGAACAGACACGTCCCAGAGTTCGACGTCTCCTTCTGGTGACAAAGAGGAGAAGGAGGCGCCGAGTTACACGCTCCGGCCTGGGTGGAGGAATGTCGTTCCCTCCGTGCGGACGGGGAGAAGAAGCTTGATATTGTATGCTGGATGAGCGGTAAACAGAAATATGCCGATGTAAGGAATAATGAAGTGCCTCACAATCATTCGGTCCCGACCACATCCGCAAATCAGAGGACCAAGTTAAATTTGGAGTTAGGCGGTCGGATGATGTATACAAATGGACAACAGCATTATTTGGATGTTCTCGGAAGATTCTTCCGGAGTTTTACCAGTCCCTATTTCATTGTTTAGGTGGGACTATTATTCAGACTATTTACTATACAGGAGCTAGTCCCTATACCTTTTCATTAATGGACATGGTTTTTTTTAATGCATTCTGTGTGACATGAACCTGATTGATGTTGAAGAAAATTGGTAAATCTGTGCTCTTTGATCTTTCGCTTGTGCTTGATATTATGTTACTTCAAGAGGTCTCATCTCTCCAATGACAGGAGCTATATACTCTTTAGGAATACAAATACTTTAGATAGTTTACAAGCTAATGCTGTCTTGTCTTTTACCTAAGGCTTCCTGAAAGTAACGAGAGAATTGGTGTTTGAATTACCTAAGAGAACCTTGTATCAGGTCAATAGGCACTAGGCATATTTGGTTAAAATGAGGGCAGTGTACAATTTAGGGAGAATAGCATGTTGGGTATGGTGGTGAGAAACTCTTATCATTCTTGCTTTTCCCCTGCTTATCAGTCATCACAGACAAATAACTATGACGACGATAACTGCTTCTCATCGATCTATGTATACGAAGTGATAGATTTGAAAGAGAAAGAGAATAGGTATGGTATGGCGCAGATTTTATACAGTATACTGATACTGCTGTGTAGAAGTAACCCTACTAATCACGATAACATCACATCAAGGGAATCCAAGATGGCAACTAAAAGTTGGGATACATCATAATTCATATTATTTGACTTCTTTTCCGCCACCGCCATCCTATTAGATTCAAAAGTTCGGCTTGTATTTGGCCGACTGCTCCTCAGACCCGTTGAAGACATTGACGTTCCAGTTGGGTTTAGAGTAGGCATAGGTTATGTTGAACCTATGCCTCAGGTCAAGAGCATGTTAACGGGGTCAGCACGAAAAGCAAACCTTGTGTGCTCCTTCGCACCGAGACATGGATATGCATATACTAAGCATTCTTATTTCCTGTCTGTCTCTTGGTTTGTTCTTCGTCAGGCGTAGATTCCAAAACTGGCGATGGCCCTGAGCAGAGAGATGGGAGCGTTGAATTCCCACAGTTCGGCCCAAATCCCATCTCCAGACGCGATAAATCATTTGGTGCGTCCTCACTCACTTGTCAGTATCTACCTTCTTCGGTTATCTTACAGCACACTCAACAACGCAGGAATTCTCTACAGCACAACCAGCTGTTATGCCCGCTGCTGGAGTTTCCGGTTTGTTCGCCTCTGGCATGCTCGTTGCCGCCATATGTCGCTCGTCACACACTACCTTCCCGTCATAGTCAAATCATGGGTCGTTATTTGAGGAGGAAATGTACGAAGAAACTTCAAGACTTGTGGCGCTATTCGTTGCTTGAATATAAGACGGAAGCGGGAAGAGGGATGCCGGATGCCGGTGAGCGGTTGGCTGAGGCATTTATGGGTATATCTGTTCGACGAAGATGGCGTTAGGGTTCTTTATTCTCGACACTACCGCACCTTTCCAGTTACAAAATGGTATATACGTTCGGGTTGTGTATATACAAAGATTGCTATCTTTCGACACAGGATGTCGTACCGTCTCCGTCTCCCGCACTGAGCCAGGCCAGAAATTCCAAGCCTGTAGAATCAAAAACCTTACTATTACGCTCCTGATCCAACTGAGTCTCGAGCCATCCTAACCACGGAGCCCACCGCGCATCAAGCATAGCGACGATCCGCGCAGCCTCATTGCCCCATTGCTTCTTCACCCACCACGGCCCATCCTGCGTGACGCGTTTCATCATAGCACAGTAATGCGCCAATATGATGAGCGCACGGGGCCGCTGCTCCTCCAACAGATGAAAGAACGTATGCGACATCATACGCCACCATACCCCTATGCATTTATTAAACGAAGCCGTCCACGCCATTTCCAGGAAATGTATCGAATCCTGATAGGCGGCGCGTACCGACGCGTCATGCAGCTCCTCAACGTCCGGAGCGGTGCTCAGGAGCGTCGAAAACGATAATGGGAACTGTTCGTCCAAATTCGTCGGTGAAGATGGCGGCGCCATAGCACCCAGCAGCGAACGCAGAACATTACCCTGCAGCTCCGTCCGATGCATTTCGATGTTACGGTTAATGGCGCCGATGGTGATGTACCAGTCCAAGTCGCCCGTGTATGGGAGTACTCCGGCCGATGCAGCGAATTCATATCGCGCAACGAGCGACAATGCGATGAGGGCGGCGTTTATGTCCGCAGTCCCCTCTTTCCCCGAGTCTATGCCGATCTTCGCTTGTTGATAAAAAGTGTGGGCGGCTGCAGCATACCGAGGGGGGGACGTGGGATCGGCGTGGTGGATGTGTAGAGCGGAAAACGCGAGAATGGCATGGAGGAGACAGTGGTTCTGGGGGTCAAAGGCCATTTTGGGAACATTGATGCTCCAGACTCGAGACGCGTCGGGATCGGAAGAGAGTGAGAAGGAAGCAGATGTAGAGTAGTGGTGCATTAATTCAAGGATGAACGGGTTGGTTGAACCCCATGTTAAGAGGGAACCGTCGTTCGAACTTGACAGTTCGCCCCGCATAAGCGCTATTGATGGACCAGTATTACTCCAGGCACATTCTAACCCGCGCCTGGTGCAGTTCTGGCATATGGGAAGACCTTCGTCGCACTGCAAATGCAAATCACTTGAACATGCCCGTCGGCAGATAGGGGGTTGAAAAGGTATGGCTCAGAGTACATACCTTGACCCTGCGCTGCTTACACGTTTTGCAGCCGCTTCTTGTCTTACGGTGAGGACGAATGGGTGCCATGTTGTGTCGACGTTGGTGAAAGCAGCTTAAAGTATTTCTCACGATCAGTTGCCACAGCCTCAACGCTCGGAAGTCCGTCCCGAATACTTTTTTTTCTCATGGCGATCCGATCGTTAAACGAAAAAGGCAAATTTCGGCTTGACCAATGAGGCACATTGCCGTTGCAAATACAGTTTTTCCGAATGCCCTCAGCAATGTAGATTTCTCCACGCCATGTCCGACAGACACTGGGGAAGAATCAACAGGGATCCAGACAGATTCAAGTGTACCCTCTGGTCCAGTAAACAGCGTAAGTGGCTTCCAAAACGGACAGCCCAACAATAAGCTGATCAGGGTTGTATTAGAAGGCAAGTTAAATGTGTAGATTCCTACCGTTCAGTTCTCACGGCCGATTCTGACGACGGGGAAATTAGACCGCGTTACTACGGCGGAACGCTATAGAACATGATATTTGTGTCCATCATGCTGCGGACATTGCCCTCGTCACTCCTCGTACAGAAATGCAGATCAGAAGGTTCTCGGGCTGTGTCTAGCTGTATCGCAAGGGATTGGGGTAGCTATGCTACAACATGTACCAGCGAAAGAAATGATGAACAGTATGGATTGTTTCCTTTCGAAGAGGAGCAATAGTTCCTACACATTAGCGATACAAGTCATAATAGGTAGGACTTCGACTTTCTGCTCAAAAGAAACTTTAGGTCAGGTTTATACTGAAGCTAGGACAAATTTATGACGTAAAAGGCGTCTTCCTCCAGTTTCCGTGCTGATGACTGGCGGATCGGATTTCTCCTCCTCGTAATACAACCAAGTTGAACCAATCAACAAGCATATAAGGAGCTGTCTCCACAAACCTAGTGAGTCTTGAGCGCTTGAAAACTGCGCAGAGAGAAGAAAACCGCGTCAGTTTAGCGTTAGAAGAAAAGATATGAACATACAATGTCTGTGATGGGAATATTGTGGTCGTGGGTCTACACGGGTAGCCGTAATGCTATCCACGGCGCGAGCCATTATTTAACTGCTCCTTGCGTTCCAGACTCCAGGAGCCCGTAAATTCTGGGTCAGTGCGCTTCTACCATCCATCTCAGCACCAATAAAATGAAACAATTCTTCAGCTTCTATGTCTTGACTTGATGGTCACCGGCCTTCAGGCTGCCATAGAGTACCAACTCCAGCACCACTCACTGATTTTTTGCTTATTGTCCATTATGTACAGTATGGACTGGGAGATGAGGCAATTCAGGTGAGGTGAGCTAGCATGTCCATTGATTTCTGGCAACCTCATGATGGGCCCATAGTAGTTCAGCAAATGATCTGTATATGCAAGGTCTGAGCTCCTATAGAGAGTATCTATATCCTTTGAGAGTACAATAGCAGACCAATTGTCTGATAATAAGGTTGTAGCCTCAATAATTGGTGAGAAGACTTGAGATAGTAGGCTGTAAAGCTAGAGTGCCTCCTTTGATGCATGCATTGCAGCCACATATTCAGACTCTATGGTTGAAAGCAAGATGATCTCCTGCCTTTTAGATGACCACAAAACAGCTTCACCATTCAGTAGAAAAGCATATCCAGTAATAGCATGTCTGTCCTCAGTCATGCTTCTATCTGCATCCACAAATCCCTTTAGAACCATTCTATTTCCTCCAAATATCAACCAGTAATCTCTTGTGCTCTCCAGGTAGTGAAAGATGTGCTTTACAGCCCAGTGAGCCTCTGCAGCAGCTGTTGAATATTTCAAGACCACTGTCATGGTAAATGCACTATCAGAGCATGTCCAGAGCATAACTCAGATCAAAAGACCAATAGACTCCCTGTTAGATGGCTGGAATTTTCTGAGTAGAGGCTGGTGCAGAGAAAGAAGATATATGGACATTGGTGTCTATTGGTGTGGAGACTGGTTTGAGGTCCTCAAAGCCATGGCAACAAATGATAGCATTGATATATGAGCATTGTGAAAGTGAAATAGAGCATGACTCTCAGTCATGTGTGATCTTGATGCTGAGAATCCAATGCAACTCACCCAAATCTGTGAATTCCATGTATCTTATCATTTTCTTCTTCACCTCTTGCACCAGTTGTAATAATGATGCAGCAATTGTATGGTTGTTGACATGTACTGCCACCACAGTCAGTTTTTGACCTTCATGCTTGTAAAACACAGCTTGGTCAACATCATATCATTTGAATCCCAACATCTCAATCACAATCTCAATGAGGCATTGATACCAATGATGACCACTCTGTTTCAAAGTATACAGAGTCTTCAAAGGTGGCAGACTTGCCCAGAGTGAGAGCCAGGCTCAGGATAGCCAGGAGGTTGATGCATATAGATGAGCTTTCTGTTCAAATATGTACTCTTGATATCAACCTGGTGGTGTTGAGAGCAGGTTGCATAGCACAGCAGAGAAAGCCAGGTCTGGAGTCAAAGGTCAAAAGCTGGTAAGCATTGACTTTTGATCTTCAGTATTGGTAGCTACAATTATATAAGGTAAGAGTGACATGGAGGGCATGCTACTTCAACACTCCCCCTCAACTGAACATGTCTACAGAGGTATTGAGACAAGTCCAAGTAAGGTAATCATGTGTCTGAGCTTCTCTCTTCCCAATCCCTTTCTCAAGGCATCAGCTGGCATATTATCAGTTTATAAGTGGACCACATGGATGTGCCCCTTCTCAACTTCATTGGACAGCCAATAGAATTGAAGGTCAAGGTGTTTAACCCAGCCATGATGTTCAGGGTTTTGAGCAACTGACAGAGCAGACTCATTGTCAATATAGAGAACTGAAGCATTGGTGAATGTATAGCCAAACTCTGTGAACAAGTTGTGAAGCCAGAGGATTTCCTGACTGGCAGATACAGCTGAAACATATTCTGCCTCTGTTGTTGAAAGTGTCACAAATGCCTGAAGATGACTCATCCAGCTAATGGCTCCAGTACCCATTTTGACAATGAAGCTACTTGTGGAACACCCACTATCTTTGTCACCTCCATGATCTGCATCACAATAAGTCTTGAAGTCAAAGACTGGTGAATCTGACTCAGAGTCAGAAGAGTAGACAATGCAATAGTCAACTGTGCCCTTCAGATAATGTAAAAGCCATTTGAGAGCTTTCCAGTGGGCTGTGCCAGGGTTTTTGCTGAATCATGAGAGTATGCTCACAGGATAGGCAACATTGGGCCTGGTAGCAATAGTGAGGTAGGCCACAGAGCTAAGCACATTCAGATATGGGATTGTCCACATTGTCTCATATTTCTCTGGTGTTTTGGAAGACTGATCTGCTGTAAGTTTTATGTTTGGATCCAAAAGTGTCAGAACAGAGTTGCAGTCAGCCATTCCTGCACATTGCAGAATATCTAAGATGTATTGGCACTGGGAGAGAGTGTGTGTTCAGTTGGCTTGGTCATGCTTGATCTCAATACCAAGGAGGTAAGACATTGGACCCAAGTCTCAAAGCTTGAAGTGCTTTTTGAGATCATTGATGACCTTTGCAACACCATCTGGTGTCTTTGTGGCAATAGTCATATCATCAACAAAGACTGGAATGATGATATGTTCATTGTCCCTCTTGTAAACTCAGACACTATGCTTGCATTTTACCCATTCAAAACCTATGGCAGTGGTCAATGTTGCATGTAGCTTTTTGTGCCATTCTCTTCCAGCTTGCTTTAGTCCATATAGAGACTTGAAGAGGTGCCAGACCCATTCCTTTCCTTTCTCCTCAAAACCTTCTGGCTGCTCCATATACACCTCTTCTGTCAGCTTACCATTGAGAAATGCTGATGAGATATTGACACTCTATAGCTCTAAATCCTTGAGAGCATCAAGTGCCAGGACAGCTCATAGAGCAGCCCATTTTGGCATTGGAGAGAAGGTTTCAGTGTAATCAAAGCCAGGTCATTGTGAGTATCCCTTTCCAACAAGCCTTGCTTTATAGCACTCAATTGATCCATCAGCATTGTGTTTCACTCTGAATACCCAGCAACTCCCAACTGCCTTTCAATTTGGAGGGCATTTCACCAATTCAAAGATACCATTTTCAATGAGTACCTGTATCTGTTGCATAGCAGCTTCATACCAACTTGCAGCTTCCTCTGGAGAACATTTCATAGCTTCACAGAAGGATTTAGGTTCACCATCATGTGTAGATGCCTTGTAAGCTGCTTCTGTCATGCTTTCAAATGCAACTTCCAGTCCTTCCTCCATTGTCAAATGCTCTATTGTCTGGCTGGAGAAAGCTATGTCTTTGAGAATAGTTTTGTCTTCCATAAAGGCTGTGTGTGCTTGATCCTCTGCATTTCTTGCATGATCATCATTATTGACAATTCAGCACATTCCACAACTATAACCAGGGCTGAGATCATATAAGCCATCATCATACATTCTGTATTCATGTTTGCCTAGGTCTGTTGGAGGTAGTGGTGATAGTGATGGAGTTAGATCTGAGAGAGATCCATCAAATGGTGAGCCAGGAAGAGTCATAACATCATGGGAAAGAAGTGATACTGAAGGTGATGGGCTTAGAGGAGATGAGGGATTTAGTGCTGGAGGATTTTCTGAAGGTGAAAGATCATCATTGTTAAGGTCTCCCTCTTGATCAGACAGCATAGGGGAATCTGACAGATTTGAGAGTGAAGAAAATAGGCCACTGAAAGAGTTGATATAATGAACTTCTTAGTTACAGGGTTCCAGCACTTCCATGCCTTTGTACCTGATGGATATCCAATGAATATGCATTTGGTGGTATGTGGCTAAAGACCTTGTCACTTGTTCTTTTTGACATGGACATAAGCTAAGCAGCCAAAGACACACAAGTTAAAGACATCAGGTTTCTTCTTGTGCCAGCCAGTGTATGGTGTTGTTTTAGAAAGTGGTGCTGTAGGGCAATGGTTGCACACATATATGAATGCAAGCACTGCTAGTCTCCAGAAGGAGGGAGAAAGACAAGCTTCATAGAGCATAGTAATAGCCCCTTCAGCAATATTGTGATTTGCATGCTCTGCAATTCCATTTTGATGAGGCTCATCAGGCTCAGTATAGCATCTTGATATCCCTTCTTCTATGCATAACTGATCAAATTCATGATCTATATACTCTCCTCCACTGTTATCTTGCTCCTCTAAGATCTTCAGACCATGAAAATTTTCAGCATAGGCTTTGTAGTGTTTAAATTCAGCCAGAGCATTGCTCTTGTGCTTTAGCAAGACAACAGCCCAAAAACATAGAGCACCACATATAAAAGTGATCCAGTAGCAATAACCTTCTGGTGTAGCAACTGGCATAGGTTTCTTAAGATCAGAGAATACAATTGCAAGAGGGCATGTTGGAAGGAGTGAGGGCCCTTGAGGAATATTATGTTGCCTGTGCTTGCCCATAAGACAGGATTTGCAAATTGGGTTGGGATTGCATTGCATATTGTTCATCTTCATATTTAAGACAAGCTGATCCTCATACATGTTCTGGACAATGTTTATGCTTCTGTGACAGGTTCATTGATGCCATAGAGTCAGATCAAGTGGACAGGTGCTTGCAGTACTTGAGGTTATCAGCCTTGTAGTGTGAGTGGTGCCATTAAGATATCCAATGTTGTTATCATTGACAGTAGCTGAGAAACAAAGTGCTTTGTCTTGAAAGAACTGAACAGATGACCTGGCTATGTTGATCTCATATTCTTCATGACATGTAAGATGGAAGGGTGAAAGCAAGTTATTGTGAAGATCAGGTACATGCAGTATATCCAGGAACTCAACAGCCTCACAGACCTCTCAATTCTTCTCTTTAGGCTCAAACACAACTGTCCCCATGCCTACTGAATAGATGATTGAATTGTCTGCTAACCAAATCAGAACCACATGTGGTGTCCAGACATGAAACCAGTCTCGACAATAGCTCATGTGAGATGAAGTGCCTGTGTCCATATTCCAGTTAGATGATGCTGGGGACAAGAGATCAATACTCACTTGGCTGGCAGTCTCTTCTGCAATGTTTGACTTCTCTGTCTTTGCCTCTCCCACCTTCTTGTCTGATTTTGTATTCCAACATTCCTGAACACACTGTATAGCTTGCTCCTTGGCTTTCTTTTTGCTGAAACACTCCTTCTCAGTATGTCCAGAGTTGGTGCACCAGCTGCAGGTGGTATCAGATGATGCCACATGAGTGGCTTGGACTCTGACAGTGCTCACTTTGAATGATGTTGCTGAAGTGGTATTGTGAGAGCAGCACTGCATCTCTTTGGTGTGGAAGACAGCAACAAGTTTGTCGAGACTGAGACTGAGGGAATGGAGGAGAAGGACTGATGACACAAAATTGTCATAATCGGATGAGAGGGCACAGATGAGAGTCATGGATTGAAGCTCTTCATCAAGTTGATTGATGGTGAACTTTTTGGGGCAGAGTGCTTTGATGTCTTGTATAGCTTGTGAGACACATCCAATGAGAGTAGAGAGAGACTCTTCATCATCCTTCCAAATGCTGAATAAGGCATCATAGACATTGAAGCAGGTGCCTAGTTTTTGCTGTTGGTGAATGTCTTTCAGTTTTGACCACATAGCTGTGGGCTTACCTATGAGGAGACTGATGTGAGCATGCTGTGATTCATCAATGCAAAGCCAGAGGTATCCTGCTGCAGATGAATGAGCTTAAAGGCAAGCTTTTATCTCCTTCTTTTTGAGCTTTGTGGATTCACTGAGGTCAGCTTGCTCTGGTGGCTCCTCAGTGCTATCAAAGTGGCCAAATAGCCTCTTGATACACATGTAGGCCTCAAATGAAGGTGCAAAGTGGTTTCAGTTGCTAGCATGGAGGTTGGGAAAGCCACATTTGGTGGTGTTGACAACATTTGAGTTGTTCATCATAGTGTGAGAAAAAAAGAGACCATTGGGGTTAGAGAGTGTGTGGAGGCCTGTGATGGGTGGATGCAACTTCCAAATGGATAGTGATGTCCCTTAAGAAAGTGAGTGAGACTTTGACATTAGTGAATGGTTTATGAGAGGGAATGAAAAATTTGCTTGGCTTAATAAGGCACAGAGCCCATAACCTGTTGAGAGCAGGTTGCATAGTGCAGTGGGGAAAGCCAGATCTGGAGTCAAAGGTCAAAAGCTGGTAAGCATTGACTTTTGATCTCCAGTATTGGTAGCTACGATTATATAAGGTAAGAGCAACATGAAGGGCATGCTGCTTCAACAGGTGGAGCTTGAGATTGAGTGTTCCAGCCATAGTGAGAATAGACCAGATAGATGCAAGCCTGGCAACAGGAGTATAAGTGTCAAAATAGTCAGTGTAGGTGCTTAGACATGTTTCACAGTAGAATAGAGGATGATATTGTGAAGAGTGAGGGAGGTGGTCAATGTCTGCCATTCATGTACTGTAACTACTTATATACTAATGGTTCAATGGGTGGTATAAGTAAGTAAGACAAATAATAAGAGTAGTAATGATAAAGACAAACCAAAAGGCAAGTAATTGATGCAAACAATGTAATAGACACAGGCCAAGACCTCTGTGCAAGACAATGGGTGCACACAGTGGCACAAAATCCTCTACATCAGCACCAGGCATCTTTGAGAAGCCTTGCACTACTAGATGAGCTTTGAACTTGACTATGCCTCCTTCAGCATTCTTCTTGATTCAGAAGACCCACTTTGAACTAACAATGTTCACTCTAACTGGCTTGTTGACAATTTTCCAAGTCCCAGCAGCCTTCAGTGTTGTGAGCTCTTCCTGTATTTCACCTTCCCACAAAGGCCACTCAGGTTGATGCTTTGCTTCAGCTAAACTGCATGGTTTTAGGGCCTCAGCATCAGCCATTGAAATGGCCATTGCATAGTCTTCCAGAAAGCCCACATCCTTGGTGAGTTGCAGGTTGCTTGCATTTGCACTGTTTGGCACATCATACTCATCTTGCCCTTTCCAGCTGTGGAAAGTTTTTGAGTGTTTGCAGCTTGGAATGCCTTGGGTGGATTATACTGAAATGAGTTGAAATCTCCATGGTAAGGGAAAATATGGTATGTACAGCCAGAGTCATAGAGTTCAGTTTGAACTCAGTCATCAGGTGGGTTTGCAGCACTGATAACAGCTGTGACTGGCTTGTCAGAAGCAGATACCCTCTCCAAAGTCAGCATGCAAGATATGGTATCTGAATCCTTGCCAATGAAGGAGTTTACATCACTCCAGTCAACATCTGAGGACAATGCACTGCTCAGCTCATCCCATGACTCATCATCAACTTCTGAAAAACAGTCAGCACTATTATCTTCATCCTCCAAGTCCTCTGACAAGCTCTCAACTTCAGACTCATCTGACTCAGGGACTGTTGCCAGTGATAGCATGTTACTAGCATCACCAACTCAAAATGCACCACTGGCTTTCCAGTCTGAATCTGATGATTCCTCAGCCATGTTGGTTATTTCTCTCTTTGATTCAGAAGTCTTTCCATTGCTATCTGATGACTTCTTCTCAGGGCATTTATTCTTGAAGTGTCCCTCCTTTCCACACCCCCAGCACAGTTTCTAGCCCTTGTTGCCACTGCCAGAGCCTAAGGATACTGACATAGCTTTGTCTTCCTCCAAGTCCTTCCCCTTTCCAGACTGACAACTGCACTTGGCTTGCTTGTGTTCCAGCCTGTTATGTTCCTCAGAAATGGCTTGGATCAGATTCTCAGGATTGACTTCCCTTGTGAAACTGAAGAGTTTTGCTGCTGTGAGAAGAGTCAAGAAGAGTCAATGCATGCTTAGCAAAATAGGGGGGATAGAGGTGAGAATCATTGAGCAGTAATCCTTCTTCTCAATAAGTAAAGATGACCTGGATGGACCAAACAGACAAATGCATATCTCACATCTTGTATAACACCATGACACCATTTCCCTGAAAACACTAAGAAAACGGCTGCAATCATTGATAGGAAGTCCGATGATAACATTGAACAAACCCCAAGTCTGAGAAACAGAAAAGTATTGCGAGACTGGAACCTACTGAGGCCATCTTATCTACCGCAGATGTACGAAGGTCTTGTGATTTATGAAATATAATATATTTATCAGACCACTGACACCCGAACGACCTCTGTAGACCTTGTAAATATAGTAGACACAAGCTACCAAGGGAAATGTCCATCATCCCCCCAAAACAGACCTGTTCAGGGCACAAAATCAGCAACATATCCTGCCCATCATTAAGACAAACTCACAAGTCTTTCCCTTGTCTTCTGGGCCTAACGAAGCCCACGACAGAAGCGCCTTCGCTCCGTCCTCTGGCTTCTTGCCTCCAGGGCGATACCCATTCAACTTGGTCGTCACAAACCCGGGACATACCATGTTAACCTTGATGTCTTCCGCCTCCAAATCCTTCGCCAATATAATCGAGTATGAATTCATGGCAGCCTTGCTCGAGTTGTATGCAGCGAGGTGCAATGTTGGTCCGGGACCAGCTTGGCGCGTGTTTGATGCTAGCGCCATCGAGACGTTCAGAATGCAGGCGTAGCCTTTCGGTGCCGCTCGGAGGAGAGGGACGAATGCCTGGGTGGTCTGGACGAGCCCGAAAAAGTTGGGCTCGAAAGTCTTTCGAAGCGTGTCGACTGAGACGGTGCAGGATCCTTGGGGTTCTGACATATAGCTCATACCTGTCCAGAGTCAATAAGCGTAGATAGGGCGGAAGAGGTACAAAGCGTACCCGCGTTGTTTACGAGTGTATCTAATCTTCCTTCTGCTTTCTCAATGGTATCCTTCGCTGCTTGGATCGAGGCAACGTCTGTTACATCGAGCTGGACCAATTTGACCTCGAGGTTGTATTGGTCCTTCAAGTTGGCCCTATCAGAGGAAATTGATTGCGGATCTGTCAAAGCGAATGAAACCTGCTTACTGTGCTGCTCTTCCAGACGTTTCATTCCTCGACGCCAGATAAACGGTGTGGCCTTTCTCAGCTAGGAGTCTGACAAGCTCGTAGCCAATCCCATCGTTGGACCCGGTAACAAGGATAACACGCTTGTACTGGTCGTTGGTTGTCGCCATCATGAGAGAGATCTCTGTAATCGCGTCCTCATATACTACTGCCGCATGCCGTTTGTTCTGCCGAGTGTATGATTTATCATCGAGCGGCCGGATAAATTCCGCAGTTACTAGATCCTGATTTCGTGAAACTGGAATCGAGGAACAACAACTGAGTGTCTATTGCCTTCCTCCTTTCTGGCGTTTGTACTATTCGCAGCATTTTAACAAGAAGACTTTAATCGACAAATAATTACACTTGTCTGGTCATAAAGTTGAAAGAAAGCTTGATGAAGATACAGTTACTGTGACGATGATATCTTGACACAAGAATAACCCGCTGACGCGTTGTTGCGGCATCAGAACCAGAAAAGAGTCGTGACTAATTTCTTGAAGGGCGGTGTCTGTATACGTTATAGTCAGATGTAAACTTGGAAGCTTTCAAGTATGTCACAACAAACCCCTTGCTTACCACAATGGACGTTCAGAATTTTCCCATAATTTCTCCACCTCGCCCAATCGTCTACTAGCTTTTGACAAGAGTATATCAGCATCTGGCCGAGAAACAAGGACTATGCCCCACAAGAAAACAATCCTACCGAAAGCCGACATCTGTCCCATACTTGGAGAAGTATTTCAGATGGATACCAAGATCCTGCCCCTATTTCTGCTCATTATCGACTCGAGAATGAGGGCCGAAGCCAACGATATCACATTCTTCTAGTGACGATGGCAACAGCGACAAGGTTGTACTGCTCAGTGCTAACCGAGAACTCATGTCGTATTCATGAGGTAACCCTTGGTTTCTAATCAGGCTTCAGATCGAAGAAGACCTGATGCCAAAGTACCATGAGGAAAAAAACGAGTTTTCCTTGATGAATACGGAAATCCGCCCGATATCCCGTTCGACAGCACGTAGCGGAAGCTTACATCATGATGCTCAGTATGTGAAAGCCTTTCTACACGAACATAGCTTCCTACTCTGATCATTATTGTTTGCTAACAGTGTCCTAACTTATGTATACAAGAGACTCGGCCGTACTATGATGCGACAAGTCGTGTTCTTCCCCCTTCCCCATCGGTTAGATATCGCAGCAGGACCCTATATTTCTCCTTATTTAAGTTTCGTTCCTCCTAACTACCCAGGGCAGTCGAAGATTATATAGGTTTTTCCCACTCAATGGCGGAAATTTCAATTCGGGAATTTGCCGCTCTTCTCTTTTCTTCTTAGTCTACGTCTCGAGCATCTTAGTTCGCAACAACGCAACCCTAGGACACGTATATCTCAACCGGTGTTCAGCACATCATCAGAGCAACGCACCATAACTTTGTCCCAGCCATGACCAGATCACATTCATCCGGGATTTGCAGAAGAACTGTGGTTAGCTCTAGTTTACAACAGGAGGATTAAACAGCATTTGGGCACCGAAAGACCATGGGGTGATGACGGTCAGGTTCGAGTATGCTGGTGTCACCATAGAAATCAGTTACTGTCTGAGTTGCTCCTACACGAAGATTGCACACCATTATGCAGTTCGCCCTCTGGCCTATCAGAGTGACTGCAGCGCTTGGATGGTGGCGTTAAAGTGAAGCCGGGAAAGACCGGCCCGGAACCTCACGTCTGTGGCGTGGGAATTGGCGGCCTTGCAAAATGCTTCTCTGTTCCTACTGAACTGATCCTACGTTGTTAAACAGCGGAACTGATTACTTCACCGTGCGCCGGCGCCGGTCCTTTTATTCTACTTACTACCATCCTTGTCTCCCTACGGCCCTGACCAGGATTTACAGAGCTGTCAGACAGCCGACATAATCGTCCTACATGCTTCGCTACCAAAAGACGCGCTACTCTCGATAGTCCGCCGTCTTCGACACCATCTGTTCTTCCTCGCTTATCGTATGTCACTGTTCTCAGTATGCCTTCACATGGAAAAGGTATTCACTGCACCTCTACTGACCGCTGCGATGCTAAGCGCCCATCCTCTACAGCACATACCTTGCTAAACACCCACCACCATGCCCGCGCTCGTCACCTCTCTCCAAATTGCCGCCCTCATCGAAGCTTCCGGTATATACCATATACTGAGAAACTCGCCATGGTTTCTGTAGCTGTCATAGACCTGCTCCAGGTTCGTACTCTCACAACGCTCTGTGCAATCACTCGCACCTTAAAAGTTTCATTCAAGCAATGGTCGGATGTCCGAGAACGCAGAGGAAGAGATCTGACAGGTACACTAATCCTTTTTTCTATTGGACTTGTGGCTTAACCCAGTTGGTCGAAGACAGGAAGAAACACTCCTGAATCTGGAAGGCGAAAGGCTCACACGAAAACACGACGACTGGGCACAACCTTCTGTTCCACAAAGCATACAGGTCGCGCTTTCCTTGATGGTACGGTATAATCGAGGATCCTTAATATTCCTCCTGCCTAAATTATTTTCTCCTCTAGCAAGATAACCTGAGACGAGGCTCGATGTATCCTTTCCATCTCTGCTCTATCTTGATAATGGCAAGACTACGATGTATACTTATTTTCCGCTGCACGGATGTCTTTCGATAGGCGATAGGATCGCGTCCTTGTTTCCTCGCTACAAGATGGGATGTCGACATTTATACGTTGTACATCGCAGTGGTATAGTTAGAGATTAATAAAGTAACATCGATTATCTTACTACATTGCCTAGACTAAACGGAGCTTTGGTCCGTTATCAGATCGACCATTCGCCGTTGATGTGCTGTTTGATTCAGACAAGGTAAAGTTAGAGGCGACGCTAGTATGACTCAAACCGCGAGCTACCTTTTTCAATTGCACACATTGCGTCTTCTTAATCATGTTGTGGCTCATATCTGTATTACAGCCTAAGGGTAAACCGTACCCTGATGAATTTACTATTGCCTCGGACAGTGGAGTTTTCATGGGTACGTTCATGTGATGGTATTTTAGCAGTCGCCGCCCCTCTTGAAGTCAGTATCTTCGTGACCCGCAAGAAACTTGTACCTGCGGGCAGCATCGTTTTATTCAAAGGTCACTGGACGGTACAGGTACACGGTGACACCCAGGCAGATGGCAGAGAACGACCAGGCTTTGAGGAATGATAATCACACAGTTTCTTTCAAGGGAAGAGGGGTAAATAGGTATATAACTGGCTTATCGCCTTTGTGTTTGAGAACAAGATGTAGAGTATAATCATTTGTAATGTTATAATTGGACAGCCGGCGTGTGAATTTAAGCTGCTTTCCCCCAAAGATGAGCCATTGCTGATCAAATGGTATACCTTCACGATCTTGCACCAGCTCTGCTCAACTCAGAGAACAGTGCAGATGGAGACAGTAATGTCACTGTGATCATTGTTCCGGTTAGAGTTTTGACATAAATTTTTTATCTTTTGACTGGGAGGATTAAAGGTTAGAGTCTGTCCTGATCGAAGTTCAGTGGATTTGGCCAGAAAAGAAGCCGCGACCCATGGGAGTTAAAAATCGGTCACCGATATTCCGCGTCGCGGTAGAATGTACAGTCGTAAAGGTAAATGAAAGGAAAAAAAGGGGCCCAAACAATTCAACTTCGGTTGATCAGAATGGTTATGATAGTGTCGTGAAAGCGTAGCAGCGTTGCATCATTGAAAACTTCACTAAACGGGGAGAAGACTGCGGTACTTCCGCCGTGATTGAGGCTCCGATTTGGTTCTTCCTTTTTTTTTTACCATTACTACCACTCTCCCACTTTACTGATCGATCTTGCCTGATTTGACAACTCCAGCTGTGGACCGATTCGCTGAAGTTAATATCTAACAAGGACTTCAACGTGCACTGCCTCTCCCAGAGGTAGGAAATGATTGCCGAGTACTTCAAGATTCCGGGTGAGTCGCAGAAACGTATGTATCGCCCACCATTTGATTGATACATCATCTCCTGTCGCCTAGTGATTCTTCATCGCCATCAGTTGGTGCTGCATACGATTGAGGTCGTAACTGGCGCCTGATCGATAACCTCGATGCAAGGGACCTAGTCGATGCTGGTGAGACTTGTCATTCTCGGAGTCTTTTTTTTTGCTCAGCCTTCGACAATGCCGACGTCTTCTTCTTTCGAACGGATAAACAAAATCCACCCGACTAGAGTTCCTTACTAAGTATTACTAAGTATTCGACGACTGCATTTCCGCATACGCCCAGTTTTATGGACTCTTCAACAACCCGTTCTTCTCTAAGCATTTGCTTTCCTGTCTTTTTTTGGAGGCGCTATTTTTGCTTCGTATTAAATCGAAGTCTACCTCAACTTTGACACGACTCTTTATGCCGAAATTAACAGCCCTGCCTTAAGAAGATGGATGGCTCAGGAAAGGCACTGCTGGTGAGCGTTAAGAAATCCATGTCTCGTCAACGCTTATTGAGTTTTCCCTTGTTTTCTAGTAATCCTTTGCACAAGCTAGTTGTCGCCGCCCCGGCCTCGTACGAGTGAGGTCGCAATTTATCTAGGAGATGAAGGAGCAGGGATGGGACGGTTTCCCCAGGCAGATCTGAGGATGATGAGCCCTTGTGATTTCGGATACGTCCCTTCTATGTGCTTAGGCGCTGCAGAAGGCTTATTTCCCAGATAACGTGAAACAACTCGGCTAGACCACCATCTTTGTCCTCGACGATCTCGCATATATCTACTCTACGCGAAGGTGTATAGACTCGCTCGCACCCGCCTTGATGACCTGTTCTAACCAAAGGATTTGCGACGACAATATCTCGTTTTCGGGTCAGTTACTCCTTCATTTCGGATGATTATACGTCTCACTTCTTGGATGCAGAATGGCATACCTTGAGGAACTCATCGAGGGTGGCACCAGCTTCGTATGGTGTAATTCTCTGCATGTTGATACCCTTTCGCGTAATGAGCTTCTCCGAACTCACCATAGATCGTTTTAGATCGGATATCTGTATACTGGACCAATACAAACCACCATATCTTCAAATCTTCTACGTGCACTGACCGTGACCATGGACTCAGAGACAAGAGCTCAGTTCCTCTGCTCGGAGAACTCACTTTCCATCGCAGCGTGGTTTGCGCACCACTCCATAGGTTTAATTCAAGCGCCTAGGATCCCTTTTGTGTTCTATGGATGAGTTCTTTTCAATACCACGTAAGAGTCGGGTCGGTAGATAAGTGCCGGGCATGTTGGTTGGTTCAACTTGGTTGTGGGACGGGGAGGATAAATTCGTTCAGCCACTTATCAGCCTGGGAACTGGAGGAAGACGCTTTTCACTTCGTAAATTCGGCCTAGCTCCCGTATTAACCCAATGTTTCTAGGGTTAAGGTTCCGCTGTCTGTTGAGCAGAAAGTCGAGAAGCCCTACCTTTTATGACTTCTCTTGTTAATATCTGGGAACTATAGCTCCTGTTCCAAAGGTAATAATCCATGCTGTTCATCATTTCATTTTCTGAAACATGATGTAGCATAGTTATCGCAATTCCCTAGGGATACAGTTGGACACAGCCCTTCTGATCTGCCTTTGTTCGAAGATTGACGAGGGCAATGTCCGCAGCATGATGGACATAAGTATGATCTTCTATAGCATTCCGCCGTAGTAACGCGGTCTAATTTCGGCGTCTTCAGAATCGGCCGTGGGAACTGAGCGGGAGGAAGAGTCGAGTTCTTCCTCATAACAACGAACACATATGCTCATTCGACTGTAAGTAGAGCATCGGTTCAGTGGATGTATTTATAGCAGCGCAGAGCACGATCCACCTTCCGCTAAGCAACTTCAAAGACGGTTAATCTTAGTGAAGATACATTTAACTTGCCTTCTAATACGACCCCGATCAGCTTGGCATTGTTGGGCTGTCCATTCTGTACTACTTTCGCTGTTCACTGGACATATCCGACGCCGAGGGTGCACTTGAATCTTTCTGGATCCATGTTGATTCTTCCGCAGTGTCTCGCGGACATGGAATGGAGAAATCTGCATCCCAGGAGAAATAACGTAGCACAGCCCTTCAGTTAGGCCGAGTTTAGGCATCTTGATTGATGATCGGATCCGCATGAAACAAAAAAAGTATTCGGGCCGGACTTCGCAGCTGCGCGTTTGAGGCTGTGGTATTGATCGTTGGAAATGCTTTAAGCTGCTTTCGCGGTACATTTATTCAAAATATGGCACCCATTCGTCCTCACAATAAGACAAGAAGCGGCTGCAAAACGTGCAAGGATCGAAAGGTCAAGGTATGTACTTTGCCTGCCTCGTTCCGCCGACGGTGATGTTGAAATATGACTAGTGTGACGAATGTCTTCCCATATGCCAGAACTGCACCAGACGTGGGATAGAATGTGTATGGAGTAGTACTGGTCCATCGGCAGCGCTTGTGCTGCGTGAACCGTCAAGTTCGAATGGACGCTCGACATGGGCCGGCCCGAGTTCATCCGACCCCTTAATTCTTGAATTGATGCACCACTACTCTACATCTGCTTCCTACTCACTCTCTTCTGATCCCGAGGCGTCTCGAATATGGAGTAGCGTCATTCCCAAAATGGCCTTTGACCCACAGAACCAGTATCTCCTCCACGCCATTCTCGCGTTTTCCGCTCTTCACATGCACCATACCGATTCGACGTCCCTTCCTCGGTATGCTGCAGCCGCCCACACTTTTTATCAACAAGCGAAAATCGGCATACACTCTGAAGAAGAGGGGACTGCAGACATAAACGCCGCCCTCATGGCACTATGTCTCGTCGGGCGTTATGAATTCGCCTCATTGGCCAAATTATGCCCGCTGTCCTCCAGCGACTCGGATTGGTACATCACCCATTGTGCCATCCGCCGCAACATTGCAAAGAACCGGACGGAGTCCCAGGATGGTGATTTCCGTTTGCTGCTGCGTGCTATGGCACCGCCATATGTACCGACGAATTTCAACGAAGACTTCCCATTATCCTTGTCGACACTCCTGAGCACAGGTCCGGACGTTGAGGAGCTGCATGACGCGTCGGTACGCGCCGCCTATCAGGATTCCATACATTTCCTGGAAATAGCGTGGAGAGCTTCTTTTCATAAATGCATTGGTGTATGGTGGAGTATGATGTCGCATACGTTCTTTCGTCTGTTGGAAGAGCAGAGGCCCCGTGCGCTCATCATTTTGGCACATTACTGTGCCATGATGAAGCACGTCACTCGGGATGGGCCGTGGTGGGTGAAGAAGCAATGGGGCAAAGAAGCTGCGCGGATCGTCTCTATGCTTGATGCGCGGTGGGCTCCGTGGTTAGGATGGCTTGAGAGTCAGTTGGATGGGGAGCGTGAGATTCAGGTTTTTGAATTTACGGGCTCGGGATTTTTGACGTGGATCGACGCGGGAGACGGTGGTCATTCCTAGTTTGCGACATGCTGCGTCGAAAGATAGAATTGATGTAGATACACAACCCAAATGTATACCGTTTTGTAACTGGAAAGGTCCGGTAATGTCGAGAATAAATAATCCTAGCGCCAGATAAAATAAGTTTAACGTCACCTTCGTCGAACATTGGAGGAGACATACCCATACATAAAGTAATCCATCCTGCCTCAGTCTACCGCTCACCGGCACCCCTCTTCCTGCTTTCATCTACACTGAATCAAACGGACTACGCTTCAACTTTTGAAGTTTCTTCGTACCTACCTTCATAGATAACGACTCAAGATTAGTATGTGACAAGAGGATATGGCAGCGACGAGGGTGCAATAGATCAAGGTGCTGCCAGAGGTGCGAACAACGGCATTTTGGCCCCGTCGAGGGTTTCCAGCGTCATCTAAATTTATACTGGCACCGAGCTGTTGTATGTAGTCAAAGAAACCCTTTAGATCAGGTTAAAAATACAAGGCGTGCTTTTTTGGGGTCTGGAAAGTGTGGTGGCACACAACAACGTGACTCTGAGCCATCAACTTGACTGTATTGTCATTTTTATCGTCTGCGGCGGTACCTGATACGACCTCTCTGGATCTAATGGGCTTGTGTGTAGTGAGGTACGGGCCGTACGCGAGTAAACTGAAGATCCCCGGGTTGTCACTGACTGGCGGGGGTCCTCCAGACGTGCCTGTCCGGAAGCAACTCTTGCGACAATGAGTGTCGGGGCGATTCCCTTTAAACATATCAATCTCGGGAAGGAAATGAAAGAGAGCGAAATGAACATACGGTGATGGAGGAAAGTATCACTTGCGGATGGAGGCTCGTCAAGTCATCATGCACGAGATAAATGAGGAGGATGAGAAGAGAGAGTGCGTGGAGTGCCGACGACTCGATGAGTAGTGATGTGAGCCGCGAACTGCTACACAGATCTCCGGTAGATACCGTACGAAAAAAAGAGTTGGAGTTAGAAAAACATACCGAAAAGTCCATATACGGCTACGTCTACCTTTTGTTCACGTTGTCGATGGTACAGCACACCGGAAACTTCAGCGCATGTGGGCGACGTGTTCAGTGCAAGCCTGATGGTTGGTGAATTGTGCCGCAGAGCGCGGCACAGAAGCACGCGTCAGCACTGGCATATGGAAAAAGATTCCGCAAAATCTGATAAGATAACAGAAGAAGGTAAACTTGATGGCAGTGCAGCGATTGTTCATCAGCCCCAGCCAGAGCTTCGAGAAGATATCCAGGCTTGAGGAGCACGCTCCGTTACCACTCAGTACCACACACGTAGTGCGGGATTACATGGATCATCGTCGTGGAAAGGGCCGATGATGAGGTCCAGCGACAACCCGTTTGGAAAGCACTCCAAGATAGTGTGCAGTTCTGTCAGCGGGGATTGAAGTTTCTCTGAAAAAGCAATGAGAACATCTGGGGAGAAAGAGAAAGACATGGGATTACGTTTTTTATGGTCCTCTGGCCTCCTTTGTGCAATTACGGTGTCTCGTCCATGGCTCATGTACTCTTCGACATTGTCCAGCAGATAATTAATAATCGTTGTTGATTTGACGCTCGACAGCGACCTATGCCAAGGACCTCAGTAAGTGGTGGAAATGATATCCAATGCGAGACTTACTTTCTCTGCCCTCCAGATCCATTGCTCCCTCATTTCCTTCGGGAAATAAGCCTCGCTGAACACTTCTTTCCACCAGACAAACCTTTCGTTCACATGTCACTTGTGTTCTTGAGGGATGGCGAGCGTGCTTTGCGTTCGAGATACCGTTCTCGACGCGTTGTGAGTATACGATGACGAGCAGCACGAACCTTTATTTTTGTGAAACTTCTGTTCCTTCTTCGGCATTTGAATTGGCTTTGGCGTTGACCGTTCATGTCAGGAAGTCCGGGTTTCCCACCCTCTCCTTGTCAGATCGGATTCGGAACTCGGCTCCAAGTGCAGACCGGGAAGACCGTCCCGGAAAATCGCGTCAATGGCGTGGGAACTGGTCGACGTGAGCGTTCGATGGCATTCCTTGGGTTCTAGATTCTCTGTTATTCCTCGACCTCCTCCTCCATCGCTTATATCGTTCACCCCCAAGGATGAACCAGCCGCTGGCCTTGGCCTTGTTATCATCTGATCTTGTTATTTATATGGCTATTGACTTTATGCCCGAGATTGCGTTATCCGTAATTCTGCAGAACTGATGCTAGAAAGGTGAAACCGATTAGCTTACTAGCAAGCGAGCATCGTTATTCCGTCTGACCTATTTCAAGAAGAAAATGGACATTAGATCGATAACTCAACCTTACAAAAACTGGGGGGTCGTATTCCATGTTCTCCTAAAACTAACAATATAATATCTCCAAGACAATAAGTATCCCTATGTCTTAACGTTAGCTCTATTGCTACACCAAGTATTACTACGCTCCGACTGCTAGTGTGGTGGTGGTCCCTTCAGTCTACTTGCTAGCATCTTTACCTTGCTACTGCTCTCATTCAGGTATACAAATTATTTTCGCCAATATCATAGCCCCTTGTCGGCCGATATAATTGCCTTACACGCTTGGCTACGAAAAGACACGCTACTCTCGATAGTCTGCCATCTTAAACATGACTCTCCTTCCTCACCACTGCATTCGGTGCGCCTTCACATGGAAAAGGCCTAAAATTATCTCACATCGTTCACCGTACCTCTATCTGTCAGGCACCCACGCACTACAGCACACACGCCTCTCTCCAAATGACCAGTCTCGTCGAAGATTCCGGTATACCATACGTCGAGAAACTCGCCACGATCGCCGTAGCCCTGCTCCAGGTTCTTTACTGCCTTGGCTTAAGTGGCAAACTCGAAATTTATATACCGCGTTGTCGATGATGGCAGGAATAAAGGAATTGAAAAGGGTCAGCCACTTTGAAGGGTTTTTTTTTTTCGGTCTATGAGGAGATCCAAAACCAACATCGATCCAAGAATTTCAATCATGTTGTTACATATACTTTTACAACAGCGTTTCTTTTTACCATCACGAAAATCAAACCCGAACAAGCGCTCGCCGCTGAGTACAACAAATTCTAACTTCACATAATGTAGTGCTAAACCGTTGACCAGAGGGTCACGAGCGGTAGACATCTATTTCACAAAGCTCCGGTATCACCTTATGCTCCCCATATTGATGCTCTCCTGACTCATCACATGCCTCGGTCCCAACTTGACACCAGAGTCCATCCAATAATGCACTGGGAGCGTTGGCGCGGTCCGGTTCCTCCGAGATCACATTGCCGTAGATTCCCGCTTGTCCGTAGCTACAACCGAGACTATCACTACCCATTGCCGATTCCCTCTCTTGGACCTAGCGATACAGTTCCAGCACGTTACGCTCCACGCTAATCTGAAACTACCATCCAACCATCTATTAATAACTATGACTGGACGAAAAGATTAATACCGCTCACCTCTACCCATTTAGCCAACTCCTGGTCAGCCGTATGAAAACATGTGAGATGGCACCCGCCCCCTCCGAAGACTCGGAGAAAGCGCGCACCACACGAGGTCGACGGCTATCCGGGAGTTTCGTGAGTCCCATCCTCCCAGACGAAGACTTGCATCCTCGCCGTAGACCACGCCCAGTGTCCAACCTGCCAGTCGCAGCTGTCTTTACACGAACGACGACGACGACGACGAACAAATCTAGAGAACTTACGTTGTTAATAACGAGTTGACATATATTTTCAGTGAAAATGAGAATGTCAGCTAGCATGGTATAGTATATTGGACGTACGTTTACTGACGTCCGGACCTGTGCTCAGGAGTGTCGACAAGGATAATGGGAAGTCTTCGTTGAAATTCGTCGGTACATATGGCGGTGCCATAGCACGCAGCAGCAAACGGAAATCACCATCCTGGGACTCCGTCCGGTTCTTTGCAATGTTGCGGCGGATGGCACAATGGGTGATGTACCAATCCGAGTCGCTGGAGGACAGCGGGCATAATTTGGCCAATGAGGCGAATTCATAACGCCCGACGAGACATAGTGCCATGAGGGCGGCGTTTATGTCTGCAGTCCCCTCTTCTTCAGAGTGTATGCCGATTTTCGCTTGTTGATAAAAAGTGTGGGCGGCTGCAGCATACCGAGGAAGGGACGTCGAATCGGTATGGTGCATGTGAAGAGCGGAAAACGCGAGAATGGCGTGGAGGAGATACTGGTTCTGTGGGTCAAAGGCCATTTTGGGAATGACGCTACTCCATATTCGAGACGCCTCGGGATCAGAAGAGAGTGAGTAGGAAGCAGATGTAGAGTAGTGGTGCATCAATTCAAGAATTAAGGGGTCGGATGAACTCGGGCCGGCCCATGTCGAGCGTCCATTCGAACTTGACGGTTCACGCAGCACAAGCGCTGCCGATGGACCAGTACTACTCCATACACATTCTATCCCACGTCTGGTGCAGTTCTGGCATATGGGAAGACATTCGTCACACTAGTCATATTTCAACATCACCGTCGGCGGAACGAGGCAGGCAAAGTACATACCTTGACCTTTCGATCCTTGCACGTTTTGCAGCCGCTTCTTGTCTTATTGTGAGGACGAATGGGTGCCATATTTTGAATAAATGTACCGCGAAAGCAGCTTAAAGCATTTCCAACGATCAATACCACAGCCTCAAACGCGCAGCTGCGAAGTCCGGCCCGAATACTTTTTTTGTTTCATGCGGATCCGATCATCAATCAAGATGCCTAAACTCGGCCTAACTGAAGGGCTGTGCTACGTTATTTCTCCTGGGATGCAGATTTCTCCATTCCATGTCCGCGAGACACTGCGGAAGAATCAACATGGATCCAGAAAGATTCAAGTGCACCCTCGGCGTCGGATATGTCCAGTGAACAGCGAAAGTAGTACAGAATGGACAGCCCAACAATGCCAAGCTGATCGGGGTCGTATTAGAAGGCAAGTTAAATGTATCTTCACTAAGATTAACCGTCTTTGAAGTTGCTTAGCGGAAGGTGGATCGTGCTCTGCGCTGCTATAAATACATCCACTGAACCGATGCTCTACTTACAGTCGAATGAGCATATGTGTTCGTTGTTATGAGGAAGAACTCGACTCTTCCTCCCGCTCAGTTCCCACGGCCGATTCTGAAGACGCCGAAATTAGACCGCGTTACTACGGCGGAATGCTATAGAAGATCATACTTATGTCCATCATGCTGCGGACATTGCCCTCGTCAATCTTCGAACAAAGGCAGATCAGAAGGGCTGTGTCCAACTGTATCCCTAGGGAATTGCGATAACTATGCTACATCATGTTTCAGAAAATGAAATGATGAACAGCATGGATTATTACCTTTGGAACAGGAGCTATAGTTCCCAGATATTAACAAGAGAAGTCATAAAAGGTAGGGCTTCTCGACTTTCTGCTCAACAGACAGCGGAACCTTAACCCTAGAAACATTGGGTTAATACGGGAGCTAGGCCGAATTTACGAAGTGAAAAGCGTCTTCCTCCAGTTCCCAGGCTGATAAGTGGCTGAACGAATTTATCCTCCCCGTCCCACAACCAAGTTGAACCAACCAACATGCCCGGCACTTATCTACCGACCCGACTCTTACGTGGTATTGAAAAGAACTCATCCATAGAACACAAAAGGGATCCTAGGCGCTTGAATTAAACCTATGGAGTGGTGCGCAAACCACGCTGCGATGGAAAGTGAGTTCTCCGAGCAGAGGAACTGAGCTCTTGTCTCTGAGTCCATGGTCACGGTCAGTGCACGTAGAAGATTTGAAGATATGGTGGTTTGTATTGGTCCAGTATACAGATATCCGATCTAAAACGATCTATGGTGAGTTCGGAGAAGCTCATTACGCGAAAGGGTATCAACATGCAGAGAATTACACCATACGAAGCTGGTGCCACCCTCGATGAGTTCCTCAAGGTATGCCATTCTGCATCCAAGAAGTGAGACGTATAATCATCCGAAATGAAGGAGTAACTGACCCGAAAACGAGATATTGTCGTCGCAAATCCTTTGGTTAGAACAGGTCATCAAGGCGGGTGCGAGCGAGTCTATACACCTTCGCGTAGAGTAGATATATGCGAGATCGTCGAGGACAAAGATGGTGGTCTAGCCGAGTTGTTTCACGTTATCTGGGAAATAAGCCTTCTGCAGCGCCTAAGCACATAGAAGGGACGTATCCGAAATCACAAGGGCTCATCATCCTCAGATCTGCCTGGGGAAACCGTCCCATCCCTGCTCCTTCATCTCCTAGATAAATTGCGACCTCACTCGTACGAGGCCGGGGCGGCGACAACTAGCTTGTGCAAAGGATTACTAGAAAACAAGGGAAAACTCAATAAGCGTTGACGAGACATGGATTTCTTAACGCTCACCAGCAGTGCCTTTCCTGAGCCATCCATCTTCTTAAGGCAGGGCTGTTAATTTCGGCATAAAGAGTCGTGTCAAAGTTGAGGTAGACTTCGATTTAATACGAAGCAAAAATAGCGCCTCCAAAAAAAGACAGGAAAGCAAATGCTTAGAGAAGAACGGGTTGTTGAAGAGTCCATAAAACTGGGCGTATGCGGAAATGCAGTCGTCGAATACTTAGTAATACTTAGTAAGGAACTCTAGTCGGGTGGATTTTGTTTATCCGTTCGAAAGAAGAAGACGTCGGCATTGTCGAAGGCTGAGCAAAAAAAAAGACTCCGAGAATGACAAGTCTCACCAGCATCGACTAGGTCCCTTGCATCGAGGTTATCGATCAGGCGCCAGTTACGACCTCAATCGTATGCAGCACCAACTGATGGCGATGAAGAATCACTAGGCGACAGGAGATGATGTATCAATCAAATGGTGGGCGATACATACGTTTCTGCGACTCACCCGGAATCTTGAAGTACTCGGCAATCATTTCCTACCTCTGGGAGAGGCAGTGCACGTTGAAGTCCTTGTTAGATATTAACTTCAGCGAATCGGTCCACAGCTGGAGTTGTCAAATCAGGCAAGATCGATCAGTAAAGTGGGAGAGTGGTAGTAATGGTAAAAAAAAAAGGAAGAACCAAATCGGAGCCTCAATCACGGCGGAAGTACCGCAGTCTTCTCCCCGTTTAGTGAAGTTTTCAATGATGCAACGCTGCTACGCTTTCACGACACTATCATAACCATTCTGATCAACCGAAGTTGAATTGTTTGGGCCCCTTTTTTTCCTTTCATTTACCTTTACGACTGTACATTCTACCGCGACGCGGAATATCGGTGACCGATTTTTAACTGCAGATATGAAGTCGACTTGAGTTGGCAAGGAACAAGACGTCAAAGCAAACTCTGTGTTTGAGTGTCTACATGGTTAGCAAATAATTTATCTACATCGACTGAGGTGGAATTGTGCACTATGAGTCGAAAACCGCCCTGAACGCAAGGATACCTCGATTCCGGAGACCATATATAACCTTCTTCTCCGTCAGTTTCTGGTTGGAGATAACACACACATTCTGGCTTGTATTCATCCACCATATCGCTAATATATCATCGACCAGCAGGTCTCGAATGTTGTTCACGTATTCGGCGCCATCCAGAAGAGCTTATATTCAACCTTAACACTCAGAATATGAGGTGTAAACTGCGCGATGCCACTGCCAGTAGCAATGAACAGCACCCTCCGGAACAGAGGCACAATCCGAAGCGCACCACACATCTCACCAAAATCACCTTCGGTGGGTTCATGATCATCTCCGTCGTCCAGTTACCTGCTTCAGACATAATGATTAAATATCCCGTCACTCCGGGAGCAGCAATGGTGGCAAAACTATGCCATTCATTCAGCGGATCTGTGGAGAACCACTGGAACGAGCCTGGAACTGGATGTGGCCTAAGTTAAACAGAGTCAGAGATTTCCAACTATCTGTGTAAGAAAGACCGACCGTAGTAGTCGAAGAAGAGATGGACGGCACGATTGGAGAGGACACCACTACGGGCAGGAACCTTTTGCAGTTTCGTCCACGGAAGAATCATGGACCAGCTCAGGACCATAGTGAGCCACGGAGCAGAGTGCACCAGCGCGTGTCCGAGGGACTTGTCGCCCTTGTAATCATTCGTGAGGACGACGACCTGCAACCTCTTTGTCAGAACGAACGTAGATGGCTGAATGAGGCACAAATGCACCTGCGACCACACCAATGCAGTTGCCGTCCACTCCATGGACCGAATACATCATGGCATTTGATCCTGAAGGTAGGGCAAGCAAACACGACGATCCCCACTGAGAAAGCGAGGACCATGTATGTCAGTGATACGGTAGCTACTGAAGTCTGGAAATGTATCGATGGTTTAGAATTACGCAGACATACACTTTGAGGGGAAATGTACCCGTTTGCTGTGAACAAGTTCCCTGGTCACTTGGATGGCCAAAATATCGGCAAAAATGTCCCTCAAACAGCAGCAGCTCCCGAATGGTTGCCTCCATTATGATACACTCTCGCAGCAGTCTGACGAATGAAGAACGGCCACCTCGGTAAGAAAACGCATCAGTGAACTACAAAGAGAACTCACGATTGGGGAACAGAGCACGCAATTGAGTTTATAACGCGTCCCTGCCTCATGAGAATAGCGAAAAAGATATTCGCCACCACGACCAGTGCAATCTCATAGCTGCGGATTGCATACGAAATGAAGATACCCATGTTCGTTAAGACTGCGACTGAGAATAGGCGGCGGTAAATAGAGAAAGCCTATAACCGTAGGTTGCGTACGAGGTGCGGCTGAGTCTCTTCGGGCATTTCATCCTCTTCGTAGCTATCCCATGGGTTGACTTGTTTTTCAGCATCGACGGTTATAGTGGACTTTTCGGGAGAGTGGTGAACGGTGGGACAGTTTGGCAACGAAGAGGTGCTGCTGGAAGCCGGATGGGTCAGTTCGACTGCATGTGTGTTGGGATGCATCGTGAGGCTGACTGGGGAAACATTGGTGAGCATGGACACGCTTTTAAATGTTGAAGGAGACATGAGCACTGATAACCGACATTCTGATCGCACCTACTACCTATATTGTACATCGCTCCACTGTACGGAGTATTTCACACTGTTGCGTACAAATACCCGTAGTTATGGCTAAACCCTCGGTCGGCTTTTAGGTAAATATCCTTCTGCTATACCAACATACTATAGTTACATTTTTATTTAGTTCGTACTTCTTTCTCCTTACTTTAGGTATTCGAGACTCAGCACAGAACTTACAGTTCACTACATGTAACTGACAGGTCCTCAAGAACAAACTCGTGTCCTTACGCAGCCATTCTGCAGGTTAGGTTCACCGTCCCTGTATACATACAGTCGCTACGGGTACCGTGTACCTGTACCATCCAGTGACCTTTGAATAAAACGATGCTGCCCGCAGGTACAAGTTTCTTGCGGGTCACGAAGATACTGACTTCAAGAGGGGCGGCGACTGCTAAAATATCATCACATGAACGTACCCATGAAAACTCCACTGTCCGAGGCAATAGTAAATTCATCAGGGTACGGTAACTGCATTCAATTTGCGGTAATCAACGCAAGAACCGAGCTTTGCCATTCCTATAGACAATGATTATAGGTTCTCTCCGTGGACTGTTAGAGGGTTCAATCACGGAGTCAAACCGACAGGAACATGACTACATTCCCTACCATTATTTGGCTAAGACGTTACCTTAGAAACGTTGACTCTGGCAGCAACGGAAAGAAACTGTGATTTTTCACGACCTGTTAAGCTCCGATCTCTCTCTTACAATATTTCACCCGTAGCATCTAAACAAAAAAAAGTTGGTCATGAGTTGTGATCTGGATCAAAATAGGGTTGACAAGTTTCCAGATCACTGGCACCATTACATGACATAAAGTAGAATCGTGGCCAGAAACAAGTCAAATGTTATTTGACGGTTTACCCTTAGGCTGTAATACAGATATGAGCCACAACATGATTAAGAAGACGCAATGTGTGCAATTGAAAAACGTAGCTCACGGTTTGAGTCATACTAGCGTCGCCTCTAACTTTACCTTGTCTGAATCAAACAGCACATCAACGGCGAATGGTCGATCTGATAACGGACCAAAGCTCCGTTTAGTCTAGGCAATGTAGTAAGATAATCGATGTTACTTTATTAATCTCTAACTATACCACTGCGATGTACAACGTATAAATGTCGACATCCCATCTTGTAGCGAGGAAACAAGGATGCGATCCTATCGCCTATCGAAAGACATCAGTGCAGCGGAAAATAAGTATACATCGTAGTCTTGCCATTATCAAGATAGAGCAGAGATGGAAAGGATACACCGAGCATCGTCTCAGGTTATCTTGCTAGAGGAGAAAATAATTTAGGCAGGGGGAATTCAGGAATGTTTCTTCCTGTCTTCGACCAACTGGGTTAAGCCACAAGTCCAATAGAAAAAAGGATGAGTGTACCTGTCAGATCTCTTCCTCTGCGTTCTCGGACATGCGACCATTGCTTGAACGAAACGTTTAAGGTGCGAGTGATTGCACAGAGCGTTGTGAGAGTACAAACCTGGAGCAGGTCTATGACAGCTACAGAAACCATGGCGAGTTTCTCAGTATATGGTATATACCGGAAGCTTCGATGAGGGTGGCAATTTGGAGAGAGATGTCGAGCGCGGGCATGGTGGTGGGTGTTTAGCAAGGTATGTGCTGTAGAGGACGGGCGCTTAGCATCGCAGCGGTCAGTAGAGGTGCAGTGAATACCTTTTCCATGTGAAGGCATACTGAGAGCAGTGACATACGATATGCGAGGAAGAACAGATGGTGTTGAAGACGGCGGACTATCGAGAGTAGCGCGTCTTTTGGTAGCGAAGCATGTAGGACGATTATGTCGGCTGTCTGACAGCTCTGTAAATCCTGGTCAGGGCCGTAGGGAGACAAGGATGGTAGTAAGTAGAATAAAAGGACCGGCGCCGGCGCACGGTGAAGTAATCGTAATCAGTTCCGCTGTCTAACAACGTAGCATCACTTCAGTAGATGCATGGATAGCATTACGGCTACCCGCGTAGACCCACGACCACAATATTCCCATCACAGACATTGTATGTTCATATCTTTTCTTCTAACGCTAAACTGACGCGGTTTTCTTCTCTCTGCGCAGTTTTCAAGCGCTCAAGACTCACTAGGTTTGTGGAGACAGCTCCTTATATGCTTGTTGATTGGTTCAACTTGGTTGTGTTACGAGGAGGAGAAATCCGATCCGCCAGTCATCAGCACGGAAACTGGAGGAAGACGCCTTTTACGTCATAAATTTGTCCTAGCTTCAGTATAAACCTGACCTAAAGTTTCTTTTAAGCAGAAAGTCGAAGTCCTACCTATTATGACTTGTATCGCTAATGTGTAGGAACTATTGCTCCTCTTCGAAAGGAAACAATCCATACTGTTCATCATTTCTTTCGCTGGTACATGTTGTAGCATAGCTACCCCAATCCCTTGCGATACAGCTAGACACAGCCCGAGAACCTTCTGATCTGCATTTCTGTACGAGGAGTGACGAGGGCAATGTCCGCAGCATGATGGACACAAATATCATGTTCTATAGCGTTCCGCCGTAGTAACGCGGTCTAATTTCCCCGTCGTCAGAATCGGCCGTGAGAACTGAACGGTAGGAATCTACACATTTAACTTGCCTTCTAATACAACCCTGATCAGCTTATTGTTGGGCTGTCCGTTTTGGAAGCCACTTACGCTGTTTACTGGACCAGAGGGTACACTTGAATCTGTCTGGATCCCTGTTGATTCTTCCCCAGTGTCTGTCGGACATGGCGTGGAGAAATCTACATTGCTGAGGGCATTCGGAAAAACTGTATTTGCAACGGCAATGTGCCTCATTGGTCAAGCCGAAATTTGCCTTTTTCGTTTAACGATCGGATCGCCATGAGAAAAAAAAGTATTCGGGACGGACTTCCGAGCGTTGAGGCTGTGGCAACTGATCGTGAGAAATACTTTAAGCTGCTTTCACCAACGTCGACACAACATGGCACCCATTCGTCCTCACCGTAAGACAAGAAGCGGCTGCAAAACGTGTAAGCAGCGCAGGGTCAAGGTATGTACTCTGAGCCATACCTTTTCAACCCCCTATCTGCCGACGGGCATGTTCAAGTGATTTGCATTTGCAGTGCGACGAAGGTCTTCCCATATGCCAGAACTGCACCAGGCGCGGGTTAGAATGTGCCTGGAGTAATACTGGTCCATCAATAGCGCTTATGCGGGGCGAACTGTCAAGTTCGAACGACGGTTCCCTCTTAACATGGGGTTCAACCAACCCGTTCATCCTTGAATTAATGCACCACTACTCTACATCTGCTTCCTTCTCACTCTCTTCCGATCCCGACGCGTCTCGAGTCTGGAGCATCAATGTTCCCAAAATGGCCTTTGACCCCCAGAACCACTGTCTCCTCCATGCCATTCTCGCGTTTTCCGCTCTACACATCCACCACGCCGATCCCACGTCCCCCCCTCGGTATGCTGCGGCCGCCCACACTTTTTATCAACAAGCGAAGATCGACATAGACTCGGGGAAAGAGGGGACTGCGGACATAAACGCCGCCCTCATCGCATTGTCGCTCGTTGCGCGATATGAATTCGCTGCATCGGCCGGAGTACTCCCATACACGGGCGACTTGGACTGGTACATCACCATCGGCGCCATTAACCGTAACATCGAAACGCATCGGACAGAGCTGCAGGGTAATGTTCTGCGTTCGCTGCTGGGTGCTATGGCGCCGCCATCTTCACCGACGAATTTGGACGAACAATTCCCATTATCGTTTTCGACGCTCCTGAGCACCGCTCCGGACGTTGAGGAGCTGCATGACGCGTCGGTACGCGCCGCCTATCAGGATTCGATACATTTCCTGGAAATGGCGTGGACGGCTTCGTTTAATAAATGCATAGGGGTATGGTGGCGTATGATGTCGCATACGTTCTTTCATCTGCTGGAGGAGCAGCGGCCCCGTGCGCTCATCATATTGGCGCATTACTGTGCTATGATGAAATGCGTCACGCAGGATGGGCCGTGGTGGGCGAAGAAGCAATGGGGCAATGAGGCTGCGCGGATCGTCGCTATGCTTGATGCGCGGTGGGCTCCGTGGTTAGGATGGCTCGAGACGCAGTTGGATCAGGAGCGTAATAGTAAGATTTTTGATTCTACAGGCTTGGAATTTCTGGCCTGGCTCAGTGCAGGAGACGGAGACGTTGGTCATTTCTAGTTTGCGACATCCTGCGTCGAAAGATAGCAATCTTTGTATATACACAACCCGAACGTATATACCATCACGTAACTGGAAAGGTGCGGTAGTGTCGAGAATAAAGAACCCTAACGCCAGGTAAAGTATGTTTAACGCCGTCGAGGGTTTCTGGCGTCGCCGTCCCCGTTCACCACCATATTCCGACTGACCGGATGTTTCGACGCTATGGGAATAAATGAAATTCCTACTGGCACCGAGCTGTTGTAAAAAAACCCTTCAGATCAGGTTAAAACAACAAGGCGTGCCTTTCCGGGATCCGGAAAATGAACCCCTTCTGAGTGGCGCACAACTAACTACAAGGCAGTGCACATAATAGTTGCATGGATCTACAGTAGAACAATGTTAGAGAGCGCACGAAAAAAAAGGAATTAGAAGCATATCAAAAAGTCCGTCTTTAGATCATCAACGGCGTCTCGGAAACTCATCGACACTGAAGAAAATCAACACTCCTGATGCAACGGTTGCTTGCACTTAATATTCCCTATACCCCGCGGCATGCCCTGTTATCTCTACAGCAGAGCATTGCGAGCTACTAAAGGATCCATCCGAGTCTCCATGTTGATGGCATCTCGAAACTTTCTACGCCCACTGTTATTGTGCTTAGATCTTACATTTCACATAGCATACGGTGCTCCCTGCTTTTCTTGCATGCTCCTTGGCATTTACCTCGTTCTTTTCCTTTTCCTAGTAAGCCACACCAACATCCGTACGCCGCCAAGGTAGGGTGAAACGGACCCTCGAGTAGCGTACAGATGAGTACTGCCTTTTGTCATGAACAAACCGGAAACTCCAACCACGGGCATAACAGGTGGTATGCTGTAGAGTTAATTCCTGCATTGTTGAGTGTGCTGTAAGATAACCGAAGAAGGTAGATACTGACAAGTGAGTGAGGACACACCAAATGATTTATCGCGTCTGGAGATGGGATTTGGGCCGAGCTGCGGGAATTCAATGCTCCCACCTCTCTGCTCAGGGCCATCGCCACAGTTCTGGAATCCATGCCTGATGAAGAAACCAAGAGACAGACAGGAAATAAGAATGCTTAGTATATGTATACCCTTGTCTCGGTGCGAAGTAGCACACAAGGTTTGCTTTTTGCTCCGACCTGATACAAGGTTCTCTTAGGTAATTTGAACTCCAATTCTCTCGCTACTTTCAGGAAGCCTTAGGTAAAAGACAAGATAGCATTAGCTTGTAAACTATCTAAAGTATTTGTATTCCTAACAGAGCATATAGTTCCTGTCATTGGAGAGATGAGACTCCTTGAAGTAAGGTAATATCATGCACAAGCGAAAGGTCAAAGGGCACAGATTTACCAATTTTCTTCAACATCAATCACATCCATGTCACACAGAATGCATCAAAAAAAAACCATGCCCATTAATGAAAAGGGATAGGGACTAGCTCCTGTATCGTAAATAGTCTGAATAATGTCCCACTGAAAAAAATGAAATAAGGACTGGAAAAACTCCAGAAGAATCTTCCGGGAACATCCAAACAATGCTATTCTTAAATCCTAACCAAAAACTTGAAGCTCCCCCGACATCTGCTGAATTTAGAGGCGCCACGGAAATCGAGAGCGATCCTAATTCACCCGCCTAACTAGAAATTTAATTTGGTCCTCTGATTTGCGGATGTGGTCGGGACCGACTGGTTGTCAGGCACTTCCTTGTTCCTTATATCGGCATATTTCTGTTTACCGCTCATACAGCGCGCAATATCAAACTTCTTCTCCCCGTCCGCACGGAGGGAATGACATTCCTCCTACCCAGGCCGGAGCGTGTAACTCGGCGCCTCCTTCTCCTCTTTGTCATCAGAAGGAGACGTCGAACTCTGGGACGTGTCTGTTCTGTGTATCTAGACTTTGTGGAAGAGACGCGATGGGTAGGGGGAGGACGGGCGCAAAGACGAGGTATTGGTATGGTTTCTGTAATGGCGGTGCATGTGGGTGTACCAGAATGCACCACACTCACATACAGTGACGGCTTCACAGGAAAGGAACGTGTTTTTGCAGCCATGGCACAGGAATAGCCAAGACATCATCCTGGGATATGGTGGCATCGATAATGTGTGAATGATAATGTGTCGGGAATGTTGAGATTCGATAGGAGCAGTTCCAATGAGCAGGATAATCAATATATGTCGTTTACTGTAACATCCTGAATTTATATAGGTGGGAAAATGGCTGTTCCACTTGATCAGCAGTGGTGAGTTGATTATTTCATCTCGATTTCACTCTTAAGACATACAATGTGCTGAATACTTTGTCCTGGAACTTTTCAGTTCTATTCATGATATTATCGAGATCGACAGATGTGGAACTTTCATTGAGACATACAACAATTATGCTTCGACTAAGAGACTATTCTGCTTGTTTGGCTTCCTCTCAATTGTTATACAGCTCACCTCTTTTGTAAATCTGGGTCACATTGCCTTCACCTCTGGTATCCTTACTACTTCATTGACGCTACCTCGCACCCTCTAATACTCACTGTCTACCCCACCGACATCATTACCAAACACTGCTCTTCAAGTGTTTATGCTGGTACCATAAGTTTAGACATTGCTCAGGGAAAAGCCAGTATAGGCTATATTCATTGGCTTGCTATGGTCATCTGTTCAAGAGACACTAATGTCCCTATCTTATTTACCACACATGCTTTGATACAAGACCTTTTCATCTTCTAAATGGTATATAGTTACGATATATATTCTATCTTTCGTTATCATGGTGCAAACTAGACATGATCACCGTCCCCTGCGCTGAGCCAAGTCAGAATATCCACACCTGTAAAATCGAAAACGTGACCATCTCGCTTTTCATCCAACTGACTCTCGAGCCATCCTAACCACGGAGCCCACCGCTCATCAAGCATGGTGACGATCCGCGCAGCCTCTCTGTCCCACTGCTTCTTCATCCACCACGGGCCATCCCGAGTGACATGCTTCATCATAACACAGTAGTGCGCTAATATGACAAGCGCACGGGGTCTCTCCTCTTCCAATAAACGAAAGAACGTATGGGACATCCAATACCACCACGTGCCCATGCATCGATTGAGCGAAGCCCGCCATGCGATCTCCAGGACGTGTATCGAATCGACATAGGCGACGTGCACCGACGCGTCGCGCAGCTCCTCCACATCCGGAGCTGTGCTCAGGATCGTCGACAACGACGACGGGAACGGTTCCTCCAAGGACGTGGGTAGATTATCCGGCGCCATGGCGCCCAAGAGCGACTGAAAGACAGTGTCTTGGAGCTCGGTCCGGCGCTTTGCGATGTTACGGCGCACGGCGCAAGTGGTGATGTACCAATCCGAGTCGCCGGAGGACAGCGGGCACAATTTGGCGGATGAGGCGAATTCATAGCGTCCAACGAGAGACAGGGCAACGAGGGCGGCGTTGATGTCTGCGGAATCATCGTCCAAGTCGATTTTCGCCTGGTGATAAAATGTGCGGGCGGCTGCAGCGTACCGGGGAGGGGCCGTCGGATCCGTGTGGTGAATGTGAAGAGCGGAAATGGCGAGAATGGCGTGAAGGAGACACTGGTTCGAGGGATCAAAGGCCATTTTGGGAACGACGATGCTCCACACTCGAGACGCGTCGGGATCTGAGGAGAGTGAGTAGGAAGCGGATATAGAGTAGTGGTGCATCAATTCAAGGATTAACGAGTCGGATGAACTTGCGCCGGTCCATGTCGACAGGGAGAGTTCGTTTGAACTTGAGCTTGACTGTCCGACTAGCAATGCAGACCGTCCCCCCGCCGGCACTGGTGATTCGCGTTTGGGGACAGTATTGCTCCATACACACGCTATCCCTCGCCTCGTGCAGTTCTCGCATGTTGGATGATTTTCGTCACACTGGCCATATTTCAACATCACCGTCGTCGGAACGAGGCAGGCAAAGTACCTACCTTGACCTTTCGATCCTTGCACGTCTTGCAGCCGCTTCTTGTCTTATTGTGGGGACGAATGGGTGCCATATTTTGAATAAATGTACCGTGATAGCAGCTTAAAGCATTTCCAACGATCACTGCCACAGCCTCAAAGGCGCGGTGCGGCTGGGAAGTCCGGCCCGAATACTTGTTTACGTGTGGATCCGATCTTCAATCGAGAGGCCTAAAACTAGGCTTAAGCGAAGGGGCACGTTGTTGTGGCAAGTTTTGGTGTTTTTTTTTTCAGATGTCTTCTGGGATGCAGACTTCTCCACGCCATGTACGCGAGACACTGCGGAAGAATCGATGTAGGTCAGGACGGATTCTCGGACTCAATGAACAGGGCAAATGATATCTCCGGAACGGACAGCCTAACACTGCCAATCTGATCAGGGGTAAATTAGAATGCACGGTAAAAAAAGAAATATTATATTCACTACGTTGTCTGTCTTTGAGATTGCTTAGGGGAAGGCACGACATCGTGCTGGGGGCTGCTATATTCCTGCGTACAGCCGACCACCACTGTCCATTTTCACCGCCGTTGTATGCTCCGTCCTGTGCCCGTGTTTGCTGTATGAGGGGAGAGCCCGTCTGTTCCACACTGCTCGCAGCGCAGATCTAACGGCCGTTTCAGAGGCTGGGAAAATCAGGCCGAGTTACACGCCATAGGACTTCCTACTTGTTTCCATCATGCTGCGGATATTGTCCTTGTCCCTCGAAGATTAAGATGGATCCCGGGCTGTGTCATAGAAATTGTATCCAAAACACTGGCAGACTAGGATAGCTGTGCTATCAGTGACATTAAGCGATGGATGTAATAAATTACTGTTGGATGGACAAGTAATACTCCCCGAATGTTGACAAGAGAAATCATGAAAGACGGGAATTGTCCACGTGGACTTAGTGACCGCTTAACCCTAAGTTCGGGTTGGATTCTGACTCTAGGTCTGTAGGTCTAGGTCGAACTGACGACATCAGAGGGGTCTTCCTTGGTTTCCAGGTGGTTGACAACTGCACGAAGGAAACCACCGATGCAAGAGCATTAATTCAGGACACAAGCAATGTACAGCAGTCCACTGACAGGGCCAACCCAAATCATAACGAATCTTTGTGCTGTGAAGGGAGCAGGCAAATCGTCACGGTAGCCTTAGAAAAAAGATACGATCACATGACAACTGTTCTTGCATACGCAGCCGCGTAACGTGTTTGGCAGATTCTAGTGCTACACGCGCAACCGGGCAGAAGACATTGCTTCACATTCTATATGGTTCCATAGTCTGTGAATGCAAATTCATGAGCTCCTGTACAAAATACACATAGAGACGACTTCGGTCCCGAATTTCAGCCATGACCATACTGAGATTCGTAGGCTTCCCGGTTCACAATTGAATAGCGTTATATCGTAGGACGATGGTCGAATTCTGGCCGGTTGATGAGTTGTGTCTAAGGATCCCACAGAAGTCAAGTCATTACTGTCCAACCTGAAATAGGCTAGTGCACCATCAGCTGACCATAAAGCGCTTAGAGCACAGCCTTCTTGTCCGTTCTTTGGCCACTTTGCAGTAATACAGCTTTAAGTGAGCGGAAGATGGTCCTGGGACGTCGATAATGGAAAGATGCATGACGGTTGTTCAAACGAAGCCAGGGAAGACCGGCCCGAAAATCGCGTCGATGGCGTGGGAATCGGCGGCCTTTTCTGCCATGGCTTCCAAGCTTTGCAGATTCTGTTTCACTGCTCGGCGTCATCCATGTTTCTACCGACCTGATCATACGCTGTTGGACGATGAAAGTGATTATTTTACTGGCAATGAGCATTGTTATTTCGTCTGAGCCAACTTCTTCAAGAAGAGAATGGACATTAGATCGATAAAGCCTTGCGAAGACCGAGAGTACAATTCCATTTTCCCCCAATCTTAACATTACAATAAATATCCCCCAAGAAAATAAGTATCTCTATTATTAGCGTTGATTCTTATTGATACACTAAGCATTACCTTCCGACTGATAGTGTGGTGGCGATCCTTTCATTCTGCTTGCTAGTATGTTTAGTTTGCTACCGCTCTCGTTGGTGTGTAACAAAATTATTCTCGCCAATGTCAGAGCTCCTTGTCAACCGATATAATTGTCTTACTCTCTTGGCGCCACCAAAAGATGCGATACTCTACTTTCTCGAATACGACGTATTCTTCCTCTGCTACTGCATAACACTGCATTCGGTCGATCTTCACGATATATAAATGTCTGGAATCACCTCATGACATTTCACAGTGCGTCTGCCCATCGCTGTGATGCTAGGTGCCCACACTGTACAGTACATACCTCCCACAACCAACCCCTCTCTCAACGCCTCTCTCCAAGTCGCCAGCATCATCGAAGCTTCCAGTATACCATGCGTCGAGAAACTCGTCACCATCGCCGTAGCAGCCATAGACCTGCTCCAGGTTTGTATACCGCAGCCTGCCTTTTTCCTTTCGTCTGACTCTGCACTGCCAATAGAAAATGGGAAAGAACAAAAAGGACGTGATGTGAGAGCATCACCAATACAGTCGATGTTCTCAAAGCCCTTGTCAGTACGCCTGGGGTAGCGTCGAGCTGTATATTTCAAGGACATTTGTGCGGACATGGAAGGGTATATCATTGTTCTCACACACTGTATTTCCTCCACAGCTACTAGTCAAGCGACGGATATCTCGCGGGCGTAGCCCAAGATCTTGAAGATATGCAGCAGAAACACTGCAGAATCAAGAGCGTCCTTCACGTCAACAACTCCATCCAAGGTTACAGAAAACACATCGATGACTTGAAGATAGACTTCTTGGTAGGCATATTTTTCACTTTGCGAGACATGGTCTGACCTGTTGGCAGGGGACAACATGTTGGTGCTCATTGAGATCCACCGCATGCTGTTCGAGACGCGACACAATTACACATGCGATGGTGGTGGCATCTTTTTTTAGCACCGACAACCGTCTATATATATATATATATCAGAGATTTGATCCAAGATCTGAAATTGTTTAATTTCTCATAGACTCAGCTGCTATGGTCAACAGACAAATACTATGAATCACCTCTTGAAGAACTGCTGTCATGCCAATGCAACATTTTGTGTGTGAGTGACAGCATCACAGTGACCGTCGACATCAAAGCAGGCATGCAGAGTATCTAACTATCAGGAAGTACAGCCAAGGTTAGCCATTACATTTCCAGTCTACCTCCTGAAATCTCGCCATCCAAAAATATGCCTTCTGGGTCAGCCGCTAACGACTCTCAGGCCTCAGTTGCTTGGATTAGAGGAAGAAGGGAAATGTTCTGTGTCAAAAAGGTGAGTCGTAAACATGACATATAGCCCACCGTGAGGGTGGAACTCACAACCTTCACATGACACGCCCCAGGTCTGTAATAAGAGTCTGACGCTCTATCCGATTGAGCTAGGCAGACAATACAAAGCTCATGGCGTTCTCTCTATTTTTCCTATGCGCGCTGTTACCTTGTAGTTCGTCGCGCCGTATGTTATATGGTATACAGGGTTACAGAAGACGGCCGTAAACTGTCAGAAAATTTGGCTTTGACACTACGGTAATGGTGACGGCCGTCATTACCGTATATATACCGACGGTTACCTATAAGAGTAGGGCTCAATATGGCGGATATGGTCAGCTTTCGTCATTTTGATGTCCACACTGGTCGAAAAAACTCACTAATTTGTCTGTTTTCAGGTACCCATATAGGACTCGTATGGTCCAAAATGGACTAAAGGTACGAATATAGTACCCGTACAACCGGTGCGAAGCTCTAGTCCCTTGTTGATCTTTAAAAATTTCCCAAACACCGTTAGCCGTTGCGTTTTTTTTTCTTTCAAGATTGCTGCAACTTTAAATATAGATTCTATGATAGATGTCAGACAAGTTGTCTTGGGGTGAGGAACCATCAGAGAAGTATCTCTTTCTTCTTGCTGTCGCGCTGCTTGAACTTGCAGTGTGTTCTGCTACATCGTTCTTTGGTCAATGGAGTTGGCTCCATGTTTGTTCATATCATACTGGGAGAGTAGCTGGTGAATTTGCGACAATATAACAGCAACTACAGTAGGGTTGTCCATCATTGGAGATCATACCATCTCTATGGTAGTACTCTGGTAGGCGCAGTCAAATTAAATTCAGCTCCAGTATTGTTTGCTTATCTCTTGGTTTATGTGAGTTCAGAGTAAGTTTTACCAAAATGTTGGAGGGAATGAGGTGAGCTCTCTTCCAACACTCTTTACTCTGTTATCAGGATCAACGGGTTGGCCAGTGGCTTGGCTCTGTAGTAGGATATATAAAAGCACTCGTTCCTTTACCAAAGTAATGGCCGACCCCAGGCCTACTCAAGCATTTGGGTATTTTCCCATCAGAAATGATTCAAATATGATAACCATTGCTTAACATCAAATCAGAGTAGTCTGCGACCGACTAGCGATGCGCATGTTATTCGGTCTCTGCGACTCGTCCTCATCGGGAATTTCGAACACTGATACTTTCTCGAGCTTCCCTCCTAACTCAAAGGATGTCAACTTTCCAACTGCCCATTGTCCTTCTATGTGACCTGGGACTAGTCCGCTGCTCCCTAACCGTACATATGTGCGGCGACGATTTGAATCGTAAGGCTCTTTCCTTTCCAGTCTCTGACATCAACTCTCCGCCTCTCAATCCTCCTTCCGGGTCTTCGGTGGCCAGTCCTCGCACCAACCCACTGTGAATCAAGTACCCATGATACGTGTCGGCTCCCGTCTTTTCATCCCAACGAAGATCTTCGCAGATGTACGAGTCCCTGCCAATTGACGGCAGCTTCCCGGTCATAACTTGCTTCCATGTTGGTCGCCATTTCATGGCTCCGCCTCTGGGGTATGGATATGCAAGGAGCAATTGGGCACGATACACCTTATACATCGTGTTCACTAGCGCAGTCCAGTCATCCTCTACAGACTGCGTCTCATAGTAAGCTAGGATCGTGTTTGACTCCAGCAGGAATACAAGCCCTGCAACTCTGTCCACAGGAATCTGCGACACGAGATCTTGCATCTGCACCAGGGCTTCAAACACATTGGAGTGACAGGAGCCGAGGTTATCGAAGCACTCCAGTTCCCTGCGAAGTCTTCCCAGTTTGTTCTCTGCGCGATAATCTTCCTGATCCGTCGGCCTGGCGCTTGAAGAGCTAGTACCATCTGTAATCCCACCAATAGCCCTATTGGTACTGATCCCCTGTAGCATCCAAGAGCCATTTAACCAGCACGGCTGTCTTTCCAGGTTGCCTGTGCAGAAACCGAAAGGTCGGCCCATCCCGTTAAAGTAATACACCACCCTCTTAGCCACGCGATAGACGTGCCCGATAGTGGGCACATCGAGTTCCCACTCCTCTTCGCGCAGATCCTTCCTTGACCTGCCTCTCTGTCTCAAACAGAGAACATCCAGCCAAACGTACTCCGCTCCCAGATTGAGCATTTCAATACGTATGAGGTTCAGGTTGGCGTCTTTGGGGATGGGCACGGGCTATTCGTTTCCGTTAATGGACATCAGGACATCGATGCGATCGTTCTTGTCCATCCACGTGTGCGATATCGCCCAAAGCCTCTTCTGGTCTCGAAAAACCCAGTACGGCACGACTCTATTACTGTAGAGATCCCAAACACGTCGAGGCGGCATCTTTGGTTTGCTTATCTGAGCATTTACGAGCGCTCTCTGTCGCATTTCTAGATCTTTTTCTTGGCTCCTTCGAACTTGTCGCATCATGGCGTCCATGCCATGCATGTATATGTTAAATCCAGTATGTTATCGTCGGTCCACTTCCAGCCTACTCACCATTTCGGCTTGTCGACGTATATCAACGATACGATGATCCTCACTGCATTTCGCTGCACGGAAAAGCAGCTCTTCAGGAGACAAGTCACCTAGCTGGAATGAGACCTTAAAATACATGTGAAGCAATTGTACATACTATTCCAGTCATCCATTCCGTTTGTCGAGTGCGAGTCAAATGTTAGTCAACAAAAGGCGGGGATGTTCCCATATTTATAGCGCTCCGGACTGACACATATTCCCTGCCAATAGTGAGCGGCAATCTAGTAATAAACAAGGACCTTCATGGGAAAATATTCAAATGAGTAAGACACCGAAAAAACATCAGCTGCGACCCGGTGTCTTCCCAGGAATCGAGCTCCGCATCCTAGGCAGCATGAAGGCGGGGACAAGAGTATATAGACCATTAACAGCATTCAAAGCGAAGCACGGATTTTCCAGCCTAAATCCGTGATGCAAGGTCAAAGGTTATTACCCACGGCAGCAAGTGCGATACCGTAGCGGGAAACACAGAGATCACGGATGGTTACTGCGGTTCCTAGACTATTTGGCAGGGATTCGATGGAAATTCCATTCCCGATATAGAGAACTCCAGTGCTGCAATCGTATCTCCCTTCAAGAGAGAAATGGAAATTTTCCCTCCCCATTGCATTATGGACCATACGGGAGAAAGCGCTATGACTATGGCGTGATCTCGATCATGACATCAGCGGCTATGGCAGACAACACAAGGAATCCTCGCATGGGCCATAGATATTTCCCAAGCTCCTTCTCTGTTGTTCTCACAACAAGAATCAAACACCGCATGAATGAATACGTTCCTGGTCGGCAACTTCCCAGTATCCTTGTTGCACGCGTATCTAGGCGCCTTCAACCTTGAAAGAGACCTTTTATCTCACAGATCTCGGCTGGTGATCACCCACTAAGGTGCAACAACCCGATTTCCACACAGGTCTGTTGTCGACTGGATCGTTGCCAACAGGCGCCTTGTGTCGCACCTCTTGGTCTTGCACTTCGTGGGGTGCACAGGACGTCTGCGGGAGGTGTTCGCGATATCCCACAAGGAGGTGGGAATAAGGATGCCAAAGCGATAATCACCTCTACTATCCCTGCCACTCCGCATCTTGGGCTAATTGAATCATGTGTATGATACTAAAAGGGCAGCATTGAGATAATCTAGGAGCATAAGAGCGTCGAAGCTGGGCACAAAGTATATTGGAAAGAGAAGAAACGGAGTTGCTTGGGAACTTGAATCAATGATTCATTACGCCTTATGGCCGACCCCAGACAGGGCGGAGATAGTGACTTTGGGGAGTACGACGCGCAACGCGAAGTTGTTCATCACCATCTTGTTTGTCTTCCGATATACGTAACATTACGGCGCTAATCCCAGATCAGCATGAAATCACATCGTAGTATGCATCAATTCTTTATACTAAAGCGAATAAATATTGAGATGAGTATTCCATTACAAAAAAACTTCTCACTCCCTGCATAACATAGAACGTATATGATGTGTTTGAAGCAAGGGAGATGAGGGAGGGACTGTCTGTCGGGAATCGAATCATCACATCGAAATCAAGCGCTCTCCAGATTCGTCCAGTCGTTCCCAATATATTCGCTGAGATGAGACACCGGTAGGTTCATCCGCTTAACTGCATCGTACAGGACTGCGAAGCGCACTAGAAACGCATCAAATAGCCAAATAAAGGCTTGTGCGATGCTTCGAGAGTAACGCTGGTGATTTCACGCAGAGACCGTTCAGGCGGGAGGGTGCATAGCGATAGGTATGGAATGGCAAGACGGAGATCCAGCTACCGCGGCGCGCTCAACAGAAGAAGATGTATAAGACAGCTCTTCCCTGAACACTGCTCAGCTGTCGACTAGAGTCACCCTTAACCCTAGGAAATGCAGGGTTAAGGTTACACCGAAGTCCTGTTTCTCTGGCGTAATCCTCTCCGTCCATTGCGCGGCAGGCAAAAGTTTTGCGTGTCACCCGTACAGGCGGCATTCTTCGTATGCATGTTGTCTTACATCCTTGTTGCTATCCCACCGGAGAGCGAAGATGTCGTTCTTGCGGAAAAACGCAAAAATTCTGCATCGCAATCGCAACGCCATTTTTTCTGAGTCCCTTCATCTCGATTCCGTTAGAGCTGAGAAATCTTGCGTTAGCTATAGAGCCTGTTCCGAAAGAAAGACGAGAATTACCTACGCAGATCATCCCACACTGGTAAATGGTCGCATCCAGATTCTGTAACATTTCAGCCCCACGGGCGTCTGTCTCTTGGCTTCTCGTGGCAGAAGACTTGAACATATCAACAGGTAATGAAGGATTTTCCTCAGCCTTCGCAGACAATGGGGACAACGGACGCGAACAAAAAACCGTCGTTGGCGTGTTTGACGGTAGCGACCTTGCTGACTGAAGTCGTCATCATAGCGACATCGCTGCTGAAAATCGGAAGGTTAGCCCAGATGAGTACTTTGGTTCGAGGCAGAGAGGAAGAGTCGGGTCATTAAATGGGAAAAGATCCGATTCTTCGCCGCTTGCGCATACATGGCTGGTGCCTCTCCCTATACACTGATCGTCGAGACTGGGACCACGGAAATGTAGATAACGCGCGCCGAAGGCAACAAGCATCTGAATCGAATCCATATCATAGGCGCCCAGCGGTGGAATGATATAAATCATAAAAACGAGCATCTCAGAGCGCATCCTGAAGTGACCTGAGCAGGCTACAAAAACATACCATTAGTTCTTGGGTACTTCTAACAACCCCGACTACTCACTTTGCTCTACTTCGACATGACTACAGCACTCCCTCAGGGTATTCCTTTTCCCGCGATGATCTCCCAGGCTACTGAAAAGGCGCAGCCAGATAGCGTCGTTCCAGTAAAAGGTGAGACGTTGATAGCGGGAAGAATGAGAAATCTGTCGGTAGAAAAAGGGAACCAAGTATCGGGAAAAGCATAGGACAGGGTAGGACACTACCGAGGTGCACAGACAGATGAGCGCTGACTTCACCACGGCCTTGAAAGTTACGTACCCGCCTGATATTTTCACCTATCGTTCCCTTCCATCATTGTGTCAACTCCTTCATTATCGAAATTGCGCCTCGGCCTTTGTCTCGCACTAGAGTATCTGTCAGAGAGAGATGGAACTGCACAGAAAATGTACCGACCTCAATTGACCAGGAGCCCGTAATTGTTCTGGTCTTATGGTATTCTCCAACCTTAGTAGATACATGGGCAATTCATTACTCACGCCGAGTCGCAAATGACGGAATTACTCTCAGCACCAGGTGACTTTGAGCTGTATCACGAAGTCAGCCTGTAAACACATAGAAACGGGAATGTCAAATTGCTCACCGGGCACCGGTTTCCTTCGATATTCCTTCAATCTTTCATTCAGCGCCGAGTCAAAGTAATGTATGGTATGCAAAAAACGGCCAATTCTTCATGTTTCTTCGTCTTGGCTTCGCTCGCTGTTGCTGATAGAGCTGTATGGTTCCTGCAGATGGGCTTTGAATGAAAGGTTCTCCTACAGAATTACTAGGATCGACTCACTGGGCGCTGACTAGCGCTGACTATCTGTCATACTCTGCAGAGCGAAGTCGTAGGCAACCAGTGATGGTAGTAGTGAAGATCCATGGATGCCGCCAGGCCGATCTGTATATTCGGACTTTGAAATATTCTACCGGCATTTACGGCAACAACCGAATGTCCACACAAATTCTTTGACTGTCCTTGTCCTTCGCATTTATACAGGTGCGTCCAAGCTAAATTCTGAGGTCGAGATAACCATGCTCGTCGCCTCGCACAGCCAGAATCCCGCTGCGCGCGTTGTGATCTCGTGACTCAACACGTGCTCGTCTGGGGGGTTGATTTTTGAGCTTTGTTTTTTTGAATTCCTCGCCTGCAGTCGTAACATGAAAGTCAGCGGAAACGTGTATCCACGATGTCGAGCGCGACGCGTCGAGTCGTAGGTCTTGATCGTAATCGCCATGCTCCCCCATTCATGCAACATTATGTTCAACGGTACGCCATTTCCCCATCCTTTCCCCATTGCTCATGGCGTCTCTTCAGATATTTTTACTAGGTAGGGACTTTCCCTTGCTTCCGTTCCTTCACATGAGGTTAACCGGACTTCACGCAGAGCAAAATGCAATACAATCTGCGCGAGGCTGCACATGTAACAGTAAGGAGGGAGGTCCCATTTTATTACTCGCTAATTCTACCAGTCAACCGTATCCTGGTATTCCAACATCGCCTTGGAATACGTAACTTAGTCTGTGTTTATTTATTTGGAGCTGGCCAGAATTTGTTGGTGGGGTGGGTGACACCACTATATAGCCGCGAAAAACGCGGATTGACCTAATTGATGTCAGCATATTAATCCAGGCCACAATTTCAGCTTGAGTGCAGGTGATATGCGCCTCGTACTTCACTATTTCAGCATTATAACCGTGAATGTGTCGGTCGAGTTCCGAACATGCCCGTGCGTTAATGTCCCAAGATTTTTCTTTTCTTTGCTCATTGCTTCTTAGAGTCTCACGACATCTCTAGTATTATACCAATCTACGATCATACAAATTCCAATATTAGGGTGATATTATCTATTGTTATACGTTATCCATCAACTGACCTAGCAACCTTAGTTGCAAAGAGATGATTCATTCACATTGTCTGGTACCAAAGGCGCGAGCGCATATAATCACCAGCAACAACTGGTGTCTGCCTGCGCCTTGATTGTAGACCCTGGACAAGATCGACATATGTCATCTCTTTCGTCCAGAACCCTGATCTGAGAGCCTTAACGAGCGAATGGGTAAAAAACCCATGAAACTCTCCCTCCATCTCGTGCTCCCCTGCGAATTCGTAGTCATTACACGCCGCCACAACTACGTGAGAAGACATGTCTGGACGCCATCTCTGCTCCATTATTGAAGTACGGTTGGATATGCGCATCAGGTTCTGCATCCCAATGAGAAACATAACGTCGCGCCCATCGGTCAGGGGAAGAGCACTGCGCACTCTAGATTTTGGGTCTCTAGTGATACTAGCAGAGTGGCAGCAGTCGAGGATGACGGTGATTTGATTCCCTTTAGCCCGCGAAATTTCATAGAGAATCGTATTAATCTCTCGATCGCTGATGTCAGGAATTTTGTGTCCATTGGCATCGATGATGTCACGGTCGATGGGGCAAAGAGCCTCGGTAGGACAGAAAGCGTCGATACGTTCGTAGCCTTTGTTTTTTGCGCTGTAGCTGAGTGTCGAGACGCGTACATCTGGAATGCTTGACTTCCTTTCCTCAACATCTCTCGGACATTCCGAGCAAGTGTAGCTTGAGCCATGACCGGCAAAAAATATGACGATGTTGTCTCCTTTCTTGATGTTGGGGTTGCTGATGAGACTGCAAAGCGTGTTCGTGATATTGTCGCGTGAAGGAATGGAAGGATCGTTAGAGGGCGTATCTTTCTTGCCAAGGAGAAGTTGTATGCGGTTTATGGGAACCTTGAGATCTTTCTCCAAGTACGTCTTCATCAATAATGCATCTGCCACACAGCCGCACAGTGGATACCTCTTGTATCCGTCAATTCCAATGATGACAGCCCAGAACCGCGAGGCATCGATGCCGTGTGGTCTCTATTTTACTTGATAGTTAATAAGAAGGTGAATGATAAAACATTAAGCGTACTTCTGTTAATGTAATTCTAGGAAATGGCTTGAGTTTGATGGACCCAAACCCTTTGCCTAACTCATAAAGCTGTGTGCGCAGGTGACGGAGCCTATGGAGTTTTTCAAACGATGGATAAGCAGATTCATCATCGCTCATCGCCCTGTGCTTTGTCTCTTCAAAGACAGCTACTGAGTCGATGTGGCGAGATTCGGTATCGGATTCTGCCATCCTATACTGCACAGCTAGCTGCTTTTCGTGCTCTGTTAGACCCTTGAGTTCATCCTCTAAGCTCTCAACTTGAAGTCTATCCTCCGGGAAATCAAAATCCTCCTGACATCAACAGTTAGCACATCAGCTTCCGAAAATCCACAAAATAAGTATACCATGGCTACAGCATCCGAATCATCGTCAAAATTACGGTCCAAAGAAGATTGCTCTGGATTCTAAAGAAATTTGCGTTTCGATTAAAGAAAGCAAGAAGCAAAAATCAAATAGTGCCTACGGAATTTATCTCAGTGAAATCCCTGGAAGTACCGTCAACTTCCCATACCAATGGGGCACCGTGTACCTCCGAGTTAGCGGGCCCTGCATGCTGCCATGTCTCCAAAGAGAAACTTGGTTTGGTGTCAATTTTCGAATGCCATAGTCGCTCGTCGTGGACTGTGTGCATACGATGGAACCTCATGCTGTGATACAAGATGGATTTCAGGAAGCGAAGCGCTGACGGGGAGTTTCTAAGGTGTTACCAGTTATTCTATTTAACGGTTCCTAATTCTACTCAATGCAGACCAGTCGTCTGTGATTATTACCAATCATTTCCGTAAATCAGTGCTGTGAGTTTCTCACCATCCATTAATATTTATTACGGATACCTTGCTAGGCGCCAGCCACAGAAAGGTCAACCGTCGATACCGTGGGGATGAAGGACGTCAAACCCAAGAAAGGTGGATATACTGTACTTATAATGAAAACCTTCTCCGTTCAGAGTTCTCTACGAAAAGAAGTTATCCTATTAGCCATAACCCGGCAGTGCAATGTAACTACCATGGAACAAGCGGTCTTGGACTACTAGATCCTGCCGACAATTTGAAGGCATTAGTCATTTCTATGAACTTCGGAAGAATTTATCGGCACAGGGAACGTTTCGTGATGAGGGGCTAGGTGGTTTAATTGATACACAATCGCCGCTCACTGCATCCTCACTTCCGGAGAAAGTATGAAACCACATCAAACCTTAGAAGTAATTTTAGGTCCTTGACCATTTGTGGTATGGCACATGTACCCCGTGGCGTCTATGGCGCCAATCATCTCATCCGCTGTTGCTGGCAAGTTCCTGGTCCCGAAGTTATCGGACTCCGAGTCTGTTCATTTACCGTACCTTCGAGCTCCCAATCCTTTTGAACTCGATTCTTAGGGGAGATTTATCACTGGAAAGACGCTCGAAAGTTGCAAGTCGCAACATGATCGAGTTCTGCTCGATCAATGGAAACAGTGGCAGCATCACAACAGCTATTATGTAACAGCCTCGTCACTGCTTTGAGCCGTTATAAGCGCCTAACGGCAGTGGAACTGCGTGTGTATCTCCCACCACCCACGCAAGAGCCACTAATCACTCACATACGACGCCGACGACCTCATGCAAGATAATGTCTACCTCCCTCAATTTGTAGGCGCTCTCGTCCTCTTCAAAGGTTGTCCTGGTCGCTCATATTGATTAAGATGACACAGAATCTTGGACCACCGAGAGAACACTCCAATGCGCCTGTCAAGTTTTCCTCAGAAAACAATTATGTGAGTATTCGCCTTGCCGACCAAGAAAACACTGAAATTCCAGCGCAGGAATTACTTTCAAATATAATTAGCTTGCTCGAGCAGTACGAGAAGCAGCTGGCGATACATTATGGGATGGCAAGTGGAGCAACACCAGACGTTGATTCGGTCGCGGTGTTCCAAGAGGCAAAAGCTAGGGCGATGCGCAAGAAAGACGGCTCTTCCCTTGCGGCATATCAATTTCTCCACCAACTCTATCGCATTAGGCTCCGATTTCAATACAAATCCATTACATCACCGTTCCTTGCGAAGCAGGACAGCCCCTCGACCATCGAGGTAGGCAATATTCGGATTCTTTACCACTGGAATATCCTTGCTAATCGCTGGTTGGAAGCCACCTCTTGAAGTGGAGCGCTCAACATTCTGGGCAGTGATAATAGGCATCGACGCGTATGATTCGTATCCATTGCAAGGATGCGTATCAGATGCCACTTCAATGGAGAAATACCTGAAAGAGGACTTGGGCGTGCCGCAAGAACGAATACAGCTACTTCTTGGTTCTGAACACAGCTCGTCCGAAGACCTCTTCTTTCCATCCCGTGTCAATATTGTCAACACACTTCTTGGTCTCATTGATAACCCTCAAATCGAAGCAGGTGACAATATCATCATCTACTTTTCCGGGCACGGTTCGCGCTACTTCTCAGATGCATCCTTATACCGCGACACCGATTCTGAGGAGGACGAAGGGAGCCCTATTGAAGTAGAGGGATCCATCGAAACCATTTGCCCCATTGACAGAGATACCTTCGATGCCAGTGGGTTACGAATCCCTGACATCAGCGACCGAGAGATTAACGCTATCTTCCAGCAGATCTCTCGAAGCAAGGGCCACCGAATTACTTTTATCCTCGACTGTTGTCATTCTGGTAGCAACATTCGGCATTTCCCTGAGCCTGGTACACGTACTATTCCCCCACTACCACGCGCGTCTCTTCAACGCATGCTCCACATGGCCGATGGTAGCCTTGGTCACTATCCTACGTACAAATCGATTTCGGCGACGGATTGGCGCCCAGATATGTCTTCTCATGTCGTTCTCATTGCGTGCAAGGAATACCAAACAGCGAGAGAAGTGGAAACCGAAAGGGGGTATGGAGGGATTTTCACCGACGCGCTTCTTGGTACCCTTCGAACAGGGAATCTGAGTGAAGAGTCGACGTATGTTGATCTTCTTTTCTCGCTTCCACGGAGGCGCGGTCAGACACCTGTTGTTGCTGGGAAGCATAAGCGTGAGCGCCTCTGGTACAAGGACTAGGTAGGCGGACTGTAGCTCGTCATGATTTCAACTTCCAACATATCCCATTCCTGAGCATTAATGTCCAAGATATGTTAACGATCAATGATAGGACCCTATATCACCAAAATATGTGGATGTCATTCAGAATCCATTTGCTACATTCAGCATACGGAGCAACAGAGCGGAAAATGAGCACACACCCAATAAATGCTGAACCTTGCAAAAAGACATAGCTTCGACCATTGGAGAATTCAGTGACGTCCTGGAAACACTTGTTCTGACTACCGACTTGATCGACATCCCAAACGCCTGTCGTGAATCCTGTGTGGTGTGAATTAGTATATATAGATATATTGGACATTGCCCAAGCAAACAACGAAAGGTATTTATTCTCGTTTTCAACACACCTAGCCTGGGTGACTGTCGCCCATGTCAGATCCTAATGTACTGTCTCCAGATTTCATTCACAAAATCTGCGATGAATATCTTAATGCGATATTTGCTGAGTCCTTCACCCGTGGTAAGCTCCATGCTTCATTGTGAGAACTCCCTCCTCATCCGTGGTCTGTAGGAACGTATATTTTCATTTTCATCGTTGCCTTGACCAAACTTTGTGAGTCTATCCGTCTATTCTTCTTAATTCCTCTACCAGTGTAAATGCCCTCATGTCGAACGCGAAATTGCTTCTATTCCACTCCATACGTAACAAGGCCTTTGTCGCATATCTCCTTCCAGCGCGCAGCGACATCTACATCTACTAGTGGTGTGACAAAAGGCCCAGACAGACGCAGTATCTGCAATGCCGCCCGTGTACCCACAGCATGCCTCCGAGACTGGACCATGTCAACAAAAGAAGGCGACAAATACGGCTCCGCATCTATGAACCGAATAGTCAGTGGGTTGGTATCGATAATAAGCATCAAATCTGTAAAAGTGATCGGACGTGTCGCAGGTCGGGGTATCGATTTGGAAGGTCGGAGCACCCCAAGAGCTCGGAGCTGGTAGGCGATATTTGACTAAAAGACGAACATAAGCTCGTCTTTGAGCAACGAGGAAGAAAACCTGGCATATCGACTGGACATGCGATCCCAACCTCTGCAGCTATGTCTGCCTGGAGCGATAAAGATGGACTATACGAGGTCGAGGTTTCTGACGAAGTACCAGTTTTGTACGATGACAAGAGCTTAATAGTCACGAAGATAGGAGTCATAGTTCAATAGCAGGAGTGAATAACAGGCAGCGAGGACGGCTGCTTGAAACACCAGCTCAGGGAGAGACTCCTTTCCTACGAAGAGGTCGGAATTGCCAGCATGAGCCTCTCGAAAGACACAAAAATGATATATGTACGCGCGTGGCGGTTCCAGCCAAATTATAACCCTAACCATAATAAAGGTGAGGTTAGGTTTACATTCAATGTCTGGAGGGGGATCATACCCTATAAAAAGCAGTCCCATCCTTCCCCAGGCCCTCACACCTCTCCCTCAAACCACCACCATCGACAAATCTCACCCTTCCACGCCTCCCTCCTACGTCCGCACATTCAACCAGAGCCTCTCTTTTCATCTGTAAGCCTTTCTTCTTGCATTATCTCCATGAAGGAGTATTTACCGCGAGATGAAGAACGATGCATGTCCAACGACGAGACGTGGCAGCGATGACAACGCAGCAGAGTATGGAGTCGCCAGAACCGTATTCGCTACCACCAACGGCGTTCTACACCCCGTCGAGAGCGTCTCGCGTTATTCCTGTCTATAGCAACTCGCAGCTGACCACGCCGGTCCATGTTCACCGCCATTATGTATCCAGTCCCGACGCGTCATATCCGCGATCTGGACGCGAATATATTGCGCCGCCTTCGCCGTCCATCCTCGGTAAACCGTGCCCTCGTCATATCCAGCTGCCATCTCAAATAGAAAGTGATATCCCGACAGTGGTCCATCTACTGTTGCGTCCGAGCCGAGGGGAGATGATAATGGAGCTCGACTTTGCTCGCAGTCTGGCATGCGTGCGTGTTCTTGATTATGAGGCCTGCGTCAATGAGGCAGCGACCAGCCCGCCTCTTCCGTCACTAGCCATCATCCACCAAAAGCTTCCATGGCCCATAGTCATACAGAGGTCGGGCGATCGAGAATGGGTCACGGTCGCCGATGTTGTCGGGACGATATGGTATGCTCTGCACATACGCGACACCCTGCAGACGTCTACATCGTCACCGTTCCTCGAAAGTCAGGACGATGCGCCTTTTGACGGTCGTCGAAGTATGCGAGGCTGCGACGAACGAGAAGTGGTCCGGCGACCCAGACTGATGTACTTGAGGGGAAAGACACGATTTATGGGACTCCGCGCTATAGGAGGCGACACCTGGGAACTACTTGTTGCATAGGGCGCGTAAGTCGCGCCCATGCGGCCGTCGGGATATAATTTTTGGAACAAGAGCTGGCGACTCATCTATATGTACTATCAAAGTTGTATCAGTTAAACGCAATAGACAAAGACAATGGACTATCTCAACAAGAGCTTGCATCTCTTTCGCCTAGTCTGAGCGCCGGTGCATAAAAGGGTGACAACCATCGACGTTGAGATATCGGCCTTAACCCTAGGAAAAAGTAGGGTCAGGGTTACACTCTCAGTGATTCCCCAATTGTTTGGTATCTCCCACCATGCTACTCTCGCCAACGAGCTCTGTTACGCAGACCAAAGGGCTCTGAACGTCACACATGCAGCATCGGTCTTCTTTCCCAATACCCTACGTCACCACTGCACAAACCGCTCTGCCATTGCACATCGATGCTGTTCTCGAGTGCGAACACGATGTCAGTGCAATCCGCGGTGAAATGAGGGGCGCATAAATTCGGTATCGCACATCGTCTCAGTAGGGCCAAACGAATACTGTGGTGAAGATTTTCCAGAGACTCGGCGGGACAGGTACTAGGTCAAGGTTGTTCGGCGGAGAACGCGGGCCGACTGCTGTACCAAGCAACAAACATTGCGCTTGGCATCTAACAGGTGCCCGAGTGCGCAGCAATATACATTGAAACGGGCTTCTCAGAGCGCATCCGGAAAATGGCTTGAGCAACCTACAAAATCACGACTGTTACAACTCGAGTGCTGCAATAACAGCACCCACAATTTACTGCGACATGAGCACAGCATCCTCTCAGAGCTTTTCCTCCATTGCGATGGCTGCCACCACGATTTTTGTCAGAAACATCCATCGTCTACTAACGACGATTCATCCCGACCGCGGCCTTGCTACCATGGCAGTATATTTGGCCATCGGCATGCTCATCGTTACCGCCTTTTTGGTACTGAAGTTCCAAAAGCTGAGGGCTAGGATGCGGCTCTGGGAACTGGCGTCGGATGGACATGAAGGCCAACTTGCTAAAGAGGCACAGACGGGCGACATCGTTCCAGTGAATAATATGGTAGAGAGCATGAATACATCGTCCATCGAAGAGGGAAGCCGGTTGTCGGGGAAAGCGCAGTACTACTACCACGGATGAATGCCGACTTCACCACAGCCTTCATAATTACGTACCCGTTGGTCTTTTCGCCTAACGATCCCTTCCACTATTGGATGAACTCCTTCGTTATTGAATTGCGTTGAAAATATCACTGCTCGGTGCTCCGTTCTGCACTATGTCAGAGGGAGAGAGAAGTTCACAGAAAATGTACTGACCTTGATTGGCCTTAAATTTGATTCTCTGTAGATTGTCTTCGCCCCATACCATTCCTTAGCTTTAGTGGGTGCATCGGAGAAATTCCCACTAACGATAAATCACAAATAACGAAGATATTCTCAGCACCGTGCGATCAAATTGACTTTAACAAGCTGTATTGAACGAATGGTCAGATTGTAAACGGACTAGATGGGAACCAATTGCTCACTGGGCATCCGATTCCTTCTCTACCCATTCAACCGGTCATTTAACTCCCATCGCCATAGTGAATAGTAACAGAATGGGACAGACGACCGATCCTTCATGTCAATTCTTCTTAGCTTCGCCCGCCGGTGCTGTTCAAATAGACCAAGGACAGCATAGTTTCTGCATATAGACTACAAGTAAGACTTGTACTGCAGAATTCCTGGAATCGACTCACCGGGCACTGACAGTCTGTCGTACTGCAGAGCAGAGAGTGAATGGAGATCAATGGGTGGGCCGATGTGGATTCGGACTTTGAAATGTTCTCCTGGCATGTCCGGCAAGAGCCGCAGTTCTTTCTCGTGAGCGTCGTAGTACGCTAATGTTACACATCTGGTTCTGATGTCTACTTATAACTGATCTATTTGCATACACAAAGTTTACTACAATTCTACTGTTTATTCTGTTACTGTAAATGCCCTCGAATCATATGTAGACTGCCAGTACTCCGCTTCATACGTGACAAGGCCTTCATCACATATCTCCTTCCAATGTGCAGCCACCTCAGTAGCAGACGGCGGTATAACAAAAGGTAGAGGCAGACGCAGTGTTTGCAACACCGCATGTCTGCCCACAGCATGCCTCCGAGACCGGACCATGTCAACGAAAGAAGGCGACAAAACCGGCTCCTCATCGAAGAACTTGAAAGCCAGCGAAGTGAGTCTGGGAACGACATCCGGGTGGACATGAGCATTGAGCCCGAGGGTGAGTTCATCGCTTTCAGCATTGGCAGGTGCCGACCAACAGGACATCGATAAGCTGGAGAGCGATGTCGTTGTTTTAAGAAGACTGATTAAATCAGCTTTTGTTTCAGCAGACATAGGGAATTCGGTACTGATGGAGAGAGATTTCAAGTTGCGTGCTGTCGAGCCAAGTAGAGACCTGGGAACCCGGACGATATACGAATGCTCATATGCCATATTCAGAGACTCCAGACCAGGAAATTCTACATGCGAAAGAAGATGAACGATTCCTCCCTCCGACGAGAAACCAAATTCTATCATATCTTCACTCTCTTCAATTTCGTACACTTCAAGGAATCGAAGGCGCTGATGAGACGAAGGAGAGAGTATCACATCAAACTCCGGACTATCATAGCATTGCAGAAAAGCCATGTTGATGTTCGTCGCGAGCTTCAAAATATCGATATGGGTGGCTGTCCCATCAGACCCATCGTACTCAGTGAGTTGTGACCATGGTAAGTTAATCCGTTTGAAAACGGTGTGTGCTCCTTTCAGAGAGAGGCTGTAAAGCAGCGGAGCGTACTCGAAGGCGTCAAATCTAGGCTTCGCCAAATCCACAGGTAACTCAGGTTCGTCATCTATGAATTCGATGCAAAGACGATCTAAGCGGTGAAGGGAGCCTCTGGCTGCGGAGAAAGCATGTAGAAAATCATAAGGGATGGTCATTAAAACATCGGTCCACTGTGGCGCGCTCAAGAGAAGAACAGGTATGAGACGGATCCTTGGAACCTTCCTCGAACTGTAGATAGATAGCGCGATATCGTCCATCGCAGACCGTTGAAGATACATCTGAAGAAGATTCTGGCACGCCTCCTCGTTCCGGTATACGTCGAAATCCAGCCTAATGAACGACCAAAGCTGCGATGTCGACAGCGCGGTCGCCCTCCAATCCCTGCAGACCTGGGAAAGAACCAACGGCACGAACTGCCCATTCAATGACTCCTCTTCTCTTACAACTACAGCCTCGAAGTGGTATATGAAGAAGATTTTGTGTACGATGTTGTCTGAGATCGTACGGATGGGGCAAAGGATTGTCTTGCAGGACTCAATCAGGCGCTCGACGCGTCTCTCCTCATCCAAAAGCGCCTCAAGCGCAGCCCCTGTCTGGGTTCTCCGTTCCCGTAGTCCGGCTAAAAAACCATGGCCTTCACCTATAACGCCCTTCAGCTGAATACGCTCGGCGGGAAGTGGGGGATTGTTCGACTTGAGCAATTCATCCATTCGAGAATCTGGGAGCTCGATGGTGGGAAATTTGACGGGAGACGCTTCTGAATTATTCCCACATTGCGAGCAGCGGGGTGAGCCTGCCATCTAGAACACTGATAAGATATATAGTCAATACGAGCCCAGAATGTCTTACCTTTGAGTAGTTTGTCAATGCGACCTCAGTCAAAATGGATGGTTCGGAAAAGGTTGGCAAATTTTGTTTCTTTTTTTGGTAACAACACTTTGAAACGTAAGGGCGGGCTGTCCAAAAGCAGCAGTCGTGGGTAGTGCAAATACTGTCAGCGACACAGCAGAGGGGAGTCGCAGCACGAAAGCCTTTCGACAAAGCCCTCTTCATCGCAGTACGATAGCCTTTTAACGGAATCATTATAAATCAATGTGACGGACGTCCTAGCAAGAATCATGGCAACCCCTATTTTCTGCTTCGGAGTCATCATCCAGACATTCTGCACACCATCCATCAAAATAACTGCTTTGTGAGCAACCCAGTACTGTGCAGAAATGAGGGCAAGACACCGAGGATAGACCTGACAGGTGTCATATTCATGGAATACAAAATTATTTAGACAACTTCAGCGGTATGAATCTGAAGAACTTGCAAGAAATGAAGTACTATCGTTCAACGAGGCCGCAAGGAGAACAAACTATCAATGTCCCATCAAGTATATACGAAAGTAGTTCCAGGGTATGTCAACAATCAATTCTCTCAACAAGAGAAAGGGAATCAATCATCAGCTATCTATTATTTCGTAAAGATGTAGATGCCATTCAAAACCTATTTGACCACTCAGCACTGAAGCCAACAGAACAGAAAGATAGTTTCTCACCCAAGCAGCAGAGTCACCGAATGCCGAACCTTGCGACAAGACGTAGCTTCGGGCGTCAGAAAATCCAGTGACGTCCTGGCAACATTGTTCTTGACCACCTGCTTGATTGACATCCCAAACACCCGTCGTAAAGAACCCTATGTATGGTGTGAATTAGTACATCGGGCACCCCTGAAGCAAACAAGCTCACCGGCTAGGTTCGTATTAATGATAAGCATCAAATCCTTAAAGTGATCGGACGTATTGCAAGTCGAAGAATCAATTTGAAGAGTCGGAGTGCCCCAAGAGCTCGGGGTCGGCAAGCCGTAGTTGACGTCTACGAGAAAGGAATAAGCTAAAATCCGATGACAACCTGGAAGGAAAAAAAAAAGACATACCCACTGGTCCGTGGTCCGTGTTCCACCACCACATCTTGATACCGTCTGTAGTGAGCTCGAGCACATACGTAGCTCCATTAACATCGTTCGCGGCCTGGCCGAAGCTGGTCTTGCTGTTTACCGAGACACCGCAGGACTGGTAGTTGACAGTCGCATCGCAGTTGGTGCCGCCCTCCGAGGCGGCGACATTCAGGTTCGCGCCGTTGATATTGCTCTCGTCCATCCAGCAGCCGGCACCGCTGTGCACGGACATGGTATTTTGGGTATACGAGTTCACCCCCTCGACCAAGTCAATCTCGCCTAGAGCACGATGGGTTCTTAAACGCAAGCAAGCGAAACAACGGGAGGGGGGACAATCGCTTACCAGTTTCAGGCCATGTACCGCTGCCGGTGAACTATCAATTGGAAATGATGAGTATCTAGCCCCACGCAGAATAAATGAACGAAGGCATACCCAAATGGCCGGCCAGACACCACACATACTGGGCATCTGGTGGACGTCGACAATGAACAGCAAGTTCTGCGACGGATTGAACGTCTCGTTCGACGACATCCGAATGGCGTTTCGCAGAGCGACGTCCTCCGCCTGGTCGACGCCAATCCGGACCTTTCCATCAGACTGGGTGTACACCAGCCCGCTGCTCTTCCCGTTAACATAGTTGGCGCATCCCTGGTTGTCGGAGGCCTGTTCTTCGCTAAGAACGCACGTTAGAAACGATCAGGAGTACGAGGAAGGTAGTTACACACAAGTTGAAAAAATCGATGAGGCCATCTCCCGTCAGCGACTTGTACATCGTCCATCCGTCGCTCGACGTTTGGTCCCGTCTGTGTTTGTGTCGGTGGCCAAAGCTGTGGGACGATCCGGTCAGTGCATACGCGGCACCGCCCAGCGAGATGGCAGCGAATGCAGAAATAACGCGCATTGCGGAGTAATGAGTGTAGTGAAAATGAGCGTAAGATAAAGGCAAGGGGGGGGGGGGGGTATGGTGATTGCAAAGACGGTCGCTCCCTGTCCGCGAGCCTTATGTACATGCCCTGTCGTGGGGATCCACTGTAATCAAACACCCTAGTTGACAAGTGGCCTATCAAAAAACGCTCCACGATCAGCTAACACATTGAAATTAAAATCCTAATTATAACCTACCATTTTAGTCAAGCGTCGAGACTGGTTTGTAACATTCAAGTTTCGGGGAGAAGGTTCACTTGGCCTGGACGACCGAGATAACAGCCGAAAGGTTAAGCAATTTGCAAAGAGCACGGCATAATCCTGGAACCGGAGTTCACGAGTTGGCCAAGCGTTACCACATAAGAAGAATATCCTCTGGGGCAACGTCGTCCCGCTGGACCCATAAAGATTGTGTTCTAGTGAGCGTCGATGCGCAGTTAAAGATTTTGATATTATGTCATAGTGGGTCCTTGGGTACTGACCCACACACCACTGGCATATCCCTAAGAGGTGAAATGCCGCCAAGACCAGTGCACATTGCATGGAAACGATGGACTAATAGTTGCGATGGCGATACATGACAGCACAAGCGCTCAATGTCATGGGGTAATTACGTACGTACACAGGCAAAAATCCTCATGCATGATATTACGAGTCTACAGAGCAAGCACAAGGTACGACGTGAGAATGTCGGTGTTTACCATTCTGCCACATCCGTTCAGCACAGGATTAACGATATGAATGAAGACGAACGAACCTAAAGCAAAAACGGGTCTAGCAGCTGGATCACATGCTTATCGCGTCCACCATCCTTCTCGGCCCAATATACTTTCTACCCACATCTCCCGAGTTTTCTCCTTCGAAAAGGCTCGCTCTTTCATTCGGTCTTCGCGGAGAGTGAATTTGGTGTGCGAATTATCGTCGCACGACGTCACCAATTCCCTGAACACCTTCACCATCTTTTTATCAGCTATCTCTGCTCGCGGAACGACGGGACCAAGCTGCACGATAACACGACGGAGTGTCGGCGGCAACACTGCCGGATCGCTTTCCAAGACCATCTGCAGTTCTTCAGCAAATGCGGGAGCGCTGGAGACGCCAGATATTCGTAGATGTGTCAAGGAAGGGAAGAGCACATCAAAGCCTATGTCAAGAAGCCCGAGTGGGTTCCTGTTGCCGACAAAATGGACGCGACGAAGCTTGGGCATCTCCGCAGCTAAAGGGTACGAGTAAAACCCACTTATCATGAGATCGCGAAGATTGGGGAATGAGACGCGGTATACGCTGGCGATAAGTGAAGTAGACGTTGGTCCGTTGGACATGTACAATGACAACGTTTCGAGGGTGCACGATGTGAGCTGCAAGAGCGAGATGTAATCCGAGGGATCTTTGGCCGTTTCGGATATGAAGAGATGGCGAACGTTATGTATAGGAGGGAGTAGAGGTAATTCCCGATTCAGACGTGTGAACTGTGTGGGGGAAGAGAGGGATATCGAAGTGAAGCGTAAAGGCAGCGTGATATTGTGAAAATATTTCGAAACCTGACTTAGGTCGGAAAAAGTTTTCCCTCCGTCGTTGCAGGCTAGCTGGCATATCAAAAATACGAGCTCGTTGGGACAGGAGAGAAACGACATGGTTGTTGGAGGCAAAGGGGTATTCCGTTGAAAATGTAAGATAGTCTCGAAATTGCGACATTACTTCGCGACCGGTCACGTGCATCGTATACGCAATAGTGAGGCAACTCGGGTCATCATACTGCGTATACGAGGGAGCTGACAGAGCTGAAGGCATATTTAGCGCATGCGAACGAGGAATGAATGAGTGTCGGGTATCTGCGACCAACCATTATTTAGATTCCACGTGCGGAGAAGTGCTAGTGGCTTACTGAGAAGGGGAATCGTTTGTAGGAATGTGTCAAGGACCTCTGCAACATCGTAAATCTGGCGTGATGTGGTCCGAAGATGATCCCTGGGCCTGATTATCTGTATGCATATTCTCAGCGATTCGATGCAAGAAACATAGTCTATCGTACATACCGATGCCGGGGCTGGTTACTCATTCTTGCACCAACTTGAAAGAACGAAAGATAAATATAAATATGCACCATTCACCGACCAGAAAGGAGACTTACACTAGAAATCAATCGCTCAAACTGCCCACTTCTAAAGCCGCGCATAGAGCGGGAGAATGATGTACCAACTCCAAGCTATAGAAACGATAATAAAACTTTCTGTGCATTTCACTTCGGTTTCCTAAAGGATGATAAGATTTCATGCATCCATGGAGGGATACTGATAATTCAAGATTCGTGATGGTGAGGAAGGTTCAACGAGCGCCACGTGGCTCCGAATCGTGACTGAGCTATTTTTGGCTGTTCTACCAGACTTCTTTCCACCCTTGATTCTTTCAACAAAATATATCTTTCAGCCTTGCTGTTATGTCAAAATCAAACCACAAGTACGTTTCTATTCCGAAGCCTTCCATATTACAATGTGATAGCCCCAGCTGATATGATTAGTAAACTATAAAAATAGTATCGTTGTCACGATCGATCGATACCTTGAAACTGACACGTCAACTTCATTCCACTCTTCTACGTACTTCATACTTTGAGAGTGCAAATCAGTCAACAAAGGGCATAAAGTGACATTAATGGAAGATATTGACTGGGGATTGCTCTCATCCTACATTAGCTACTTGTGGAGTGGTCTGTCTCTTCTCTTCAATCTACTCACCTTTTCTGATGTCCACATGCAGTAACTACTCGAAGATGGCTATTTATTAAGCTTTGTCGCGTCCCGGACATCGAAACAGCGTCTATGGATTTTCTCTGGCGACACGTGCCGAGAAGTTTTCGATACCAGAATCGAGATTACCTTATCATGACAAGGATTGCCAGGGCACAACGTACAATTCTCAGATTGGAAGGATTTGAAAGACGATACAAGATCCGCCCTTGTGGCCCAACTCCGCGATTATGTCCTGCAGCTGCGAAATATCCCACCTCCTGTCGAATCTTCTATGTGCGACTCTGCACCGATTGCCCTTACGGTCGTTATGTCGACGAGGAACAAATGAATCTTCAGCCCCACTCGGGCGTTCTTCTGCAATGTAGTCGCCCTGAAGTCGTAGAATCGCATCGAAGGTGTCATCACACATGGCGATATCGCACTGAGGAGTATCATGATTGACGGGAATAATCGATTGGGAGTACGTGAAGGCGCTTTTTGGCACTATTATTTTTGAGCCTTGGGAGAGGGGCATCCCCAAGATTATCCCCTCGTTCGGGTTTGAAGCATCGGTCGACCAAGGATTTAGCTGTGGTATTGCAAAGTGTAAAGCACTGAATATTTGAAACACGGGTTGGCATTACTTTATACTAGCTAATCGATTGCTGACGACTATTTACGTAGGGTACGGTATGAGTGGCAAGCGCCGAGACATTCCGACAATCAGAGTTTACACCGCGAGGAGACTTATCTTTCTCGTATCGATATCTTTCTTTAGCTATCTTGGTAGGCGATCACCTGAAATCGGACAATAAGATTCGCGATGAGTACGGCCCTTTGACCTTACATTACCATTTTCAGCTCCTCCATTCTTGCCGCTCACTGCTGTCAGGTGTGTTGTGTTGTAGGTTTTCCGGGCCGGTCTGGATAGAACGGCTTACAGATAAACTACAGATGACCGTTTATCTAGGTGTTGCGCTATACTGCGTCAGGATCGACGCATCCATACTTTCATTGGGTCCTCGTGGCCAGTGAGGCCACACCATGGCAATCTCCACTCTCCTCGACCCATACATTCGAGATCATTCGTAACGTCGATGACTGTCAACGGCCTGCCAGGGCGTTGGGAAACGAGATTCAAAGCGGCCAATTTGGGGAACTCAACAGGTTTTTTACTGGTATCGCAGAGTTCGCGCAGAGAGATCTGGGCATGGGCTCCATCAGGAAGGTGATCGAGAGCCATCCGGCAACGGACGATAGTTAGAAAATCCAGGGCCCGACTGGATGGTCGTGCGCCACTTGGGTTTTTTTTGCGTGTCATGATCACCTGGGAGGAGATGGCGATATTTGGTATTCCCGACGGCCTCACACCAGAGATGCTGTACGATAGCATTCTAGGAGAAGGGTATAGATTCATGATGGGGAATATATTCAGCAATCCCTTACCTGTCGTCCAGCTTGGTACTCGCTGGCAGATATGTGAGGGCCCATGATTGGCGTGGAGTTGCCGTGGCTGAAGCTGAGAATACAATCTCAGACTGCTAATGAATTGTTAGAGAGTACTTACCTCTCAGTCGAGAGACCTTGGCCGCTCTTCTTGATATTCTTAAATGACATGCTGGTTTTGTTTGCCACGACCAGGCGGGCTGTGGTCGAATGGTTGTGCTGATGAATGTATCGCCGTTAATGAGAGCAGCGGAGCAAAGCTTTTCTCATTGAGGCGTTTCCACTCCTGAGAATACCCATCTCCGATTGTGGGTCCTAGAACCGAGGCTAAATTATGATGTATACTGTTACAACATGTCGACAAAAGATGAGAAAAAATAATTATTGTTCTGCGTCTATGCTTCCTTCGGCCCCGTATTCGGTCACGCTTTGCTTAACTGAGACCTGCATGGGCTGAGTGAACGACGTTCCCTATGATCTCGCACGCTCAGCAGATGCTCAGAAAACGGAGTATAAAGGCACTCACGGGGGTAAAGATGTTCAGACGTCGCGGGCTTCTCATATTGAATACGTCGAAGTCCACGATACCGTCAGAGGTGGATCGTTCTCGGCTGTTCCTCAGTTCATACCGAGTTATGAGGGTTGCCAGTAGCGAGTTTGAGTACACTGAAATAAGGGCGTGAGTAGTAGCGTGGCGAGTCTATCCATTATTAATACGGACGTTTGGATATGACGAAGTGTAGACCTAGGAAGACGAGGTTGTTGTTCATTACGAGCCACTGAAATTTTGATCAGGATTAATATGAAAGAGTCGGATGACATGGGACCCTTTGTGCTTACGCAGATCATCGAAGCGATGGTGGCAATGCTGGTAGCAGTGAACTGAAAGTATCTGCGGATGCGAGTCTGGAAGACATACCATGTCACAGCTCCACATTCCAAGGTGTATAGTATGAGTGAGTCTATTATATGATCAAAGCTAGCACTGGGCGTCAAATTAAAACTTGGGACTAGATCGGAAATAGCGTCGTACCTCAACGAAGCTTTGCGGCTCTTGTGAAGTAATTTTAACAGTGAGCCAGTAACGAGGATATCCACAGCGGAGGAGAGTCCGAGTCCAGCTGAGAATACCCACTAGGTGTGCAATTAATCGGTGAGTGGGAGGAGATGGAAGAGATTCGTCGTACGTTAAAGTTATTCCTGAATCCAGAATATGTTTGAATGGACAGCCTGCGAAGTGCATGTGGTTAGTCTTCCTGAGGGGTGAAAAAGTGATATCAAACGTGCATGGCTCCAGCAGTAACTGAGGTAAACATTTGAATCGTAAGTACCGAGGAAATTGTATGGATGCGCACCGCAAGCACAAGCTGTGGGAATCAGGATGAGATCGGGGCAGAAGAAATATTTGTAGTAGATGCACTTAGACGGAGGAAAGCGAGGATGACCTGGCAGATACAAAACAATCAGGATCTCGTGTTTGCAAAAAGATTGGTGGTCTATAATTACAATCGATCCAGCAAGTATCCGATTGTTCTTACTTACTGTACGGTTTAGATGAGCGTTTGCGGATTAAGAGTTGAAGGGAAGGCTCACGCCGAAAGATTCGTTCAGCGAAAAAACTATATGGATGTAAGAAGAATCGAGGTTGGAACCGTAATGGACACGACGTACAGATGGACGCAAATCGTAGAAACGGCCTTTGGTCGATAAAATCAGAACGATCACCATATGAATCAAGGTGCGACGTACTGTCAAGATAATGGTAATCTTTGACGGCACTATGATCAGTCGATGCCGAGTTTCGTAGGTGAGAAGCCTACCGGTATCGCTCTAGGGGCAACATCAGACGGGGCGATAACTGTAGAGAACAGGAACATACTGAGGGATTTGGTCTATCCTAGCTGTGTCGTTAAAGTGAACAATCAAATAGTTCCATAGGCCGGCCCAGACAGTTCCACTGTGTGCAACGTCGAATAGCCTTACGTCGCCGTATAAGCCGACATCTGGATTTCCGAATGGAGAAAACCGACCAGAGGATGGTAACCTGTGGTAGTAGTGTCAGAGATGCGTTGTATTTGATCAGAACAAGGATTCTCTGACCAGAGCTTTGATTCGGGGCTTGTCCGTTGGGAAGAGCTTGAAGTACAGAAGAGATTGGACGGACATCATGCCGGTGAAACTTTTTAAAAAGCGCTCAGCTGTTGATAATGCATCGAAGACGAAGACACATACGTCGCAGAGAACAGACCACCCAGAAGGAGAGAGCCTAGCGTAGACGAGGTATTGACCATGACGAGCGGAAGGAAGGCAACAGCACTCTGCAACAGCTTATTTGATCCCACTCATTTATAATCCAGGCCTCCGGTAATAGGAGGGTGGCGCTGATAGCATTATTTGACAACTGATCGACCGTCACAGGCATAACCACCATTGCAAACTACGGGCCATGAAATCCACAGGTGGAAATCCGATTTTCCGAGCGCCCTGCCCCTTCTCTGATGGTGAAATGATAAATAATGCCTATGATATTGGGATACTTTTACATAAGTACGAACTCAAGGGCACACGTTTCCTGTCCCATGTTCGCATCCCCTGACCTTTTGTGGGCCTTTTCCAAGGGCCGCTGAGCAGTTCAAGTTTCAACTTCGATCAGAGGCTAGAGTCCCCACTGCAACGGATCTAAATCTGATGATAAAACGTTATCAGTATCAGCACGCCCCGTGGCTAGACTTGCAAGATAAGTCACACGGTGATTAAAAAAAAAAAGTTGGAATATCCAACCTTTGAAATTTTGAAGATACTAGACCGGACCGGTGGAGTGGGAATCGGAGCTCAAAAAAACGCGACTTGTCACAGCGTGACTGTACGCGCCTCTGTCGATGACGACCAGGGCGGTGAGCCCGACCGACTGCAATCCTCGGCCAACGAAGCGCTAGCGTCGCGATAACGTACCCAAGATCGCTCCTGCTGTCGACAGCGATGGCCCCGCTCCCTTGAAGGCGACCACGACGGTGCCGGCGTGTGCATGTCTCACACCATTACCGTCTTCCCTTCCGCTCCTTTCGCTTCCAGCGATTCTGATACATCCACCGATGCACCGATATCATGCTCAATCTCTGTGTCTATCTCTTCTCGCCCTTCGAAGGTGTCTGAGCCTACCCAATCTGACGCCAGAGGTGGAATGCAGAGCATGGACCGCGATGGTTGAGATTGGTATGCTTGTGATAGATAGGGGCTTCAGCCAAAATAATGACCATTTCTGGGCGAGGGGCATCGAAATTGAGGTATGTCCCACATTTCTTGCCGTCGAGCTAGCCTGATCGTTTGGATCTCAGGTTGAGAAGGCTGCGAGTAAGGCAGTGAGTATTCATTCTACTGCTGTATGGATTTTTTGGCACCGATTTACGTTCTTGTAGCTGAACATCGTTCAGAGAGTGAGTTTCGTTCTCTGATAATGTCATAGTTTGGCTGATCATATGGCGCTAGCACCCAACCCTTCGATTGTATCGGCCTCACGTAACTTGTTTAACAGCTCGACTGCTGTATTGGCAACACAAGTCCAAATTTGCGCTTACTCTTCTTCGACGCCTACGGATTTCCTTTCTGCCCTCTGATCCACCTCACGCGACTTACGCCGCTCATCTTACTCTCATTTCGCTTCTTGCGACATCGAACGCCTCTTCCACAATATCCAGTTCCAAGGACATGAAGGCACCATTATCTGTTGTACACGCCCTGGCAGACCTCGCCGATAAGAATCGGCACTTTGGCGTCAAATCATTTGCTCTCGTGCTGACACTGAGGACACTGGTGTCGTTGAGGTTGTGGGAAAGCGTCGATGATTCTTTGCGCTTAGTAGAGGAGGCTCTAGGGATAGAGTGTCCATCTGGTCAGGTATGTGGAGAAGGAGCTCGCCCGGTAGCCGCAGGAAACCAGGTCCTCAGCTCGATACCTAACACTCCTTGGTTGCAGGAAGGGCCTATGGCCGGTTTACAGAAGCAACCATCCACCCCCCACTCAACCACTGCCAAAATTTGCTGACAAGTTGGCCGCAGTTATGGCTATCCATACCTTGATTATTGGCGTGGTCTTCCACACCTTTGTCGGCAACTTTGCGAGAGCAAGTGCGCGTCTGACGTTCCTTCACATGCTTATGGACTCTGGAGCCCTGATAGCTCCAAGTAGCGGAGTCGTCGAAATCACCTTTTCAGACCCGCCCTTTCTCCCTCTCTACTCATCCAAACGACACATCCACGTATCCTTTTCATTCTTGCGTATCTCGTCAACGCTATCTCAATGAAGGGACCCTGTCGGCCGAAAGCCGAGGCGAAAAATCTTCGCTATCCAGGAAGGTTTGGCGGTGTGGAAGAGAGAGATGCACAGGGAGCTTGTTCTTCCTCCCTGGGTGAGCGTGGACTATGTGGAGCAGGTGGACCTGACAATGAACCGGCTCAAGTGCGATTTGTTATGCTAGCTTGTCTCTGTTCATACCATGTGATCTGAAATTCCGTTCGCCGAAAAGCGCCTGGCTGCTTTGACGGCGCATGCTCGTACGAGGGGGGCTGTTTGACGCCCCTCGCTGCACGCATCATGTTGCACCATGCACGCCTGGCGCATACGAAAGGTGACACGTAGATAGCGGGTGATTATTATCGAGCGGCAGCTTACCTTGCAGAAGATGGGCCCTGCTAGAGACGATTACGTGCGAACGTCTGCCGGTGCTGGTGAGGTTGGTTGCCTTGAGGATTGGTATATGGGCTCGAGACGAACAGGGCGACGACAGCTGAGAGACTATAACGAAGGACGGATTTGTCGTCTTGGACGACTGCAAAATACAGGGCGGCACTCTGAAGAGTGTAGGTACTCTTATCGATGCATGCCTATCCTCGGAAATCCCCAAGGCAAAGTAAGTTTGTTTTTTTTTTAACCATGTAAACGCCGTCGTCGCCTTCATGTGCCGAATCTCCTTTGCTTTCAGGGATCTTCTCAGGTCAGCGATGAGCGGAACAACGGATTCGAAAAGACAACCATTTGCGCGCATTAACCTTGGTACTGTTCACGCCACACTTCATGCATACAGCCATGGAGCACGTTTTGACTGTGCTAGTGACGTGCGAGCAGCTAGTGTCTAGGATGGGCGGGTACCGCGAAGGGCGCCAAAAACACGGCGGGTGCTGATGCCGTTGGCAATGGTCCGCTGGGTTTATGGATCGCAGAGCGAAACTTGGGTTAGTGTTTGTTTATTTTCTGCTTGTAGTCAGGCTGGATGGCTGATGCGAACTGTAGAGGATTCACAGAAGGATGGCTCGTGCCGAAAAACAAGAAGCTGCTATTGAGGCGCTCAGGAATGTTGTTCATTAGTAGCTTACTCACGCATTATAGACTTTCAATCTTGCATTATTTTTCTTGGACATGTTCATATGTATCACGTGTTGTATAGCTATCTTGTGCTATCTTGTTCGTCTTATTCATGCTGCTTTCTGTAGGTGTTGTACATGACATTGCAATTTTTCGTCTGTTGAGAAGTCCTTTCCTCGAAAACACCAACATCCACGAATATGAACGAGGGTAAGTCTCCGTTTAAGGAAAAATGACATGCTTCGTACGTTCGTCGACGTCTACAGTAATATCTTGGCGAAATGAAACGCCACAAAGACCATGATGACGAAGAATTTCAAATCTTGACTCTATCCCTGGCTTTTGCAAGGATGTCTCCTCGCATTACTGCGATGCGGAAAAAAGTGGTAGGGCCCATTGAAGCAGTAGGCTCCACAGCACAAGGGTGCCTTGAAAGAAGGTACAAAAGTCACCAGGTCTCTTATGATCACGGCATTTCAGGTGGCGTCCCCCCCTTGTCAAGATGGGTCCTGCAGTTTCACATACACGCCGCTCTGGGAAGATTTCATTTCCTTCATTGCCGGAATACATTTACATCTACCCCATGGGGTGACGATATCAGCGAGAGTCCTCCGGGATAACCTTTGCCGATCCCGAACGCCTCTGTTGGGTGGGTGGGTCATCGTGAAATCGTCGATAAGGGTCTTCAGATCATCCTTCCATCCCGCCAGTTGTGAATAGCAGACGGTACGACATCCTCCATAGGCGGAGAGCCGCCTGCTACCCCCCGTCGTCCGGCTCTGCATTACCTGTTCACGGCGAAGCAAGTAACGCCTAGGTACACCTTTGTCGTTTATCCCGAAACACCGAGGGGTGGCTTACGAGTGCAGGATGCCCAACTTCCCTGCGCATTCGGGGGTTCCACAGTTAAGCCTAAGCCGATTCCCATCCATCTAGGAAGAAGGACCCGTTAACGTTTAACTTTAGAACCCATATTGTCCCTCGTAAGAGTCGAGGGACGAGTCGGATAGTGCTTGAAGATACGTCATACTCCGACTCGGTATTCCTGCAACTGCCTATGTTGCGATTTAGAAGTGCATCAGTGATGGATCGTGTCACGAGATACCTTGCTAATCAAGCCGCGCACCCAAATAGGACTGATGTGAACTCTAGAAGATTGTATGAATGAGCGTGGGCTTGGACGAGAATACGGTTACTCGTGGCTCTGTGAATTCGAATCAAATCCAAAGAATACCAAAGGACGGAACTATTGTTATTCCTCAGGGCTATTCGGCTACGCATAAATGACCCTGCAATCAGCCCGACGATTCTTTCTTCTCAACCAACAGCCACCTCCCTCATGATAACAGCCTGGCTCTTCAACCTCTTGTGCGTCCACTGTGCAGAAGCACCACTACTGGTCCGACGGAACAGACTTTTTTTTTTCTTTTTCCATTTCCATATTAGCGTTTCCAAGGCTTCTTCATCGACGCCGGCGGCGTCACCGCAACCAATTATACCCCAGGAATTGATCGATATCATTATCGATTATTTGTCCAACGATACCTGCTCGCTGAGAGCCTGCGCTCTCGTTTCCCCATCATGGACACACCGCAGCCAGCAAAACCTCTTCGCTCGAATCACGTTCACTGACGGACTCTGGCCGACGTCCGCGGAGCTGTTTTTGCGACTAATAGAATCGGCTCCTCATCGACACCTGCCAAAGTTTGTCCAGCACCTTGACATCATTGAAGGTGACACCTTCATGTCTAACCGGTGGCTCGCCCGGTGCATACCCGTCCTGGATCGCATCTTCCCCGCGCTCGTGAACCTGCGCACCCTCCAAATCAAATTTCATGGTCTCCTGTGGCGCAACATCGCAGGGATACGTTCTTCCTTTCTCTCCGCTTCCAAGCTCCCTGACCTCCACCAAGTCACGATATCAGGCATCTACAGCGTTCCCAGCCTGGACACACTATTCACCTTGTTCGAAGGTTCGAACATCGCCGATATCCGCTTGATGAACGTCACTACTGGCGGTAGTCTGAAGGACAGTCCACGGACACGGACACATCATGTCCCAGGATCCGTAGCACCAATACCCCTCGAAACCCTCTCCCTTTCCCTCGAGAACAAGGAGCTCTGGCGCCTCTCGTCCTGGCTCGCCGACCCATCATGTGTCCTGCATCTTTCCGGGTTACGAAAACTGCGTCTCAATATAGTCGTTGCGCAGGAAATGAAAGCCGTGTGTAGGCTCCTTAAAACACTGCAGATACCTTCCCTGGAAGCGATAGAGATCCAATTGGAGACCTTCGGTAAGCAGGGCGTTCCCTATGTTTCTCTCCCCCCCATTCTCATTGGTTTCCTTCATAAGATTACGTCAGCGACCCAGAAGACATTCCTGATCTCAGCCGTTTCCGGCACGTCCGTCTGACAGTGACACCAGAGTACGTTTCCGGTAGTGGGATGTACGAGTTGGATGTAGAGATAGCCTCGTTCGTCGCGTTCTGCTGGTCGCAGATGTTGAGCGGCTTCAGGGAGAACGCCATCGAGAGCGTGGCGCTCCTGCTCCCCAAGGCGGCCCAACGCGTGCGTTGCACTGCTCTCGACGCGGCGCTGACGCGTGCTGACATGTCGCATTTGCGACGGGTGTACCTCGAGGACGAGACCGCCACGGAGTATCGTGATGAGGTGATCAAGGACATACTTCCTAATCTCTACGAAAAAGGTCTTCTAGGTTGATGACTCACCCTTTGTTTCCTGACGGAACGTCTCTGTATTAAATACCGTGATCGGAATACCCAGCTCTCGGTACCGGTGTTGGTCACGAGAGTACTTCTTGTATGTATGTATAATAGTACCATTAGCCTTGCAGCCATTTGACAGTAACGCCGTGGAGAGAGTGATCTGGACTTTTGTCATTACCGAGGTTTTGCAGACTGTGAACTGACGTTGGTGGAGATTTATACAAGTATCCAAGAGATCACGGAACGGCTTTAACGGATCTAAAAAACCCCGGTTTATAGCTTCACAAGACCACCTATAAGTATACAAAACAGCGTTCAATGAAATGTACGTATCGTAATACACCCGGGCTTGCCTACATTACACACGCCGAACAACAAACATCCCACATCATACACACACAGAATTCACATAGCGAACACCTCCGTATGCAGTGCAACCCCGCCCAACTCCCCACTCCTCGCCATCCCCAGCCTCGCAACCGCATTCGACGCCTCCCTCACCAGACTCTCCGGCCCACACGCACACACACCCACGCCCCCGCCCAACCGCACCTTCTCCTCCTCCCCTTCATCACGAGCAACCAGCTCCCCAAGCACCTTCCCAAACCTCGGGCGCTCAAAGATCACGTCCGAGTTCGGGATAGGCGGCACGGCATCGGGGTCACACAAACACGTAACGTATATCGAGACGTGCACGTCCAACTCCAACGTACGCTCAGCAGCGTTCATGATATCCACAAGCACAGGCGCGAACCACTCGATCGAACCTGAAGATTCGGAGTTCAATACAACTAACAAAAAGGAAAAAAAAAAGGGGGGGGGAAACCAAACCGTACCAAAGGACCGCACACACCAAACGAACTCGACCCTCTTCGTGCGCTCCCCACGAGGCCTCCCGAGCCTGCCGCACCTCCCCACGATATCATCCAGCAGCCCAATCGTGAACGTCGCTCCGCTCCCACCCGCGAACAGCAGCACGCGCTCGTACTCTCCCAAATCGACACTGCACCCCCCGTACGGACCATCCAGCATGACCTGCACCGCGACGTCCGTCCCCGTCCCCGCCCCCGCGCCCTTCCTCTCCTTCTCCTTCCCCCCACCTTCCAAACAATGCGTCTCCTTCTCCGCGTAGGCATACGCATTAAGCGCCCGCGTCCAATCGCCCTTCACCCTCGCCCCTAGCACGATCCCACGCAGCGCAGAAACACACGACACCGCCGGAGGCGCCACCAAGATCGTCAGCGGGTGGCTCTCAAACACACGCCCCGCGAAGAACACCCTCAGAACGACGTGCTGCCCCGCTTCCCACCCAAAGTCGCAATCCGGGATCCGGATCTGTAAAAGCGTGTGTGTGTGGATGATGATTAGGCGGGGAGAGAAACCAAAACACAACGTACGATAGTCATCTGGTTATCGACAGCAACAACGGTAGCGTCCTTGATTCGATACCGGAACAGACGCATGAGCATGTCCAGACCATACATCGCCAGCGGGGGGAATATCCACGGAGACGCATACGTCGTATGATAACATATCGTAATGAAAAACGCCACGAATCCAAGGACGCTGGAGACACACCACCACACCAAACGTCAACACCCATCCTGCCCAAAGGGAAAAAAAAAACTTACTGCACAACGAAAAAAACCTCATAACAAAGCCTCCTCGCAGGCCTCACACTCGTCAACACAAGCACGCCCAGCACCCCAAACGCCGCGACCCCGCTCGTCTCCTTCTGCTCCCCCAGAATCTCCAGACCCCACTCCAAGTGGTTCCGGATCCACAGCGCCCCATGAATGAGCCCCCCGAGGAACATGACCCGGCCCGACCACCGATGCACATAATTCAGCTTCTCATACCCGTTCCCCGGACCCAGGAACAACGCCAACAACGAATTCTTCGTGGCGAACAGGAAGACCACCGGGAACTGCGCGAGGGCGAGGAATCCCGCCCGGTTCGGGTTGTCTTTGAGCGGGACGTCGACGAGGATGCATACCAGCACGACGGAGAGATACGCGAGGATCAGAAAGACTAATAATAATATCGCCCCCATGTGAGTACACATCTAGAAAAACGTGGATAAAATTTTTAAAAAACTCACTCTGCCCGACGTTCAGCCCAAGAACCGGGGGTGTCCACAACGTGAAGCTCCCAATAGTTCCTAGGACACCTTCGATCCATTTCCGTTTCTGTTTCTTTCCCGGAAGTACCGAGGTCTTATTATTCTCCCTCAGAGACTCATATCTCCCATCGGCGCTCAAGTCCTCGCCAATGCCTTGAAACCACAGCCAAGTTCTTCCGTTGCGTATCGAGCGAACAAGATAGGGCAGAGAGTATAAAATGGCAGCGCCAACACACGATGCCCAAATAACGGTGAACCTGCGCTGCCACTTTGGATCTTCTGTGTATGAACTGTGTGATATTCTGGTTGGTCGCAGAACGTAAAGGGGAATTCTATGAAAAAGCGTACTTGTATTGCTGGAACTCTGCGGGGATCGTTGGGGCTGTTCCGTAGCTCATCTTTGACGATATCGAAGGGTGGCAGAGTCAATGTATGAGGGTCTGACTAACCTAGCACCAACAACGGAAAGAAACGTCCATCAATAAGTAGGCAACTCGGACTTCACAGCACAAAAAGTTTTTTCGTTCATATTGATCCTTATTTGGCATTGGCGTTTGAATACATTCTGCCCTGAAACGATCAATCCCGATGCTCCAGAAAAACAGTATATTTCATACAACAGAGAAAAATAGACAAAACATCAGTTCAGTGGCCATGGGCGCTTCCGAGGATACCAAATCTTCCAAACAATGTCTCACCCACTCCCATACCAATAACGATCGAGAGAATAAATCCCACCTGGAAGGTCCTGAGAATCTGGAATCAGAAATTGTGTTCACATATCAGAGTGAAGATACATACATGGCTGCCAACATGAATGTGAAAGACAAGGCGGACTGCAGCGTATGCAAGACTCCCCTGGCCACATCATTCCAAAGAATGAACGGCGGAGCAGCACGAATTGCAAGAGACTTGAGAGTACTGGGCTTAAGCGCCTCGACTTCGGAAGAGGAGTCACCGTGCTTCTTTGCATAGGCCATTTCGGCTCTGGAAAGATTCGTCGGCCGACTGAAAAAAAAAGAACGAAATGGACATCATGCAAACCTTTTCGCCCAATGACCATCCATGACCCTCCTCATCGCCGCAACCCAGCGGTCGATGAGCGCCAACAAAAAGAGGCCAATACATGCTCCAACCATCGCACCAACGCTCTTTGGGACCCAGCCCTGGAACCACAGGATATCTCCCGGTGTGAAATGCAAATACGCGACCATCATGCCCGACGCAAGCGATGTGTCTCCCTGCGAGCTCATAGAATCCATACTGGACGAAGAATGCGCAAGAACAAGCGGGAGCAAAAGCGTCAGAGGTGCGAAGACCCTGAAGAACATCGTGGGCCTGCTGAATACTTAACGGGACCTAGTCTGAATGAATTGCTCCATCGCGTACAAACACAAGCAAATATGGATCCGTTGCCGAGAGAAAAAAAAAAATAAAGTCGAAAAGAATGCTGAATCCAGGTGCTGGGATCAGAAATTCCACAAATCAATGTCAATCTCAGCACACGGTTCCCGACGGGGACGAGCGTCACAGAGCAGACAGCCATCGAGAACCAATCGTAGGGGCCATTGGACAACAGGATTCCCGAGTCATTCTCCGAGTAATAAACAACTGAAAAGAGACACGTGTACCGGGTGTCGTCCTAGTTGCCAACGTGGACTAAACTCCTTTTGTACCCCACGGTACCCAGCTGACGAGAACACGATGACGAGACTCCCGCGGGGTGGAGGAACCTATCAGCGACGGCCAGCGCCAGGTGCATATTGATCCAGAAATATTGTACGAGTGTCTGTAATGGTGATATTAGCTAATATAGACAACGGCGAGGAGGGTATACAACACACAACGCACATGAAATGGATGAGAAGAAATCTTCGGACAGATGGGCGTCCTCATCATCGTATCAGGACCTCTTCAGCGACGAACAGACCCCAGACCTTTCAGTCAACATCGCTTCAACCCCTAGAGGATCGATCCTAAGAGGGACTTTGGGGGGACGACAAGACCAGTATGGTCACAGAATAGAAGCAGAGGAAGATTCGCCATCCATCATGAGGAGGAAAAAGTTGTAGAGGAAAACTGCGACAGGAGGGGGTTGATGGTAGTGGTATAAGGAAGGGAAAGCAAGCCGAGAGCCACGAGTCCTTTTTGCGGTGGCGTGGGAATGGGATGATGAGCCTTTTGTTTTATTGGCTGGGCATCACGTGGCGGGATGTTGTTGAACTGGAAATCTGAGATCAAGTCCAGATAAGGCCAGTAGCTCATATGTGCCATCGTCAAATCATATTGCATCACTATAAGCTAATATTAATAGTTTTCTCTATATGTAGTGCCATCCATCTATGAGTGTATAATCTACCATCGCCTCGCCACTTTCAATAATTCCAGTCAACGTATCAACGCAGCGCTCTCCGAGCTCCGAAACACGTAACTTGCTTTCCGCCGTCGCAGCCTTGCCTTCACGTCGTCGCTCCCGATGTACCATCCAATGCATCTCCGACAACGCACCCTGGACGCGACTATCGGTCAGCAGCGCATGCAACCTCTTACACGCAGCCCTCATTCTCGCATGAAGCATATCCCTCATTTCACACTTCGGAAGACACAAGAGCAAATCCTTCCGATATTTGTGCACAGAACGATGATACGCCCAGTGCCGAGCATTCCACCAGAAGAATGTCTCCACCGGAAATTCAACCATTCCCGCGAGGTAAAGACCGCAAAAGTAGTTAACCGTCGGGGTGTAATCATCCAAGTCGACGCGATGGAAGTAGTTGGTATCATACATTTTGAGAGCCACGGCAGTCCAACAGTTCTTGACGAATTCAAGACTGTCCTTCCCGTCTTCAGTTTTCCGATAAGGAGATTCTTCTTCTATCTTTGAACGCAAGATATCCCGGAATCGCTCGCGATATCCATGTCCGATGACCAACGCGCACAGAATGGCGTTTACTAATCGCCCACAAAATAAATCAACACGCGCTGACAGCTGTACGAGCGCGGGGTTACTTACGGAAAACAAACACGCGGAAAGCGCCGACCTTTCTTCCGCTGGCATCGTTACTGATCCGTGCGCTTCGCCACAGCGTACAGCTACTACTCCAATGCAGCCGGGAACGTGAAGGAAACGCACGCCTAGCCGAAAAGGCGAGTCGACGCTTAACGAGAGAATCAGGCATGACCACAGCAGATTCGGATCCCAAAGTCCGGCCTAGGACGCTGCGGAACAGTGGTAGACGCCAAACGTACGGCCGCATACGACTTGGACAGATACCCAGTGCAAGATGGGGTTGAAGAGGGATATATATGCAGACGGCGTCGTGCGTATGGAGGGAAAGAAAAAAAAAAGCAGTCGACAAGATCAGTCGATCGAGGTCGTTTATCAGCGTTGCTGTTCGCGGTTCGTGCTAAGCGCTTCGTCGGTTCCAGTATGTTCCTCTCAGGCGCTAGTAGTGGTAGATCTGGGTGGCAACCATGAAAGACAGAGAACTAGTAGCGGTTGCCCGTCAAGAAGGATGGTTGAACCCGGGCCGGTCAGCCGATGATACTGATCTTTGCGCAGCCAATTTCGAATTTCTTGCCACTGTCGTTGGCAGCGTCACAACCATCTAGCAGCATGTGAAATGTTTCAGTTCTCAGTTATAGATCTAGGGGAAAGTATCAAGGGTGTTATCGCAATAGGATATAGTGTCGGACCTGTTTTTTGGCGGCGCAGATGGAAGGTAATTTTTTTTTTCTTTAACTCTACAGCCTGGTGGGATGTATCTTACTTCGATTTATTCCAGACTCTTTTCGTCGCAACTACAATCGTCCTTACACCCGAAGGTGGCATCCGAAGATAAATTCCGAACGCTAAGGATCTCACGCGCTGCTAAAGAAGCTTTCAGAAAACTGCTTTCCAGACGACGGAGTTATGGTGTCACTTTCCCCCTAGTCACCTCCTGTCGTGCTTGGGTTTTCCTGCTTGCCTTTCTCTCCTGTATCTGGGAATGGGAAGGGTGCATGTCTCCCGATCGTTCCAACTATGTCTTCCACTTCCACATGCTCTCATTTTCATCGCCGTATCTCAAGTCAGTGATTTCTGTTGCGGTACTAGAGCAGGTATGGCTTACTCAGATGCACCTCATAATGGATCTTTGTCATTGTACTACTTGCCACAGTGCCTCCAAAAAGCCGCCCTCGCCTGCTCACCAATCCATTCTGGTATGCATGTAGTTTCCTCTTTAACCTCTACCAGTGAATCTGTCTTCGATTAGGAATGTTCCTCAGACCATACCTCTTCTTGTCGGTCAATTAGCTGCTTGCTTGCTTTGTCGCGGTGATCCCTCTATACCATCGCCTTCCCCAGCAAGAATACTTACTTTTAGACAGGGTATCATAATCCGTCGCATGGGCAAGTACAAGGCACGTCTTTCCCATACCCCGCTGATCTGCCATTCTTTATAATATCATTCATTCGGGCTGTTCCATCTCGGCCGTTGGATGGGATTATCACATCTAGGTCAAAAAAAGTGTAGGTGTTGGACAGGTGCGTCCTGCACAATAACACAGAAGGCTTACTCTTTCAAGACATTGCAGCCGACCGCAATTGCAGCTCCGGCAGGCGTTCCTCGGGGGGACATGTCTGTCGTAACTGCACATCTGTTAAGAATACGAGTAGCCAAGCTAATAATATACGAGCATATGAATACTCGACGAAAAAGCCCGATCTGAAGTGAGGATGTCCGAAGTCGAGTTCCGATTACCAAGAGGGATCCGTGAGTTGCTAAGCAGCGCTAAGCGTAGGCTGTGGGCTCCTGTATCTCTTCTCCATGTGGCTCACCTTTATTCGAACTTGAAGCAACAACGCTCTGGGAAAATGCTTTCTCTTTCCGACACGATGATTTCTAAGATTGTCGATGATCCTGCTTATCGTTCCAAGCCTACAGAGGAGAGCGGACTCTCTGATAGTATGGTGTGTGTCATACGGGCTGGACCAGATCTTCCTCTTCTGTTGGCTTCGGTGCTGAGCGGTCAAATAGGTTTTGAATGGCATCTACATCTTTACGAAATAATAAATAGCTGATGATTGATTCCCCTTCTCTTGTTGAGAGAATTGATCGTTGACATACCCCGGAACTTGTTTCGTATGTACTTGATGGGACATTGATAGTTCGTTCTCCTTGCGGCCTCGTTGAACGATAGTACTTCATTTCTTGAAGGTTCTTCAGATTTATACCACTGGAGCTATCTAAATAATTTTGTATTCCATGAATATGACACCTGTAAGGTCTATCCTCGTTGTCTTGTCCTGCTCATTTCTGCACAGTACTAGTGTCGTAGGTTGCTCACGAAGCAGTTGTTTTTACGGATGGTGCGCAAAACATCTGGATGATGACCCCGAAGCAGAAAATAGGGGTTGCGATGCTTCTTGCTAGGACGTCCGTCACATTGACTTATAATGATTCCTTTAAAAGGCTACCGTGCTGCGACTCCCCTCCGCTGTGTCGCTGATACTATTTGCACTGCCCACGACTGCTGCTTTTGGACAGCCGGCCCTCAAGTTTGAAAGTCTCGTGATGTGCTCCCAACGATCTGCCATCCTTTTCTGAACCATCCACTTTGACAGAGGTCGCATTGAGAAACTACTCAAAGGTAAGACATTCTGAGCTCGTATTAACTATATATATCTTATCAACGTTCTAGATGCCAGGTGGGAATAATTCAGAAGCGTCTCCCATCAAATTTCCCTCCATCGAGCTCGCAGCTTTTCGAATGGATGAATTGCTCAAGTCGAACAATCCTCCGCTTGAAGCCGAGCGTGTTCAGCTGGAAGGCGTTATAGGTGCAGGCCATGGGTTTTTAGCCGGACTACAGGAACGGATAACGCAGACACGGGCTGCGCCTGAGGCGCTTTTGGATGAGGAGAGACGCGTCGAGCGCCTGATTGGGTCCTGCAAGACAATCCTTTGCCCCGTCCGTATGATCCCAGAGGACATCATACGCGAAATCTTCTTGACATACCACTTCGAAGCTGTAATTGAAAGGCAAGGGAGGGAGTCATTGAATGGGCAGTTCGTGCCGTTGGTTCTTTCCCAGGTCTGCAGAGATTGGAGGAGGATCACACTGTCGACATCCCTGCTTTGGTCATTCATTACGCTGGATTTCGAACTATACGAGAATGAGCAGGCGTGCCAGAATCTTCTTCAGATGTACCTTCAACGGTCTGCGATGCACGATATTACGCTATCTATCTACAGTTCGAGGGACCTTCCAAAGATCCATCTCATACCTGTTCTTCTCTTGAGCGCGCCACGGTGGATCGATGTTTCAATGACCATCCCTTATGACTTTCTACATGCTTTCTCCACCGCCAGAGGCTCCCTTCACCGCTTGAATCATCTTTCCATCAAATTCATAAATGACGATCCTTTTCCCGTGCATTTGGCGAAGCCTAGATTTGACGCCTTCGAGTACGCTCCGCTGCTTCACAGCCTCACTCTACGACGAGCACACACTGTTTTCAAACGGATTGACTTACCATGGTCACAACTCACTGAGTACACTGGGCATGATCGGACAGTCACCTATATTAATATTTTGAAGCTCGCGACAGACATCGACAGTGCTTTGCTGCAATGCTATGATGGTCCGGAGTTTCATGTGATACACTCTCCTTCGTCTCATCGGCGCCTTCGTATCCTTCATGTGCACGAAACCTACCAGAATCGAGATATGAGGAACTTTGGTTTCTCGTCGGTGGGAGGACTCATTTATCTTCTTTCGCATGTAGAATTTCCTGCTCTGGAGTCTCTGAGTATGGTATATGAGCATCTGGATCGCATCCGGGTTCCCAGGTCTCTACTTGGCTCGACAGTACGCAACTTGAAATCTTTTTCCATCCAAACCGAATCCCCCCTGTCTGCTGAAACGCAGGCTGATTTAATCTGTCTTCTGAAAACAACGATATCCCTTTCCAGCTTATCGGTGTCCCGTCGGTTGCTGCCTCCCAACGCTGAACTTATCCTGGGGCTCAATGCGGATATCCACCCAGATGTCGTTCCGAGACTCACCTCGCTAGCTTTCGAGTTCCTCGATGAGGAGCCGGTTTTGTCGCCTTCTTTCGTTGACATGGTCCGGTCTCGGAGGCATGCTGTGGGCAGACATGCGGTGTTGCAAACACTGCGTCTGTCTAAACCTTTTGTTATGCCGCCATCTGCTACTGAGGTAGCTGCACATTGGAAGGAGATATGTGATGAAGGCTTTGTCGCATATAAAGGGGAAGAGTAGCAGTCTACGTACGATTTGAAGGCGTTTACAGTAACAGATTAAAGAGTACAATTGTAGTAAACTTTGTGTATTTATAGGTAGACATCAGAACGAGATGTGTAACATTAGCGTACTACGAAGCACAAGGACATGAGAACTCTGAAAGAACTTGTTGCGGCTCTTGCCGGAAATGCGGGGAGAATATTTCAAAGTCCGAATCCACATCGGCCCCGTGCCATCCATGGATCTCCATTACTACCATCACTGTCTGCTCTGCAGTACGACAGACTGTCAGTGCCCGGTGAGTCGATTCCAGGAATTCTGCATTAGAACTCTTACTTATAGTCTATATACAGAAACTATGCTGTACTTGGTCTATTTGAACGGCAGCGGCGGGCCAAGCTAAGAAGAGTCGACATGAAGGATCGGTCGTCTGTCCCACTTTGTTACTATTCACTGTGGCGATGTGGAGTTAAATGAATGGTTTAATGGGTAGAGAACGAATCGGATGCCCTGTGAGCAATTCGTTCCCGTCTAGTCCGTTTACAATCTGACTATTCCGTTCGATACAGCTTGTTAAAGGCAATTTGATTGCTTAGTGCTGAGAATATGTTTGTTATTTGTGATTCATCGTGAGTGATATTTGAAACTGCGTTTTAATAACGAAGGAGTCCAATAGTGGAAGGGATCGTTAGGCGAAAAGACCAGCGGGTACGTGATTATGAAGGCTGTGGTGAAGTCGGCACTCATCCGTGGTAGTAGTACTACACTTTCCCCGACAACCGGCTTCCCTCTTCGACAGACGACGTATTCGTGCTCTCTCCCATACCATTCACCGGATCGATGTCGCCCGTCTGTGCCTCTTTAGCAGGCGTTAGCTCTATCTCAGCACTCAGCGGTGCTTTCTTTTCGTCGCCATACGCAGACACGTCAGTTTGAAGTTGCCCTTCATGTCCATCCCACGCCAATTCCCAGCGCCGCATCCTAGCCCTCAGCTTTTGGAACTTCAGTGTCTCACCACAGTATTCGTTGGCTCTAATGAGACGATCTGCGATACCGAATTTATGTGGCCCTCATTTCACCGCAGATTACGCTGACATCGTGTTCGCACTCGAGAATAGCATCGATGTGCAATGGCAGAGCGGTTTGTGCGGTGGTGACGTAGTATTGGGAAAAAAGACTGATGCTGCATGTGTGACGTGCAGAGCCCTCTCTTCTGCATCCGTGTTTCATGGGTTAGCTTGTAATGCGCAAACAGAACTTGTCGGCGCGGGTAGCATAGTGGGAGATATCAAACAATTCGGGAATATGACAGCAACACTGGGAGTGTAACCCTAACCCTAATTTTCCCTAGGGTTAAGGGTCATCGTAGCCGATAGCTGAGCAGTGTTGCTCTCGATGGTTGTCACCCTTTTATGCACTGGCACCCAGACTAGGCCAAAAAGATGTAAGCTCTTCTAGAGGTAGTCCATTGTCTTTGTCTGTTGCGTATAACTGATACAACTTTGATAGTATATATGAGTCTCCAGCTCTTGCTCCAAAAATGATATCCCAACGGCCGCATAGGCGCGACCTACGCCCCCTATGCAACAAGTAGTTCCCAGGTGTCGCCTCCTATGGCGCGGAGTCCTATAAATTGTGTCTTTCCCCTCAAGTACATCAGTCTGGGCCGCTGGACCACTTCTCGTTGGTCGCAGCCTCGCATACTTCGACGACCGTCAAAAGGCGCATCGTCATGACTTTCCAGGAAAGGTGACGATGTTGACGTCTGCAGGGTGTCGCGTATGTGCAGAGCATACCATATCGTCTCAACAACATCGGCGACCGTGACCCATTCTCGATCGCCCGACCTCCGTATGACTATGGGCCATGGAAGCTTTTGGTGGATGATGGCCAGTGACGGAAGAGGCGGGTTGGTCGCCGCCTCATTCACGCAGCCCTCATAACCAAGAACGCGTACACTCGTCAGGCTGTGAGCGAAGTCGAGCTCCATCACCATCTCCCCTCGGCTCGGGCGCAACAGTGGATGGACCACTGTCGGGATATCGCTTTCTATTTGAGATGGCAGCGGGATGTGACGATGGCGCGGTTTACTGAGGATGGTCGGCGAGGGCGGCGCAATATATTCGCGTACAGATCGCGGATATGACGCCCCGGGACTGGATACATAATGGCGGTGAACATGGACCGGCGTGGTTAGATGCGCGTTGCTATAGACAGGAATAACGCGAGACGCTCTCGACAGGGTGTAGAACGCCGTTGGTGGTAGCGAATACGGTTCTGGCGACTCCATACTCTGCTGCGTTGTCATCGCTGCCACGTCTCGTCGTTGGACATGCATCGTTCTTCATCTCGCGGTGAATACTCCTTCATGGAGGTAATGCCAGAAGAAAGGCTTACAGATGAACAGAGAGGCTCTGGTTGAATGTGTGGATGTAGGAGAGGGGGCGTGGTATGGTGAGATTTTTCGATGGTGGTGGTTTGAGGGAGAGGTGTGAGGGCCTGGGGAAGGATGGGACTGCTTTTTATAGGGTATGACCCCCCTCCAGACATTGAATGTAAACCTAACCTTACCTTTATTATGGTTAGGGTTATCTTTCATCACATGTGTACATATCATTTTTTGTGTCTTTCCAGGGGCTCTTGCTGGCAATTCTGACCTCTTCCTAGGAATGAAATCTCTTCCTGAGCTGATGTTTCAAGCTGCCATCGTCGCGGCTTGCTATTGAACCATGACTCTGACTTGCATGCAGACAATTAAGCTATTGTTATCATACAAAACTGGTACTGTGCCAGAAAACTCGACCTTGTATAGTCCATCTTTATCACTTGAGGCAGACATAGCCGCAGAGGTTGGGATCGTATGTCTAGTCGGTATGCCAGGTTTTCTTCTTCGTTACCAAAAGGCTAGTTCATACCTTTCTCGTAGACTTCAACTATGGCCTACCAACTACAAGCTCTTGGGTCATTCCGACCATCCAAATCGATACCACGACCTGCGTCATGTCTGATCACTTTTAAAGATTTGATGCTTATTATCGATACCAACCCAGGCGGTGAGCTTGTTTGCTTGAGCGACGTCCAATATGTATGTATTAATTCACACCACACAGGATTGATGGCAGGCAGTTGGGATGTCGATCAAGTCGGCAGTCAGGACAAGTATTGCCAGGATGTCACTGGCTCCTCTGAAGCTCGAGGTTACGTCCTGTCGCAGGGTTCGGCATTTGGAGACTCTGCTGTTTGGGTGAGTGCTTATTTTCTGATCTGTTCGTCTGTGTGTTGAATGTAGCAAATGGATTCTGAATGGCGTCTACATATTTTGGTGATATAGGGTCCAATCACTGATCGTTAACATATCTCGGACATTAAGGCTCAGGAATGGGATACGTTGGAAGTTGGAATCATGACGGGCTACAGTCCACCTACCTAGTCCTTGTACCAGAGGCGCTCACGTTTATGCTTCCCAGCAACAACAGGAGTCTGACCGCGTCTCCGTGGAAGCAAAAAAAGAAGATCAACATACGTCGACTCTTCACTCAGATTCCCTGTTCGAAAGGTACCAATAAGCGTGGGTGAAAATCCCTCCATACCCCCTTTCGGTTTCCACTTCTCTTGCTGTTTGGTATTCCTTGCACGCAGTGAGAACGACATGAGAAGACATATCTGGGCGCCAATCCGTCGCCGAAATCGATTTGTACGTAGGATAGCGACCAAGGCCACCATCGGCCATGTGGAGCATGCGTTGAAGAGACGCGCGTGGTAGTGGGGGAATAGTACGTGTACCAGGCTCAGGGAAATGCCGAATGTTGCCACCAGAATGACAACAGTCGAGGATAAAAGTAATTCGGTGGCCCTTGCTTCGAGAGATCTGCTGGAAGATAGCGTTGATCTCTCGGTCGCTGATGTCAGGGATTCGTAACCCGCTGGCATCGAAGGTATCTCTGTCAATGGGGCAAATGGTTTCGATGGATCCCTCTACTTCAATAGGGCTCCCATCGTCCTCCTCAGAATCGGTGTCGCGGTATAAGGATGCATCTGAGAAGTAGCGCGAACCGTGCCCGGAAAAGTAGATGATGATATTGTCACCTGCTTCGATTTGAGGGTTATCAATGAGACCAAGAAGTGTGTTGACAATATTGACACGGGATGGAAAGAAGAGGTCTTCGGACGAGCTGTGTTCAGAACCAAGAAGTAGCTGTATTCGTTCTTGCGGCACGCCCAAGTCCTCTTTCAGGTATTTCTCCATTGAAGTGGCATCTGATACGCATCCTTGCAATGGATACGAATCATACGCGTCGATGCCTATTATCACTGACCAGAATGTTGAGCGCTCCACTTCCAGAGGTGGCTTCCAACCAGCGATTAGCAAGGATATTCCTGTGGTAAAGAATCCGAATATTGCCTACCTCGATGGTCGAGGGGCCGTCCTGTTTCGCAAGGAAGGATTTGTATCGAAATCTGGGCCTAATGAGATAGAGTTGTTGGAGACTTTGATATGCCTCAGTGGCAGAGCCGCCTTTCTTGCGCATCGCCCTGGCTCTTGCCTGTTGGAACACCGCCACCGAATCAACATCTGGTGTTGTTCCACTTGCCATCTCATAATGTATTGCCAGCTGCTTCTCGTACTGCTCGAGCACGCTAATTATATTTCAAGGTAAATCCTGCGCTGGAATTTCAGTGTTGTCTTGGTCGGCAAGGCGAATACTCACATAATTGTTTTCTGAGGAAAACTTGATAGGCACATTGGCGTGTTCTCTCTGTCGTCCAAGATTATGTGTCATCCTATTCGATCTGAGTGACGGGGACAACCTTTGAAGAGGGTGAGAACACCTACATATTGGGGGAGGTAGACACTACTCTGCCTGAGGTCATCGGCTCCCTCAGTAATTGCTTCGCGTTTACTGTCCTCATTCATTTCGCAAACTGGACCTCTCAGGTCTCCTCAGGAACCCTCGCCGGAATCCATTCTATTCCCTAACGTCGATATACATCATTTCTAATTACCCTCGATCATCACACCTCGCCTCGCGCTCGCATACCTGTATTTCGGCATACCTCTAACACTCTCGCGTTGATTATATCATTCCGTCAAAAGGCTAATCATGCTACAACGAAGGGAGTGGGGGGTTGTTTGTGGAAAGGCTTTCGCGCTATGACCCCATTTTGCTGTGTCGCTGATAGTATTTGTACTACCTACGACTGGGGTGCTTCGGCAATGCTTCTGTGTGGCGTCTTAAGAATGTTTTTGACATTTCGGTACCGTAGCAACCTTATTCCTCATTACTTAGCTGGTGTATATACACATTGGGGGACCTGTAGTACAAGCCCCGGCACATGTCTGTTGAGGAGCCATGTCATGTAATAAAACTTTCTTCTTTGTCTCTTGATTCTTTGTTTTTCTGGAAATATAGGGCTCCATCATTGACTGTGAACACACCTCGCCGGGACCTTTGTATACATTCCATGGGACCTTCAATTTCGTTGATATGTCCTGCTGGTGGCGATAACTTGTTCAAGCAGTAAACAAAGCACTTACCAAGTTCTGCTTTTGGACAGCCGGCCCTCAAGTTTCAAAGTGGTGTGATATGCCCCAATGTTCTGCCATCTTTTTCTGAACCATTCATTTTGACCAAGGTCACATTGAGAAACTTCTCAAAGGTAAGACATTCTGAGCTTATATTAACTATATATCTTATCAATGTTCTAGATGCCAGACTCACTCTGCTGCCTGCAACATGGGAATAATTCAGAAGCATCTCCTATCAAATTTCCCTCCATCAAGCTCACAGCTTTTTGAATGAATGAATTGCTTAAGTCAAACAATCCCCCACTTGAAGCTGAGCATATTCAGCTGAAGGATGTTATAGGTGAAGGCCATGTGTTTTTAGCCAGACTACAGAAACAGATAATGCAGATACAGGCTGCACTTGAGGCAGTTTTGGATGAGGGGAGACACATCAAGTGCCTGATTGAATCCTACAAGACAATCCTTCATCCCATCTGTATGATTCCTGATGACATTATACACAAAATCTTCTTGACATACCACTTTGAGGCTGTAATTGAAAGGCAAGGGAGAGAGTCATTGAATAGGCAGTTCATGCCATTAGTTCTTTTCCAGGTCTGCAGAGATTGGAGGAAGATCACACTGTCAACATCTCTGCTTTGGTCATTCATTACACTGGATTTTGAACTATACAGGAATGAGCAGATGTGCCAGAATCTTCTTCAGATGCATCTTCAATGGTGTGTGATGCATGATATTATGCTATCTATCTACAATTCAAGAGATGTTCCATAGATCTGTCTCATACCTGTTCTTATCTTGAGTGCACCACAGTGGATCAGTGTTTCAATGACTATCCCTTATGATTTTCTATATGCTTTCTCTGTTGTTAGAGGCTCTCTTCACTGCTTAGATCATCTTTGCATCAAATTCATAGATGATGAACCTGAGTTACCTGTGGATTTGGCTAAGCCTAGATTTGACATCTTTGAGTATGCTCCACTGCTTTGCAGCCTCACTCTATAAGGAGCACACACTGTTTTCAAATGGATTAACTTACCATAGTCACAACTCACTGAGTATACTGGACATGATGGGACAGCCATCCATGCTGATATTTTGAAGCTCACAATGAATATCAACATGGCTTATCTGCAATGCTATGATGGTCTGGAGTCTTATATAATACCCTCTCCTTCATCTCATCAGCACCTTCATCTTCTTGATGTGTACAAAACCAAAGCAAGTCAAGATATGATGGAATTTAGTTTCTCATTGGTGGGGAAAATTGTTCCTCTTCTTTTACATGTAGAATTTCCTGGTCTGGAGTCTCTGAGTATGGCATATGAGCATTTGTATAGCATCCAGGTTCTCAGGTCTCTACCTGGCTTGACAGTAGGCAACTTGAAATCTCTCTCTGATACTGAATCCCCTCTGTCTGTTGAAATACAGGCTGATTTAATCAGTCTTCTTAAAACAATGACATCACTTTCCAGCTTATTGATGTCCTGTTTATTGGAATATGCTTTTGCTGAAAGTGATAAACTCATCCTCATGCTCAATGCAAATATCCACCCAGATGTCATTCTCAGACTCATCTTGCTAGCTTTGGATTGCTTCAATGTGGGGTCAGATTTGTTGCCTTCTTTCATTGACATGGTCTAGTCTCAGAGGCAAGCTGTGGGCACATGTGCAGCATTGCAAACACTGTGTTTCTCTACACCTTTTGTCTTACCATCAGTTGGGGCAGAGGTCACTGCACATTGGAAGGAGATATGTGATAAAGGCCTTGTCATGTATGGATACTAGCAGTCTACATATGATTTGACAGTCAATGCTACCCTAGTATATTGAAACATTGCACAGTGTGCAATGAGAATAGATATCAAGTAGTCATCAAAACTAGATGTGTAACTGTTGCAGGATGACACAAGTATCTGATGTCAACCTTAGATAAGCATAGACAGGTTTGTCCTGAGTTGATGGTCAATCATCCTTAAGCAATTGACCATTGTACTCAGCCTGGCCATTATTCACTGTGCAAAATAACCTGCCTGCAACAGGTTATAGGCTCTGCATTTTAAGGCCTATTTTGAGCTTTTTCATCTTTATGTCTTACTTATGCCCTGTTATCTCTCCATCAATCACTTCACTACTGCAATGATATCACCACATACATCATGCCATCTCTTGACACAATCAAAAAGGGCTTCAACAACCTAAATGCCTCCAATTGTGGCAAGTGGGAAGAAAACATGTCAGCCCTACTCAAAACTTGCTATGAGTATCTTATCATCATTGGCTGTGATCCTGAACCAGAGTTTGCAGACTCTGAGAAGCCAACATATCAGAAGAAGGATCAGAAGGAGACTCAGATATCAGCCACTGGCATGATCTACCTCTGTCTTGATGATCCAGAGAGGATGTGGGACACATTAAAGGCACACCATCAGCAAATAAAACTGACAACTCAACTTGTAGCTTATGAAAACTTCTTCAATCTCAAGGAGGAGACTGCTAGCCAAGCAAATACTGATACAGATGGTTCTCATCATATAACCTCTCACTGACAATAGTTCTAACTCTATGCTCCACATGTTGTTTCTATTCATCTTGCAGACAATTCAGTCATCTACTCAGCAGAGATTGGATCAGTAGTACTGGAACCAGAGATTCAGAGAGAGAAAGGCTCAGTGGTGGAACTTCTCAACACACTGCATGTATCAGCATTAAAAAGTAATCTCTTATCACTCTATCATCTCACACAGGAAAAGAGATTCAAGATCTCAATTGCTGGATCAGATGTCACTTTCAACCAGAGTGAAAAGATTCAATTCACTGCAACTGTAAATAAGAGCAATATCAGCTATGTCAATACTACCACACATTCATTCTCAAAATTGACCACTATTGTTGCAAACTCAAGCTTGACAAGTATCTGTTGGATGGACAATACACTTTGGCATAGACATTGCTGTCATCAAAACATAGACACTATATGGCACATGCACACAAAGCAGCTAGTAACTGGAATGAAGTGAGAGTCAGGTTCTCCAACTGATTCTATCTGCACACCATGCCTTACTGGCAAACTGCATCACCACAATGTTCCTTATGGCCTCTCAGAGCAGAAGAAACACCTTCTTGAGTGAGTATACAGTGATATCAAAGGTCCAATGCCTGTCACAACTCCAGAGGGCTATTGTTACTGGATAACATTCATCTGCAGTGCATCTGACACTTGGGCTGTTGAATTTCTGAAGTATAAAAGTGATGCCTTCAATGCCTTCAAGCAATTCAAAGCATATGCAGAGAATACCCATCCAGGACTCAAAATCATCAAGTTTCAGGAAGACAAAAGTGGTGAATGTATAGGAAAGGAGTTTATTGACTTCTGTGCTGAGCATGGAATTAAAAGGCAACACACTGAACCTGATGAACTATACCAGAATGGCACAGCAGAACAAGCCAACCACATGATCACAGAAGCCATCACTGCTATGCTAAATGAGTGTTACAATTTTTCCCTTTATTCCTCAATTAATCCCTATTTATGCTTAGTCAAAGCACCAGAACAAGCACTTAAGACCATGAGACAAAGCTTAGTCATCACAACTAGGCCAAGTCAGTCATTGTCTTTTGACACAACAGCATTGCCCAATGACACACAATCAACTCTTTATATACAGTAGTGATACTCAAAGATAATGAGTACAAAGAACATGACAATGCACAATAGGCAGTAGTATAATTAGCATGAACTTGTACAGTATTTAAGGAGGCTTGCTCTTGCTGGAAACCCCAGCTTTGAGCTAAAGTTTATTCACACATCATTCTATACTCAAGCTGGCTCTAAAGGCCTTGTGACACATCAATCAGAATATGCATCAGTGAACTCAGTTGATCACCCAAAGTGTGAGGTGACTTCTGTCTATCATGTGTTTCTGTTCATGTGACACTTGAGTCTAACAATTAGCTCAAAGCTTCTAGCTTCCCTTTCTTAAGCCCAATTGTGCTGAGAAACTGAATGCCCACTCTGAACCTCACCAATCTGAACTTTGATTAAGAGTTCTTTGAACTCCTAGCCTCTATCATTAGAACTCTTTTAGGTTTACTTGTGATCATTCAGCTGTGCTGGAGACATCACTTGATTACTGCCTGGGCCATTTGACACTACCAAGAGTTTCAGCATATTAGACATATACTACAAAATGTAACCCCCAATCTCCCTTTTTATGACATCCCTGACTCCAGAAGAATATCTCACCAGCCCCCAAGTAGCCCCCTACCAGAAGCTGAGCCTAGCAGCTTGCATCAGAGGGACTATCAAGAAGAAGAAAGACATGAATATCCCCTCTGACCTAGATCAAGTCAGCCTCAGGTCACAGGATTCTGAAACCCCTAAGTCCTGCCCCAGGATAGTAACCTCCTGGAGGAGTTCTCTCCACCACTCTCCTCCAGCTCTTCCAGCACCTCTCAAACCCATGGAGTTGCTGACTGTATCTGAGATTCCCTTGATGCCACTCAGATAGCTCTGAGATCTCACTGCTCAACATCTGGAAGCCAGCCTCTGAGCCCCTCCACCCAGCGTTTCATCAGAACCAGCAGTGAGTTGGGGAGAAACTCCTCAGAAAGGCTTGATGATAAGCAACAGGCCTGGGAAAACCAGAATGAGGTCATCCATCAGCTATTCCCCATATGGAACCTTAATGTCTCATTCAATTATGACCAAGCCCTCTGACAAGAAGAGCAGAGACAGCAGAATGCTCTGCAGCCAGTCTAGAGTGAGCTGGAGAAGCACATCATCAAAAGAGGATGACAGGCATAAGAAGCCACTGAGTATGATCAGCAGCACCAGGAGCAGCAGTGAAACATTGAAAGAGTCTGACTGGCAAGGGCTGATGTCTCCAACTGGTATGGCCTATGACCTGAGGTCATCTTGGTCCTCACTCCAGTATAGGCTGACAGATCTTTCTTGACCCTGGTATTCAGAGAATCCAGTACCACTGACTCTGACCTCTGGGCTCTGGAGTGATGGGCCAATGCAGAAACACTCACAGCCAGTGAAGCAAGAAGGAGAGATGATGGGATTCCTCCTCCAGCATGAGATGATGTCCCAGGACCCCCCTCTATACTCTCCAACTCCTCAGTATCCCCCTCTCCAAAGGACCCCCAGTGCCAATACTATATTCAAGAATGACAAGTCCATTCTCAGACACTATGGACTATGAGTCCCTAATACTGCTCACATCCCTGCTTGTGCCCTCTGAGGATTTCTCAGGAGTCATGTGGTTGGGCAGCTCCTCAATGACAGATACTGAAGAAATGTCCAGCTCTATCATGAGTGAGTGGCAGTGGCATGAGCAACAGGAGAGAATCAGTATGACTCTGATATTGGAAGTCAGCCTGCTTTCACCTACCTCAATGCCTCTGACTTTTCAGGCCCCACTGCTGGGCCAAGTACCCAGCAGTGGGTCAATGAAGATGGTGACATGCCCTCTCCATGTTCAGGCATGTAAAATTGCAAAAATTGCGAATACATGGACTGCATTCCAGTTTAGTAAGCATGTAACAGAAAATAGGACTTGAGCACACAGAAACCTAGCTATCATAATGCTAAACTGAAGTAACAATAAGCAGAGTGCATGGCCTAGTAACAGACTAATACCAGAGGGGTTAGGCTGCATGTGAGGTCCCAGCACTTGGCCCTAAATGTTAAGCCCAAATTCCATGCGACTATCAACATGTGATAAACAGTTCAGAACCTTGCACTTCAGGTTAGACTGACTGAGTTCACTGATGTGTCAATAGAGTTGTGTAGTCAAGGCATTGCAAGTAGCTCGAGATAAGATGGTGGAGAATAAACTTTAGCTTAATGCTGGAGCTACTACAGTAAAAACTGCACT